TGCGCCCTCTGCTGGTAAAGACAGATATACGACGGTATTTATTTCACGTTTTACAGTTGTATTGTTGGGATTATTGTGTGTAATTTACAATGTGGTGTAACTTAGTTTACATGTACTATTATTTTGGTTATTTTATTAAATTAGAATGTTATGTTTTACTCCAATATTTCATTGTATTTTGTAGGACAGTGCCTTCATTTGTTCATAATAATAAGGAACAAGGGACAGAGACAGAGACAATATTTTGGAACAACATTTTTATTGTGGTAACTAACCAGCCATTGCTGTAATCAGTACAGAAAAGGAGAGAAATCATTGCGTTAATAATGTTAGCTTGCAGATTCCATAACAAAGTAAAAAGTAAAATGTGTACCTTCAGGGTCTTCCCTGTTTCCTGAATTCAACAGAAATCCTTCTGTTGAATTCCTCAACTTCACTAAAAAAAAAAAATCAAGTATGTTTGGAAGGTTTCTTGTAAAACAATAAAAAATAAAAATAAAGCAATAAAATAAAATAACCTTTGTTCATAAATGGCTCCCTGGAGGTACGCCTCTTTTGCCTCCTTCCAGGGTATGTTTTTCAGTTGGCAAATTCCATGAATGATTGCCTGTACAAGTAACAATAAAGTAAACATCAAAACTAAAACAGTAACATTGTCACACTTTTTGGATGTACCTATGGAAACAGGAAGCCAAGAAGGAATTCCACCTCATTGTTGACCTTCAGCACAGTCTGTGTACTTTTGATTAGGGTTCTGAGGTACACAAATAGGGTATCCTGGTGCTCCTCTGTATCTAAATAAACAGGTACCTGAAAGCGTGGCTTTAAGGGATACCACTCAGATTGTTTCCCTTTGAGTATGTCCTGTGGTACACAAATTAAAATTATATGAATGAATCAGCCATGCATTTTTTTCCCATTATGTAATATCCATCTGAGGGGAAGAATAATGTAAATTTTATTTTTATTTCAAATTAACATATGAATAATTCTGGGCTAATAATGATAATAATAATAATATGGTCAAAACTAGTCTGGAATAACATATACATGCAACAATGTGCCATTAATAATGGTGCAATTTTTTTACATTGTATTTGTCCTTCATTTATCCAGGATAAAGCTCGTTGAGATTAAAAATCTCTTTTTCAAAAGTGTCCTGGCCAAGATTCTTTAAAATTAAAATATGCAATAATTTGCCACAGAAAGTAAAGGTATACCCTTGATACATATGAATAATTGAATGTTTTGGGTAGCCTATGTAATTGGGATTATGTATTGTGTTTTACTAATTTACAACGAATTTAAACGCTAGCTTAAACGCTATTTTAAGACGAAAATTACGTCTCATCCATGGGTTAAAGTTGAAAAAATTCCTGAGCCTGAACCATCTATATGAATCATAGAATGATCACTAATAAGCGTTTTTTATAAGCGCCTTTATACGCTCATACATATAATTTATATCTATTTATTGCCAACAACTGATGTTTATTATAAACATCAGTTGTTGGCAATAAATACATCATCTGACTATTGAATTGTTACTTAAATGTAAAGCCTCACCTTGCCAAGACCTTTCTGCAAGTACCCCTAGTTTGGATTTGTGTGATAATGTAAAAAAAAAAAAAAAAAACATACCACATCACAGTAAGTGAATATACTATTTTCTTTTTTTTAATTATTATTGATGTTATTACTAACATTTTATGTGTAAACTGTAAACTGATTAAACATCCAAACTAGACATCAGATATGACATACAAAAACTAAAAACACTGGATCAGGCAACAAGAACACTTCCAGATTCAACCTTAAATATATAAATAAACCTTAACTTTTAAATTCTACTTATTAAACATTTAGCTTTCAACACAAATAAATGAAACTAAAGTGCAAATGAGCTTTGTGCTGTGTGTCTTCATAAAGCACCTGTGTTAACTTTCAATAGACTTTGATTTGGTAAAACATTACAAAACAACACAAATGCTAACAGTACTGTTTGAAATATTCATTTCTTTTTCTTTTGTTTAGGGTGTGAATTATCTGTATGCTTTCTTTTTAACATGTTGGGCGGAGGGTTTAATGAGGAGGCTACTTTGTCTGAACAATTAAATAGAGGGAAAAAACCGCATGGTCCAGAGGAGGAGGCAGCTGGTGCAGAGGAGAGTTGTCTGGCTGGTCCAGAGGAGGAGGCAGCTGGTGCAGAGGAGAGTTGTCTGGCTGGTCCAGAGGAGGAGGCAGCTGGTGCAGAGGAGAGTTGTCTGGCTGGTCCAGAGGAGTGGGCAGCTGGTGCAGAGGAGGAGGCAGCTGGTGCAGAGGAGAGTTGTCTGGCTGGTCCAGAGGAGGAGGCAGCTGGTGCAGAGGAGAGTTGTCTGGCTGGTCCAGAGGAGGAGGCAGCTGGTGCAGAGGAGAGTTGTCTGGCTGGTCCAGAGGAGGAGGCAGCTGGTGCAGAGGAGAGTTGTCTGGCTGGTCCAGAGGAGGAGGCAGCTGGTGCAGAGGAGAGTTGTCTGGCTGGTGCGGTGGGGCTGCAGCCTTTTTATCATCTCCTCTGGACCAGCCAGACAACTCTCCTCTGCACCAGCTGCCTCCTCCTCTGGACCAGCCAGACAACTCTCCTCTGCACCAGCTGCCTCCTCCTCTGCACCAGCTGCCTCCTCCTCTGGACCAGCCAGACAACTCTCCTCTGCACCAGCTGCCTCCTCCTCTGGACCAGCCAGACAACTCTCCTCTGCACCAGCTGCTTCCTCTCTGGACCATGCGGTTTTTTCCCTCTATTTAATTGTTCAGACAAAGTAGCCTCCTCATTAAACCCTCCGCCCAAAATGTTAAAAAGGACATTCAAAATTCTGTCCACATTTGTTTGTGGACACTCAATGTTTAAGAAAAAGGTTTCCCTATCAACTTGGTGCTAGTGCACAGCGCAGTTTTATCAACTGCAAATGATTAATGATAATTAAATCTACCAGCGGTAGTGATGGTTCTGAACGACAGGTTATTTTCTGCGATAAAGCCACAGATAGTTTTAGGTCACAGACACAGTCCACCAGAGCAAGCCTAGTCTCAGTTGTCGCTGAATTTGATGCACCAGGTAAAGAAGTGTGGGAAAGTGCACGGACAGCTGCCAAGTGCGCAGTTTTGAGCTGGTGGTGAATCCAAAGCTGTTTTCTCATTACTCCCATATAAAAAAATAATAATAGCGAAGTACGAACAAGCACCGGACACCTTCATCTTTTTGCACCATGAAGCAACAGAATCCCATCGTCTCCACCTCATCCAGCCATGCCCACCTCCATTTATTTTTCACTCCGTTATCAACAGCAACTTATACAGCTCCTTCTTCCATAAACAACGATCCATGATTGTGATTGTGCGTGAATGCTAGGCTAGCTTTGATGAATGAATATAAGACCTGCTAACACACACCTTTCTTCAGCGAGTTTCTTCCGTTCGCTCTCGTTGATTTGCTTTTTTATCACGCAGTTTTGCATGCGGATCGCCACCAAGATATTATCAAAAGCTCACCAAGACATGCTTGTCCCCATTCCCAGTCACAGCAAAGTACATATTGTACATTCCGTTAAATAAAAAAGCATTGCGTTTGGTAAACGTTAATTATGTCCTACCTTTCCTCTGATAACGCGCCCAGTTTACCGGTCCGCGGGCTGCTGGCTGTTATTGCTCCGTTCGGGATTACATTTTCCTTGTCCTCTTCTCCTTTTCAAAAGCTCCGTGCACTTTTCAGAAACTTTCACCTCCGTGTTACCATCGCTAACTTGGCTACGTCCCATTGCCTTGAATCATTTACGGAGCGCTCATGTAGCTAGCCACGGCACGTTCAAGGCCCACTCGTGATTATATTACTTTTTATTTCTATATACATATAAATACAATTATATTCAAATTATTAATATATATCTAGATATATACAACAGATTCACACGTATTACTATATATTTTGTTATAATTAACCATTTCATTGTGTGTATTATATTATTATTATATATTTTGGTTTTTTTTCAGACCAATTTCATTTGACGGAAATCCGTCACTTAGACGGAACTCTTTAATCCCTGCGCTATACACATGCAATCCTTTCATACAATTGGTAGAACACACTTGAACCTTTTTCAAATGACAGCAATCATTATTTATTTATATATATATTAAAAAAAAAAAAAAGTGATTTTTTTTTTTTTTTTTCTCACGCCGGATTTCCGGCACGGTGCCGGAAAACTTTAAGCCCTGCTCATCTTTGGGGGGGAAATCAAGTAATTCGTATGTTGTTTAAAGTGTTAGCTTTAGCAAACAACAGAAGCATCTACGATTTCAAAAATGTGTTCATAAGAAATTAAAAATGAAATAACTCGATTAAAGTCTACTCACGTTCGTTGACTTGATCCAAATGAATATTCCCAAGAGCTAAGACAGTCGTATATCTGCCTTTACCAGCAGAGGGCGCACTATCACGGTGGATTTGCTTCATGGTAGATTTGCCTCGACTCCGGGTCTGCAGCTTTCCCCTACTCCTATGCACTGCCTTGAGCTTAGTTTTACTTTCTTAAAACATGCAATGTGTATAATTTCTTAATTTAATCTAGAGTTACATAATTATTTGTTTTATAACTGACTACTTGAACTGACAGGGATTGCACATAATAGTTTCTCGTTTTATGAGGGCTATTTATTCTATATGACATATATCCTATGCCGCATTTGGAAAACGTAGAGCAGTTTTCCAAATACTTTTCACTGGTTATGTACGCGCATGTGTGTGTATTTATGTTGTTGAAACTGGGCACACCCTGCATGAAGATAAGATTAAATGCAGTTTGAATTGTGGATCATCTGCCCCGTCTCAGAGCCCTGAGTACTATATGTTCCTTTGCATGCCATGAGTCTAAATCCAATATAGATTTCATATTTTCCTATGTATTATAGAAACAAATTAACTTTTGTTTGCAATATTCTAATCTGCAGAGCTGTATGGTTGAACTCACCTTTGGGCCGAGTTGAGGATCTTTCCTGTTCCTGTCCCTGCCCCTCTCTGATCTGTCCACTCTGTCTCTCTCCACTCGCTCTGGCTCTCGTTTGTCCCCATCCTCCAAAGCCTCTCTTCTTCTCCTGGCTGTTGTTCCAAATGCCGACTTCCAGGGAGCAGTCGCCTGTGCAAACACAACAGAAGATGTCAGAAAGTTTGGAGTCAACTCCAGTTCCTAGACTGTTTTCTGCAATTCTATGATCCAAGACAATACATTAATGGAAAAGTGTAGGACCGCGGATGGAGCCTTGGGACACTGCCTCTCACTCTCTACGCGAGGCCTCCCCCCAGAGGAGGAGCATATTCAGCAGCTGCTGTCCCAGCAATGCTCCTCTGAGAGACTGAGACAATCTATTGTCCCTCGTGCACAACCTTTAGGACGAGGGTGGTAGAAATAGTAACATATAATGTTGCATGGGTTAAAGTTGAAAAAATTCCTGAGCCTGAACCATCTATATGAATCATAGAATGATCACTAATAAGCGTTTTTTATAAGCGCCTTTATACGCTCATACATATAATTTATATCTATTTATTGCCAACAACTGATGTTTATTATAAACATCAGTTGTTGGCAATAAATACATCATCTGACTATTGAATTGTTACTTAAATGTAAAGCCTCACCTTGCCAAGACCTTTCTGCAAGTACCCCTAGTTTGGATTTGTGTGATAATGTAAAAAAAAAAAAAAAACATACCACATCACAGTAAGTGAATATACTATTTTCTTTTTTTTAATTATTATTGATGTTATTACTAACATTTTATGTGTAAACTGTAAACTGATTAAACATCCAAACTAGACATCAGATATGACATACAAAAACTAAAAACACTGGATCAGGCAACAAGAACACTTCCAGATTCAACCTTAAATATATAAATAAACCTTAACTTTTAAATTCTACTTATTAAACATTTAGCTTTCAACACAAATAAATGAAACTAAAGTGCAAATGAGCTTTGTGCTGTGTGTCTTCATAAAGCACCTGTGTTAACTTTCAATAGACTTTGATTTGGTAAAACATTACAAAACAACACAAATGCTAACAGTACTGTTTGAAATATTCATTTCTTTTTCTTTTGTTTAGGGGTGAATTATCTGTATGCTTTCTTTTTAACATGTTGGGCGGAGGGTTTAATGAGGAGGCTACTTTGTCTGAACAATTAAATAGAGGGAAAAAACCGCATGGTCCAGAGGAGGAGGCAGCTGGTGCAGAGGAGAGTTGTCTGGCTGGTCCAGAGGAGGAGGCAGCTGGTGCAGAGGAGAGTTGTCTGGCTGGTCCAGAGGAGGAGGCAGCTGGTGCAGAGGAGAGTTGTCTGGCTGGTCCAGAGGAGTGGGCAGCTGGTGCAGAGGAGGAGGCAGCTGGTGCAGAGGAGAGTTGTCTGGCTGGTCCAGAGGAGGAGGCAGCTGGTGGAGAGGAGGAGGCAGCTGGTGCAGAGGAGAGTTGTCTGGCTGGTCCAGAGGAGGAGGCAGCTGGTGCAGAGGAGAGTTGTCTGGCTGGTCCAGAGGAGGAGGCAGCTGGTGCAGAGGAGAGTTGTCTGGCTGGTGCGGTGGGGCTGCAGCCTTTTTATCATCTCCTCTGGACCAGCCAGACAACTCTCCTCTGCACCAGCTGCCTCCTCCTCTGGACCAGCCAGACAACTCTCCTCTGCACCAGCTGCCTCCTCCTCTGCACCAGCTGCCTCCTCCTCTGGACCAGCCAGACAACTCTCCTCTGCACCAGCTGCCTCCTCCTCTGGACCAGCCAGACAACTCTCCTCTGCACCAGCTGCCTCCTCCTCTGGACCAGCCAGACAACTCTCCTCTGCACCAGCTGCCTCCTCCTCTGGACCAGCCAGACAACTCTCCTCTGCACCAGCTGCCTCCTCCTCTCCACCAGCTGCCTCCTCCTCTGGACCAGCCAGACAACTCTCCTCTGCACCAGCTGCCTCCTCCTCTGCACCAGCTGCCCACTCCTCTGGACCAGCCAGACAACTCTCCTCTGCACCAGCTGCCTCCTCCTCTGGACCAGCCAGACAACTCTCCTCTGCACCAGCTGCTTCCTCCTCTGGACCATGCGGTTTTTTCCCTCTATTTAATTGTTCAGACAAAGTAGCCTCCTCATTAAACCCTCCGCCCAAAATGTTAAAAAGGACATTCAAAATTCTGTCCACATTTGTTTGTGGACACTCAATGTTTAAGAAAAAGGTTTCCCTATCAACTTGGTGCTAGTGCACAGCGCAGTTTTATCAACTGCAAATGATTAATGATAATTAAATCTACCAGCGGTAGTGATGGTTCTGAACGACAGGTTATTTTCTGCGATAAAGCCACAGATAGTTTTAGGTCACAGACACAGTCCACCAGAGCAAGCCTAGTCTCAGTTGTCGCTGAATTTGATGCACCAGGTAAAGAAGTGTGGGAAAGTGCACGGACAGCTGCCAAGTGCGCAGTTTTGAGCTGGTGGTGAATCCAAAGCTGTTTTCTCATTACTCCCATATAAAAAAATAATAATAGCGAAGTACGAACAAGCACCGGACACCTTCATCTTTTTGCACCATGAAGCAACAGAATCCCATCGTCTCCACCTCATCCAGCCATGCCCACCTCCATTTATTTTTCACTCCGTTATCAACAGCAACTTATACAGCTCCTTCTTCCATAAACAACGATCCATGATTGTGATTGTGCGTGAATGCTAGGCTAGCTTTGATGAATGAATATAAGACCTGCTAACACACACCTTTCTTCAGCGAGTTTCTTCCGTTCGCTCTCGTTGATTTGCTTTTTTATCACGCAGTTTTGCATGCGGATCGCCACCAAGATATTATCAAAAGCTCACCAAGACATGCTTGTCCCCATTCCCAGTCACAGCAAAGTACATATTGTACATTCCGTTAAATAAAAAAGCATTGCGTTTGGTAAACGTTAATTATGTCCTACCTTTCCTCTGATAACGCGCCCAGTTTACCGGTCCGCGGGCTGCTGGCTGTTATTGCTCCGTTCGGGATTACATTTTCCTTGTCCTCTTCTCCTTTTCAAAAGCTCCGTGCACTTTTCAGAAACTTTCACCTCCGTGTTACCATCGCTAACTTGGCTACGTCCCATTGCCTTGAATCATTTACGGAGCGCTCATGTAGCTAGCCACGGCACGTTCAAGGCCCACTCGTGATTATATTACTTTTTATTTCTATATACATATAAATACAATTATATTCAAATTATTAATATATATCTAGATATATACAACAGATTCACACGTATTACTATATATTTTGTTATAATTAACCATTTCATTGTGTGTATTATATTATTATTATATATTTTGTTTTTTTTTCAGACCAATTTCATTTGACGGAAATCCGTCACTTAGACGGAACTCTTTAATCCCTGCGCTATACACATGCAATCCTTTCATACAATTGGTAGAACACACTTGAACCTTTTTCAAATGACAGCAATCATTATTTATTTATATATATATTAAAAAAAAAAAAAAGTGATTTTTTTTTTTTTTTTTTCTCACGCCGGATTTCCGGCACGGTGCCGGAAAACTTTAAGCCCTGATGTTGTTTTTACACAAAGTTTTGACACTATAATAATCTCGAGTTATTATGTGGATATGTATAATAGTAGTGATTTTATGGGTGATTATGCTGAGCAAGTGAGCATGTAGACAAATCTTATTCTAAATTTAATTTATTGATTTGATATGGACACAACAGTTAAATTGGAAGGACCAGATGCACTGCCTTAAAGGTTATAGCAAGACCATGCTAGTTTTCAAGACTTGTCTATAGGAGGCTGTTAGTACATAAATGTACACATTTAAATGCACAATTCATTAAACATGTGTACAACGTACCTTTCAGTCACAGTTTCAGACTAGAAGAAGATTATGAAGAAGTATCTTTGGTGCTAATAAAGTACATGCTTCAACACAGTTCTCACCCTGCCGGAGCGGCTCGGTCCGTTCAGCTCGTCGAAGCTCAGCAGGCTGCTCACTTCCACCTCCTCCTCGTTGTTGTAGTTGTCAAAGCGGACTCTGCAGCGCTGTCCTCTCACCTCCAGCACCACGGCAGGGTAACTGAGGCCGTCTAAGGCGTATGTGGCTCTGCAGCGGGAGCCGACCGTCCACTCCTGACCACAGCACAATCTTAGAGCTCAGAGGCCATAAAGGTTTTCCTTTCAAACCAGCCTGACAGAGCATGCACTAAATCACAAACTTTTTAACTTTTTTGCCCTGTGTGCAATCTAAGTGTCACATGATCTGTCAGTACATAGGCTGCAACACCTAAGCAAGAGGCCCCACTAACCAAACACTGCCATGAAGACCAAGGAACTCTCCAAACAAGTAAGGGACAGTGTTGTTGAGAAGTACAAGTCAGGGTTAGGTTATAAAAAAATATCAAAATCTTTGATGATCCCTAGGGGCACCATCAAATCTATCATAACCAAATGGAAAGAACATGGCACAACAGCAAACCTGCCAAGAGACGGCCGCCCACCAAAACTCACGGACCTCAGGGAAAAATGGATGGTCCTAAATACAGGGATATTCTTGAGCAAAACCTGTAACACTGTGCGTGATTTGAGGCTAGGACGGAGGTTCACCTTCCAGCAGGACAATGACCCCAAACACACTGCTACAGCAACACTTCAGTGGTTTAAGGGAAACATGTAAATGTGTTGGAATGGCCTAGTCAAAGCCCAGACCTCAATCCAATAGAAAATCTGTGGTCAGACTTAAACATTGCTGTTCACAAGCGCAAACCATCCAACGTGAAGGAGCTGGAGCAGTTTTTCAAGGAGGAATGGGCAAACATCCCAGTGGTAAGATGTGGCAAGCTCATAGAGGCTCTACAAAGTATTGACTTTAGGGGGGTGAATAGTAATGCACATTGACCTTTTCTGTCATTTTGTCCTATTTGTTGTTTGCTTCACAATAAAAAAAAAAATCTTCAAAGTTGTGTGCAAGTTCTGTAAATTAACTGATGCAAATCCTCAAACAATCCATGTTAATTCCAGGTTGTGAGGCAACAAAACACACAAAATGCCAAGGGGGTGAATACTTTTGCAAGGTACTGTATGTCTCTTTTATAATGTTTTAGGGTGTTTTTGCTGGCATTTGACACCACACCAAGGGATGGCAGTTGGAAACTAGCTAATACTGGCACATGTAAATTCCTGAGGCGAGGACCTATGATTAAAGGGAATATTTAAAGTGTTTAAGAGGCCCAGATAACACGTGCAGAAATAAATAGTCTTGGTGCAAAGTTACAGTCGATGATACAGAATTAACATACATTAAACAGGTTTATGCCAAAAGGAGACAACGAAAACGGCAGCTTTGATTAACCAACACATCATTAAAGGGATATTGCTTTATAGTAGGTAGAGTCACGGTCAGTGCGGTCAGTGCGGTCTGAATGGAAACAGATCCGTGTCTTGGGGTCTGTGCCATCTTCATACCTGACTGCTCCTGGCCTGGGTCTCGGCTTGGCTGCCTCTGGCCTGGGTCTCGGCTTGGCTGCCTCTGGACTGGGTCTCGGCTTGGCTGCCTCTGGCCTGGGTCTCGGCTTGGCTGCCTCTGGCCTGGGTCTCGGCTTGGCTGCCTCTGGCCTGGGTCTCGGCTTGGCTGCCTCTGTCCTGGGTCTCGGCTTGGCTGCCTTGGGTCTCGGCTTGGCTGCCTCTGGCCTGGGTCTCGGCTTGGCTGCCCCTGGCCTGGGTCTCGGCTTGGCTGCCTCTGGCCTGGGTCTCGGCTTGGCTGCCCCTGGCCTGGGTCTCGGCTTGGCTGCCTCTGGCCTGGGTCTCGGCTTGGCTGCCTCTGGCCTGGGTCTCGGCTTGGCTGCCTCTGGCCTGGGTCTCGGCTTGGCTGCCTCTGGCCTGGGTCTCGGCTTGGCTGCCTCTGGCCTGGGTCTCTACTTGGGTGATCTTTGCCTCCCGGGGCTTCAGGCTGCTCACATCCACCTCGTCCTCGTTGCCGTAGCTGTCAAACAGGACTCTGCAGCGCTCCCCCTCCAGCTTCAGGATGGTGGCGGCATAGATGTTCCCATCCTCAGACCACACGGCCTGACACGGCTCTCCCACGGCCCACTGAGGCTGGAGAACCACAGCAGCCTACACCAGAGCCAGAGAAGATTTCACTGTGGTTACATACACTAGTAAAGAAATGGTGGGAGAGCTACTTGTCCAAGAAATAACAAATAAGGGTCAATACTGAGACTAACATTATTTGTAACATCAAAAGTGTTGGAATTGTGTGAATTGTGTTTTCCAAAGAATATATTCAATGCATTAATTAGGGCTGGGGCACGTAGGGAGAGAATTCTCGACCTATCATGGCCGAGTACGAACCACATAACATTCTGGGAAATGCAGAACAAAAAAACGCAACAGTCTATGACCCACCATGTGTAGCGTCCATGGATCTACAGATCGTGTTTCAATGGCGTGTCAATAGTTATGCAAGTCTGTGAAAGGAATAGTATGTGCAGCGCGGAAGAGGCAGTGGCAAAAGCAAGAGATAAACTTTTTCCTCTGAAAAAATAAAATAAAATCGATCATTCTCGATATCGACCGATATGAATCCCTTATATTGTTATTCAGTTTTCAGCCAAATCGCCCATCCCTAGCATTAATATGATTTTATTTTGTTGTGGAACTTGATTAAAACATGTAAGTAACAGGAAGTCACAGACTTGCTTTGGCTCTCGGTGCAAACAAGTCAAAAGTAGAGAAAGAATAAGGCATAATAAAACCTAAAGTATAACATTTTCTAAAATATAAAACATTAAAAAGTCAAATGATTATCATATACAGTGGGGCAACAAAGTATTTAGTCAGCCACCGATTGTGCAAGTTCTCCCACTAGAATAATGACAGGTCTGTAATTTTCATCATAGGTACACTTCAAATGTGAAGAAAAAAAAGGAATTCACATTGTAGGATTTTTAAAGAATTTATTTGTAAATTATGGTGAAAAATAAGTATTTGGTCAATAACAAAAATTCAACTCGATACTTTGTAATATAACCTTTGTTGGCAATAACAGAAGTCGAACTATTACTATAGGTCTTTACAAGGTTTGCACACACAGTAGCTGGTATTCTGGCCCATTCCTCCATGCAGATAAGATAAGAATTCCTTTATTCGTCCCACAGTGGGGTAATTTCGATGTTGCATCGCACATTGATATTGGAATGTAACTTAAGTTATCATTTTGGTAAATCATATGTGGCTATGTGCTGAATGCTCTGTATTGTAATTCACTTTAGCTTCAGGAAGACACCAGGAGGTCTGGGGAGCTCATATGCTAAGTGTCTTTTGTTGTGTTGGTTTCTTCCTTTCCCATCTGCATACGAAGGTGTGTCTTGTTCTACCAAAAGGGGCTTGCCATCTGTGAATCTTCAGACTTGTCCTGAGAGAGGCTAGGGTCTGTGCCTTGCCTCTGTCAAGACATTCTCCTTGTACAATGTAACAAGTAAAAGATTAACTTTGTCTCTTTCTTGTGTGAGATTTCATCAGGTTCAACTGTGGTTGAAACAGCATTATCACACATACAGGACAGTAGTAAGAGCACACAGGGATCAAACACAATATATATACTATATATATACAAATAAGTAGTAGCTATGTTTCTTAGCTAACATAACTAGCTGTAGATGCTGAAAATGCTTCGATACCAGTCAAAAAATATATATGTAGTAGTGCAGTTATATACTGTACAGTTAAATAGTGCAGGATAAAAAGTATATAAGTAAAGTGACATGAGGTAAAGTGACATTGTTCTGTGACATTCTGAAGTTGCAGTATTGCACATTGCACATGATTTAAGAGTTTACTTAATTACAGATGAATGAAATTTACAGGCTCAGCAGTTCTTATTGTACAGTCTGACAGCAGCAGGAAGGAAAGACCTACGGAACCTCTCCTTCACACAGCGAGGGTGAATTAGTCTGTCACTGAAGCTGCTCTCCAGAGCAGAGAGAGTGTCCTGCAGGGGGCGACAGTCATGGTCCAGCATAGATGTTAGTTTGTCCAGGACCCTCCTGTCCCCCACCTGCTACACTGTGTCCAGGGAACAGCCCAGGACTGAGCTGGACTTCCTGATGACCTTGTCCAGCTTCTTCCTGTCCCTCTCTGTGATGCTGCTGTTCCAGCAGTTATAAAGGGCAGTAAAGTTGCTTTATAAAGGACAGTAAAGTTGCTTTATAAAGGGCAGTAAAGTGGCTTTATAAAGGGCAGTAAAATGACCTTATAAGGGCGGGGGACAAGGTTATGAAGTGTTCAAGAGTTCAACAGCAGAGGGGAAGAAACTGTTCTTATGGCGGGAGGTTCTGGTCCGAATGGACCGTAGCCTCCTGCTTGAGGGGAGAGGTTGGAACAGTCCATATGCAGAGTGAGAGGGGTCGGCTGTGACATGACCGGAGGTCAGGGTAAATACCAACCGAGAGTTGCATTACAATCAAAGTGAGGTTAATTAATTTTAGTAAATGTATTATATCTTGTAGACAGCAGTAAACAAACACATATCAACTCAAATACTAAATAAATGGAAGTCACCATTTGATATGTTTAACTCAACGCTGTCCTTTTCGCCTTCTTAACTGATCACAGGTCAAACATTTGAAACAAGTCAGATTTTTACAACAATTTCAAAAATGATTTCATTGACTGCGTTGCTTAAGTTTTTATGTGTGTAGTAATGTAGCGTTAGAGCAGTGTGCAGTTGAGCAGGACGAGCAGAAGCTGTTACTGTGAAATACCTGGACTTGAGGAAAGTGGGTCTTCTCTTCAGGGACAGTGATCCGCTGAGGCTGGCTGAGCAGAGGCTGGCTGAGCAGAGGCTGGCTGAGCAGAGGCTGGCTGAGCAGAGGCTGGCTGAGCAGAGGCTTGGGGAGCAGAGGTTGGGGGAGCAGAGGCTGGGGGAGCAGAGGCTGGGGGAGCAGAGGCTGGGGGAGCAGAGGCTGGGGGAGCAGAGGCTGGGGGAGCAGAGGCTGGGGGAGCAGATGCTGAGGGTGCAGAGGTGGGGCTGGCACATCAGTCTGGTCTGCTGGAGGTCTCACATCCAGAGTCTCTTCCTCTGTTCCCTCACAGTCACATCTCTTTAGTCCTGGCTCATTCCCACCCTAACAAAGAGGACGAATTATAACACATTTGAAACATAGTTATGTGGGCTACACAAACATTTCTTCAATTACTTAGTTTTAATAACAATTAGTAATGTATCCATCTACTTGTGTTTTACTGTGACTACAGCTGTACATTAGCACTCCTGCTCCAACCTGGTAGAATGTACCTCTTCTGTAGGCTAATGTTAATTGCACATTGTCCCTGTAAAAATCTAAATCATAACATACCAACAGCCCAAACTCTGATTGTAAGAGCTTCACTCACCCAAACATTGCTCCATAGCCAACATTATCCCTTGTATGAGACTAGTTTTAGAATCTTACTTTTTATGCTGTCCAAAATTCATACACTCATTGTGTATAAAGTGATAAACATTAGAAACAATTATTGTATCAAAATGACATATCTACATGGTTGGTTAATGAATGAATGAATGTAGGTAACCTAGCTGACATGTGCAGTACTATCAAACCCTCTCATTGCTAACATGGACAGTAGAATCACATGTTGTGATAAAGACAATAGCGAAAAAGATCTGTTCAATAGACACCTTCTTAAATTCAATAAAAAGCATATAAAAATATCACAGTCATTCATAATTCTTTTCTATCATGACTATTTGAATGTTCCATTTCAAACATCACATGCAAAACTCTAAACTAGAGCAAAGTTCAAGTTTGTCCAGTTAAATATTGGCGCTAAATATACACGTAACAGAAAAAAAACTACCTGTGTGGAATACATAGTGTCCCCAAAAGCTTCCACCATTGTGATCTCCACTGTGGTGGCGCCAGAGTCGGCCTCCGCCTTGGAAAATACAAAACAACAACATTAGCGTTTGCACTGAAGGCTAAGGGCGTTAGCTTAGCGCCCTGTTAGCATCCACGCTAGGTCACAGCTGCTTTTTATAGCGAAAAGGACGATTTCTTTTAGATAGGCAGTATGGAATAAAAACGCACCGACTCTGTGGTTCCGAGAAGATTGCCAATTTCAATCATGTTGCTCATGCTGTAAATGAGGACCGGCCAAACTTTCGCACCAAAACAGTGCAAAAGTTTGAACGGCTGCAAGCGCGAGCCGAACCGGAAGTGCACTACAAAAGAAAATATATTTTTTTCATTCTGCTGAGAAAACGAAAGCTCTTAGGTCGAGAACAATTAATAATTAAATCAAAGTAATACATAGTAATATATAATTAAACGACTCAGTACAAATACATAAACAAATAGACTTTTATTGTCTATGTCGATGATACAGATGATGTCTGTATTTATGTATTGAATTATTTGAACATGGACCAAGACATGGACACGTTTCTGTTAAAAGTTATGATGCAAGAGCCAGAGCATAGTTTTAAATCCGACGAGGTGTAGATGCAATTTCACAATCGGCCGCCAGGTGTCGTAGTTTCAGCGCTTTCCGCAGGTGACAGTGTCCGCTGCTCTGATTGGCTGCTGAGAGGGGCGTGCGGAGTGACGAACAGGGAAGCAAGATGGCGGCGGTGACGAGAGGCTCCTTCAGTGTTTTCAGGCGATTGGTGAGACATTAACCCGCGCTGTTTCACGTTACACACGTTAAACACCTTTATGTACCGTTCCTCGACACCCCCCCCTACAAACAGCCGCCAAACGCGGTCCAAATGTGGCCAGGACAGGATGAAACAGCGCTGTCTACGTGTTGTGGAGCTGATGCTAATATTGCTAGCGTCGGACAAACATACAGCTATGCACCAAAACACACGGGAGCAATTTGTGAAGAGCCATTTTTTTTCAAGCATATCGGGGATTGCTGTCTTTTGTTAGCCCCTTGTCAGCTGCCATCGTCCTCAAACTCTCGACTTTATGATCTCTGTTGTCCTCTTCCACCTTCACTTGTCATCTATCACAGAATACATCAGTCTCACATCCTCAAGGTCTTATTTTAAAGCTGAGGCACCTGACTTTGAAACTACAGTCAATGGATCAATGTAATAAAATCCTTGTCACGAGGTCCTGGCTCTGAAACAGTTTGCGTCTATTACCAGTTTTCACATGCACGTATTTCTGTCACATTTGTGTACATCAATATTTTCACACAGTAAAGTGAAAAAGAAAGGGCCACCCTCAATCAGTCCAAAAAGAGTGTCTCATGGGGAGAATAAATGTCCAATATGATAATGAGAGCTTACGGCTTTCTTTTGGACTAAGCAAGGTACCCCAGCTTTAAATAATTGAAATGAAATCACTTTGATGGTGTTTAATCGAAGACATTAGAGATTCAGTCTCAGAAGTACCAAAAACAGATGTTAATTAATGCTTAAACTAGTTTAGAACTAAAAATAAAGTTGTATGTTTGTGTGGTTGCCTGTGTGTGTGTGTGTGTACGTGTGTCTCAGTTGTCTCAGCAGTATCGCCGCCGCTGCTTCCGTCCTCTCAGCCTCCGCTCCGAGCGCAGTGTCCAGACTTCATCCTTCACGTGTGAGAGAAGCCTGCGGAGAGTGGCCTTCAGGTCCATCCACACCAGCATCAGTAAAACTCGCCTTCTCTTGTCTTTTAAATATCAGTGTTTGTAGATATCATCCTTTTGTCCCCAAATTCTATTCCAATGTTCGCCATCTTATAGCTTTGTAAAGTGGAGCTGGAGACTTGTGTTTGTTATTTTTGCATTTCCTGTGTTCCAACTGTTTGATTCTCTTAACTGTGTCCTCAGAGACAACTTTTCTCCAAATATTTGCCCATGGAGCCAGTTTGAGTGAAGCATAAACAATCCATATCGGTCTTTTCCCACTACGTTTTGGATCTTCTCAAAACAGCAAGACTTTATTGAAAACTCCTTTCTTTTTCTGCTGTTTAATCCAATCATGTTCTGTTTTTTCAGTGCACCATGGGCCCGTCGTCCAGTTCAAACTGTCCGACATCGGAGAGGGCATCATGGAGGTGACGATGAAAGAATGGTACGAACGACGTTATGTATATTTTACGGGATGTTAAAAATGTACAAAATTTAAAAACTCAGAATGTGTCCTTTTCAGTGGTTTTTATTTGGTCGTGTGGCGAACAAGTATGAGTTGAATGTGTGTAGCTGGACCTTGTTGTGTACTGTAGTGTAACTTTAGTGCACGTTGTGTGTCCAGGTACGTGAAGGAGGGGGACAAAGTGTCTCAGTTCGACAGCATCTGTGAGGTGCAGAGCGACAAAGCCTCGGTCACCATCACGAGCCGATACGACGGCGTCATCAAGAAACTCTACTACGAGCTGGACGCCACAGCGCTGGTGGGAATGCCCCTCGTGGACATCGAGACGGAGCAGGAATCAGGTCAGACACACACACGCACACAGACACGCACACAGACACACACACAGATACACACACAGGGATCAGGTCAGAGCATACACTGTTGTAAACACGCACACTCTTTCGCTCTGGTCCCTCTCTCTGGTCTCTCTCAGGTCTCTCTGGCCTCACCCTCTGGTCTCTCTCTGGTCTCTCTCTGTTCTCTCTCTCTCTCTGGTGTCTCTCTCTGGTGTGTCTCTCTCTAGTCTCTCTCTCTAGTCTCTCTCTCTGGTCTCTCGCTCTGGTCTCTCTCTCTGGGCTCTCGCTCTCTCTCTGCTCTCACCCTCTGGTCCCTCTCTCTGGTCTCTCTCTGGTCTCACCCTCTGGTCTCTCTCTCTGGTCTCTCTCTCTCTGGTGTCTCTCTCTGGTGTGTCTCTCTCTGGTCTCTCGCTCTGGTCTCTCTCTCTGGTCTCTCTCTCTCTCTCTCTCTGCTCTCACCCTCTGGTCCCTCTCTCTGGTCTCTCTCTGGTCTCTCTCTGGCCTCACCCTCTGGTCTCTCTCTCTGGTGTCTCTCTCTGGTGTCTCTCTCTGGTCTCTCTCTCTGGTGTCTCTCTCTGGTGTGTCTCGCTCTGGTGTCTCTCTCTGGTCTCTCTCTGGTCTCTCTCTCTGGTTTCTATCTCTTGTCACTCTCTTGTCACTCTCAGGTCTCTCTCTGGTCTCTCTCTGGCCTCTCTCTCTCTGGTCTCTCTCTGGCCTCTCTCCCTCTGGTCTCTCTGGCCAAAAAAGTAGCTACTCCAGCTTTTAAATCTGAAAAAAACATTAAAATGTCCCAACCATGTGCCGCGTCCAAAGCTGTGGTGTGTGTGCAGAGGTGACCCAGGAGGAGGACGTGGTGGAGACTCCTGCGATGGCCCGAGAGGAGCACACGCACCAGGAGATCAAAGGACACAAGACTCAGGCCACTCCTGCCGTGAGGCGCCTGGCCATCGAGAACAACGTAAGATTAAGAAAAGAAATGTCAGTGTTGCATCAACAGTTACAGAACGGTAGGAGTGAGGAGCACACAACACAAGATTAGTGAACAATAACTCTTTTACTTTGAAAATAAATTAAAATCTCTAACTTTATCATAATGAAGAAGCAAGTACCTGATTATTAACTAACCTCAAGTCTTAGACACTGTCACATACAGCGAATGGAGAGGAAGAAAGTTAAAGTACACAGTTTAATCTCTGTTCTAGCCTCAGACTGTTCTAACATAATTTCTAACCTCAGACGGTTCTAACATAAGTTCTAACCCTCAGATTAAGCTGAGCGAGGTTGTGGGCACGGGCAGAGACGGCCGCATCCTCAAAGAAGACATCCTGAACTTCCTGTCGCGTCAGACGGGCGCCATCTTACCCCCGGCGCCGTTCCAGGAGATCCGGCCCCCTCCCCCTGCTTCTGCTGCTGCCACGGCAACCGCACCCGTCACCGCTGTGAGCAAACCCCCGCCGGTCGCTATGCCCAAACCCGTGTTCAGCGGGAAGAACGTCACAGAACCGCTCAAAGGTGACGATAAACAACAAAACAACTCTATACAGTCTATGGAATGAACAGGTGACGGGGGAGGCTAGAATTCCCAGAAAAGTCATTTCATTATTTTTCTTTGTGGTTCAATAATATTTACACTCGAGTTTTTATAATTCTACGCATGCTTAAATGCATAATGCATTTTGATTAGCATACATATGTTATCATTTTTAGGAGTTAGAGATTAATTAACATCTCTATGTAAAATTCTGACGTAGAAAGTAAAACTGTAAAATGACTGACTTAATATTGTGTCAATGAGCAAAGGGAAAATAACTGACCAATAATAGTTCGTTCAGTTATTTTGGTCTGTTCCACTGCTCCCTGTTTGAAGTGAAAACCTGCTGTTGCAGGTTTCCACAAAGCGATGGTGAAGACGATGACAGCGGCGTTGAATATTCCACACTTCGGATACTGTGACGAGGTGGACCTGAGCCGCCTGGTGTCTCTGCGCAAAGACCTGCAGTCCCTGACCGCGCCACAGGGGGTCAGGCTCAGCTACATGCCCTTCTTCATCAAGGTACACTCCTCTTCATAACAGATCTAAATAATGTAAACACCCTCATCTGGTGGTAAAAGTGGGAGATTACATTGTGCTTGTGTAGTTATGGTTTAACTCCAGGTCTGTTTTGATAAGGTTTAAGGACGGGACATGGTTAAAAACTCAAAATGAATGATTTTTCATGTACAAATCATTCATGATATTGTTGTAGTTTAGCGCAGTCTGAATGCCTGTCTCTGGTTCCAGGCTGCGTCTCTGGGGCTCTTGCACTTCCCCATTCTCAACGCCTCCCTGGATGAAGCCTGTCAGAACATCACATACAAGGTACAGCTCCCATCATGCACCTGTTCAGAACTACAGAAAAGCAGGCATGTCAAACTCCGGCCCATAAAATAATTTTTTGTTATGTTCAATTATCTTTATCTTTAATTATCACAGTAACTTGCAGCGGCTACTATGGCATGTTATACTTAATTTTAAAGCAATGTGTTTAGATGTGTTGTGGTGTGTTGCAGGCGTCCCATAACATCGGCCTAGCCATGGACACGGCTCAGGGGCTGCTGGTGCCCAACGTGAAGAACGTGCAAACGCTGAGTGTGTTTGAGATCGCTCAGGAGCTGACCAGACTGCAGACTCTGGGGGCCGCGGGTCAACTGGGGACCGGGGACCTGAGCGGAGGAACCTTCACTCTGTCTAACATAGGATCTGTACGTCACACCACAAATACCCAACCCTCAACTAGAGAGAGACCAGAGAAAGACATGAGAGAGAGAGAAAGAGAGACATGACAGAGAGAAAGAGACCAGAGGGAGACCAGAGAGAGACATGAGCGACCAGAGAGAGAGAAGCCAGCGAGAGACATGAGACAGAGAGTGGAGAGAGACCAGAAAGAGAGACTATGAAGAGGCCAGATAGAGACCAGAGGGAGGGACCAGAGAGACCAGATTCTAGTGCTTATTTGCTTTTCTTTTTGGTCCCTTTTGTGTTTTGCAAAGAACTTAAATATTTGCAGTGTTTGCCATTTTCCTAAACTCTCATCCAATCTCTTTTACGTAACCATCCTTTTGCTCGTTCGCTCTTTTGAGGATTTGAGGTTGATGATTTCTAATTTTCTCTGTGTCCTGTTGCAGATTGGAGGAACGTACGCTAAGCCTGTAATTCTGCCTCCAGAGGTCGCTATTGGGGCTTTAGGAAAAATCCAGGTGAGTGAGAAGAGTAGATAAAACCATGGATGTATGTCATTATCTCGAGGGTGTTGCTGCTTAAACCGTCTCCACCTGGACAAGAGGCCACCCCCGGTACTGCAGCCTAAATCCATATGGGCAGACGGGGAACCTAATCTTACAGACTCGGGGTATCCAATTGGACAAAACAGCATCAATTGAGCGTCAATCCTTCATAAAAAACAGACCATGATTTGATATTGATTGAAAGTAGTGTGCAAACTGTTACATCTCGAGACGTGTTCACAACGAAGGACTAGGTTTAGAGTGTGTCCTCTTTTGTGAGTGACCAGGTCTAGAGTGTGTCCTCTGTTGTGACCAGGTTTGGAGTGTGTCCTCTGTTGTGACCAGGTCCAGAGTGTGTCCTCTGTTGTGACCAGGTCTAGAGTGTGTCCTCTGTTGTGACCAGGTCTAGAGTGTGTCCTCTGTTGTGACCAGGTCCAGAGTGTGTCCTCTGTTTTAACCAGGTTTAGAGTGTGTCCTCTGTTGTGACCAGGTCTAGAGTGTGTCCTCTGTTGTGACCAGGTCCAGAGTGTGTCCTCTGCTGTGACCAGGTCCAGAGTGTGTCCTCTGTTGTGACCAGGTCCAGAGTGTGTCCTCTGTTGTGACCAGGTCCAGAGTGTGTCCTCTGTTTTAACCAGGTCTAGAGTGTGTCCTCTGTTGTGACCAGGTCTAGAGTATTTCCTTTGTTGCGACCAGGTCCAAAAACTGCACAGGTTCCCTTTGTTTTCTCGTATTTTCAGTGTAAATGTATTAGAGCAGTGCTTTCTTGTGCCTCAGTGACGCCCTCTTGTGCTTGTGCAGGTGCTTCCACGATTTGACTCTGCGGGTCATGTGACTGCAGCCCACATCATGAATGTCAGCTGGTCAGCAGACCACCGCATCATTGACGGCGCCACCATGTGTCGCTTCTCCAACATGTGGAAGGATTACCTGGAGAGTCCAGAGCGTATGCTGCTGCACCTCAGATGAGCTCCCATGAGCCTCCGCTTCAGGAGGGACTACAGCTCCCATGAGCCTCTGCTTCAAGGAGGGACAACAGCTGCCACCCACCCCCATGCTTCAGGAAGGACCATGTGAAAGAAAATGCATTCTATAGAAGATCATTGTTAAAAGCGGGTGAATTTCCAACACTGCAAAAAACATGTTATCATTTCCATTTATCCATTTTCTTCTTATTCAGCCTTTATCCATTGCTGGGCTGCAGAGGCTACAGGTAGAGCAGATTCTTGCTAGCTTAAGCCAGTCGCGAATATGGGACTCGAGGCCTCCCCTCAATTCCTCCTTTTCCGTTTTGTTGAGGTGAATCTGTTTCCTTTTTATAATTTATTTACAAATTAAAATTATTTGTCTGGAAACAAAGGAGATGATGCAAGCTTTTATAAACACGCTATTTTTACAAAATAATTCTTTATTTTTCCTTGAGCCAGCATGGGAAGTTGAAATATATAAACTTGTGAAACCATTTCATAGCTTGACAATAATAGAAACATTAAAAAACTTCATAGACATTCTTCCATTTTTTATTTTAAAGTTAAATGTTCTGATTGTATTTCCCATAGCTTTAACTTCATGCTCTGGATTTAAAATCATTTCCCCCTTTTGGGTTTTTATCCCTTGGAATACAACTGTAACAGAACTTTTTAATTTTTTTCCAGTGTTAAAGTCAGTGTTAGAAATTCACCAGCATTTTGGATTCAAATAGTCCTGTATTGAACCTCACTTTAACATTGTATTAATGGGATGCAAATGAACGTCTTTCTCTCCGAAGCAGAGGTCGCTCAGCTCTGGTCACACCTGTGGACCTGCGATGGAGGATTCTTCTGCGCACAACTTTTTCCCGCAGGGTTCACGGCTTGTGGGAAAACACTTCCTGTACTGCGTTTTATTTTGAAAAGAGCGACGTCTTAAGAGCTGTAAACGAGACTAGAGAGAGCGCTAGTTGGCGGACATTTTGCTTTTCCAGAAGCGCGGAATTCTTAGAGATATAATTGTACAAACAGACTGATAAAATGTACCTAACTTTAAAACTACAAAAAATTAACCAACTAATATTTTTTTTTAGTCTTTTCCATATCCAAACAAGTCAAAAGTTAGGTCCTCAGCTTTAAATGGACAAATCTCATAATGGTATATGACTTATTTATCATTTTGAAAAGACCAGCTCCTTCAGCGTTGTTATGAGTTTGTCAGTACGATCCCGCTCTCTCTAGTCCTGTACTGGGCCATGACGCCACTTCCTGTCCTCTGCCGTTGCCTGTTACTTTTACGTGATGCCTTTGAGCAATGTTCAACTTTTTGGACTTTTCAGCACAAACGAGCGACACCGTCGCTTGCACTTTCCTCGCTTTTTGTTTCCAAGTCGTAATATGCAAAACAAACTGGAAAAAGCAGTGAAGGCGTTGTGTGTAATTGTACTTTACATTTTGCCTGGAACCTTCTGCAGTACAGTAGTCCCGGGTTTATTGCGGGAGTTACGGTCTGAAGATAAACTATAACAAGATAAATACTTGAAGAAGCAGCTGTAAAACCCTCACACACACTTTATACACTTTTCTAACCTCCTGAACTCACAACTGCTGAAGTGAGAGAGACCTGAGATATTAAACATGTTGGTTGTAGGTCTGAGCGCTGCTGCAGCTGTCAAAAGCCGTGCATACACTGTAAAACACAGAGGACACCGCACTGAGAGGCAGGACTGAGGGCTGCGGGAAGATAAGAGAGAGATCAGAGAGAGAGAGACACCAAACAGAGAGAGACCACGGCAGTCCTCTGAACTAAGCCAGAAGTTTTCTTCTGACTTTAAATCAATTAAACTGTCCTGTTGTACCAGCGGTTATATGATGTTGTATATAATTTTGGAGTATACACAAGGCCACATGAAAAGCACGCTGTAAAAAAATAAAAAATAAATAAACACTCACAATTACATAAAAATCCTCTGGTCAAGAGTTGTGGGGAAGGACCGAATTGATAAAGAGTTTCTTCTGCAGAGTGGCTGGAAGGAGCTCGACGTAGAGCCACTACATCCCTCGAGTTTAGTACAGAACATTCCAGGCAATTCATAAAATTATCAAAATGGACACAGTTCTACTTTATCTGCGCTGTTCTGTAGAAACTGCAGCCGCGGTGTCGCTCTCTTACATGTTTGTTTGTTTCCTTTCTCTTATTTTTCCACATAAAAGTAGAATTTCTGGTTGAGAAGTGAATGTAACAATATCCGCATTTAATATAAGTGAATTTGTTTCTGCTCACTCCACTTTATAACATTCTCTACAAAATGGAAGGTGTTTTTAGAATTGTAGCATTTTTGAAATAAGTTTAACAACATTTCTTTTCACACATTTGGTTTTGAGTTTCCACATGTTTCTGTCGGTCTGTAACTTCATCGTCTAAAGTAAATATTAGTGTTTTATCTTTTGTATTGTGGGAGTAGGAGCTCTTGTCTCATCATTATTTGTGTGTGAACTGTGTGACTACTGCTGAATGAGTTTAAATAAATAAAGGTTTACGGTCAAACTCTGGGTATTTTATTGAAGTTTCAGTCACTTTGCCAGATCTAGGGTATGCCCACGACTGTGAGTCCAAGTCGGATGCAGGATGGGAAAAGAGTCGCTAAGAATTTTGGTGTTTTTTTTTACTTTCAATTGTTCATTTATTAGCCACATTTTTATCCCTGTTGATTTTAATTTCAGTCCTAATTGATTTTTGGACAGGTCGCTGGTCTCACCCTTTCTCTCGGGTCCCTCACTGGTCTCTCTCTCGCCCCGCTGGTCTATCTCTTACGTCTAGTCTCACTCTCCTGCTTAATTGTGCCGTTTCTTCAGAAGACATATTTGGAAAGTGGGAAGTTTCTTTTGACACGCTCTAGTCCGGGATGAAAAGCCAACACAGGTCCAAACAACACGCCCACCTGTCTCATTGTTGTTCCCACCAACGGCCTTATTTCCCAGCGTCAGTGAAGGCCTCACGCTGCTATTTAAAACCTGTATCTCAAAGATTAGAGCCCGGTCCCACACTCGCGCTCTCACGTTCCACAAAGAGCAGTCTGGTCTTATTTTACGCTTTTATTTTTGGACAAAGTTTCTGTTGTTTTCTTAAAGTTTGGCCACATTTTAATGAAACTGCTTACGTCAACAACAAGGAAATTATTTGAGATTCTGATAAATAATTAGTAGTTAAATGTGTTCCTGGACAAAGACAAATGTTTATATGTGGAATCGCTCTGGTCTCATTCTCAGCTCTCTCTGGTTACTCTCTGGTCTCTGATCTCTCTGGTGTCTCCGGTCTCTCTCTGGTTTCTTGTTCCATGTGGCTAGAATCAGTCTACATCTCACATCTTGACTTTAAATCTTTGGTTCAAAATGCTTACATTTTTTTCAATAGGAGCCAGTGCGAGTTGGTCCATCTGTATACAGTCTGGTAGAATAGGCCGAGAAAATCACTGTGACCTCCAATCAATGTTTTTTTTAAAGTGGTTTTATTTAGTTTTTTTTCTGGTTCACATGACGTGCTCTGACCCAGTGGCTGGACGCTCACTTAGTCTCGTGACCAGAGGATTATTTTGGGTTCAGGCTCTGGTTACATGACAGAGAAGTGGAGTGTGGAGCTAAGAGAGACCAGGGAGAGAGACCACAAAGATCAGAGACCAGGGAGAGAGGCCACAAAGATCAAAGAGGTCAAAGAACCCAGAGAGAGAGACCAGAGAGGTGTGAGAGTAACCAGTGAGAGATCAGGGAGTCAGACCAGAGAGAGACCACAGAGACCAGAGAGAGACCACAGAGACCAGTGAGAGACCACAGAGACCAGAGAGAGACCAGAGTTGAGTGTGGAGCGGTTGAGCAGACCACACTTTCTCTTTCCTGCGGTTGTTTCACTTTGTTCCTGTTTGAAAGACGAGCTGCTGGAGTGTGTGGAGCAAACACTGCCTCAGGTTTGATCCAGTCCCTTCAGATCTGGGATCTTCAGTCTTCTCTGCAGTTTGAGGTAAACACAAGGTGGAATTTTTGTTTATTCTTGTGCAAAAACTAGACTTCTGTGTGTGCTGTGGATGTCTTTTTCTTTCATTTAAAGCTGGGGTACGTAACTTTCAGACCACAAAAATAGAACTCTGTAAAAAAATCCATGTCAGTAGTTCCTCGCTCTAAACCTGTAGCTTCTTTCTCATTACTTCTTTTATTTCTGGCCTCAGCTTTATCAGACAGAAAAGTTCTAAAGGGGGACCACCCTCAGCTCAACAATGTTTGCTATGATCAGTCCACTCTATGCTCCATGGTCCCCGCTCATGCTAATCGCTGCTAAAGCCTAAATCGATGACAGAAGGCATCGGATTGGTCAATACTTATGAGTCTAAATTTACAAAGACAATGTCACAACACCAGAATCACAGAGAGAATTAAACCATTTTTTTTGTTTTACCCAAAGTGGTCAGTCTGACAATGATTACTGAGCTAGAGGAGTCCTTTTGACTTTTCAATGTAAGTCAATAGGAGCCAGAGTGAGTTGGACCTAAACTTTGTCCATGAGCACTTCCCAATTGGGGTTCATTGAGCGAGCCGGTTAGCATTGTCCATCTGTAGACAGTCTAGTTGATTGTCGATTTAGCATAACATGTCTCCTTTAAGTCTAGTAAAGCCAGATGTTCAACAAACTCCACAAAAGTCAATGTTCTGGTGGTTTTTTTTGACAGTGAAGCTGAGATCAAAGCAGGATGAGTGGTCGCGGGCGGAGCCTGTGTGCCAGCGGTGTGACATCATCATTGCGGTGACATCATCATTGCGGTGACATCATGGTGCTGGTGGTCTGCAGCTCCGTGTCGTCCATCAAAGCCCTGTGGGAAACACGCATCCGTAAGATCAGCGAGGACCGTGAGGAGCAGAGGAGGAGGAGGGGCCCCCAGGAGCCAAAGGCAAACAGGTGACAGGGGTTTGCTTTCTGGTTGGGATTCCTCCAGGTGCTCTGGTTTCCGGCGACAGAGACTAGAGAGAGACCAGAGTGACATGAGAGAAACGTGAAAGACCATAGAGAGAGAGAGAAATACCAGACAGAGACCAGAGAGGGATCAGAGAGAGTGACCAGAGAGGAACCAGAGAGACCAGAGAGAGTGACCAGATGGAGTGACCAGAGAGAGAGACCAGAGATAGAGACCAGAGATAGAGACCAGAGAGAGACCAGAGAGACCAGAGAGAGAGACCAGAGAGAGAGACCAGAGAGAGAGACCAGAGAGAGACCAGAGAGAAACCAGAGAGGCTGCCATTCGGCTCTCAGCCCAAACTTGGGTTCTTTCACTAATCTGTAACCAGGAGATTGTGTGTGTGTGTGTATTTATGTGTGTATATGTATATACAGTATTACATAAATATGTGTGTTGCAGGGTGGGAGTGGGTGTGTGGGAGGACCGCGCCCTCCTGGCTCGCCTCACACAGAGGGTGCACACAGAGGAGGGTCGCCTGGTGCTGAGGCTGGAGCAGGAGTCCTGGAGCTCCTTACCTTCGTGCCTCCTTCACTTCACGCAGCTGCAGGAGTGGCACGTCCACCGCACCGGCCTCACCGCGCTGCCCGCCTTCTGCAGCAGCTTCCACGGCCTCATGGTGATCGACCTGTCCCGCAACGCCCTGGCCCACGTCCCCAAGGAGATCGGTACAACACCCACTCCATCACAAACCCATTCACCAGAACCCTGTTTATACAACTTAAAGGAGACATATCATGCATTATTTCTGTCAAATCCAATCCACTTTACTGTATATAGCACATTATATAGATAGATAGATAGATTCTTTATTGATCCCCGTCTGAGAAATTCAGGTGTCCAGCGGCAGCTAAAATAAAAAATAAAATGGATCATTCTAAAAAGATAACAATAGTAATAATCAGCAACAGCCCTTCAGGTCCCAGCAGCAGAGGTGGAGTAGCCTCTGGGTGGAGCTGGACGGGTCACAGCAGCAGAGGTGGAGCAGTCTCTGGGTGGAGCGGGATGGGTCACAGCAGCAGAGGTCGAGTAGCCTCTGGGTGGAGCAGGACGGGTTTAGTTTATTTAAGATGACAGGGACAGTGTACAATAAACACCAACCCCAAATGGAGAGATGCACCAGGATATAGCTCAGGAGCTAATTTCCACCCGTAGTCCCAGGGCAGGCTGATGTTATATTACATTAAAATAACAGACTCATGGATGTACGATTTACATTTGGTCAAAATACAAGTCTTCACCTGCACAATTTGTTAAAACCTCACATTCACATCGCTCATTTATACAGGTCAATCACACACCAAAGTAAAATGCTAATTGCTTCATTAGCAGTTTTCAAAAAGTTAGCATTCCTCCTGTGGATTTTCACCTGATACGCTTGATTCAGACCATGAATCCTCTCTGCTCTGGTCTGGACCAGTGTAAAACCATGAATCCTCTCTGCTCTGGTCTGGACCAGTGTAAAACCATGAACACTGAACTGCAGCAACATCTCAGGTATGAAAAAGCTATAAAAAATAAAAATTGTAAAGCACAAAACAACAACTGTCTCAGAGTTAGGACTTGCAGCCGTTTCCCAGCGCATCTTTCAAAAAAAACAAAAACAATACAGCTTCCTCCAGTTTTATTTGTTTAGATAATAGAAGTAAAACATTATGAACAAAGTAAAAACTATAAAAATGTAATAAAAACAATACAATACCAGTTTATCCAGTTTAGAAATCAAAAGAGCAGTTTTGACAGAGACGGCAAAGCTTTGGTCCAGTCCCAGAGGATGTCCTGTCTTGGCATTTTGTTCCAGCTCTGGTTGTATCTTGTCTTTCGGATGTACGAGGATTTTTTTTAACTGTTTGTGAGGTTTAGTTATTGAACTTTTGTGTGGTGTTTGCAGGAGAGCTACCGCGGCTACGAGAGCTACTCATGAGCTACAACAGACTCAGCAGTGTCCCGGACGAGCTGGGCCAGTGTGAGAGTCTGGAGAGACTGGAACTGGCCATGAACCGGGACCTGAGCGCCCTGCCACCCCAGGTACAAGCCTCAGTCCTGGGTCTCCAGCCTCAGTCCTGGGTCTACAGCCTCAGTCCTGGATCTACAGCCTCAGTCCTGGGTCTACAGCCTCAGTCCTGGGTCTATGAGCCTCAGTCCTGGGTCTACAGCCTCAGTCCTGGATCTACAGCCTTAGTCCTGGGTCTACAGCTTCAGTCCTGGGTCTACAGCCTCAGTCCTGGATCTACAGCCTCAGTCCTGGATCTACAGCCTCAGTCCTGGATCTACAGCTTCAGTCCTGGGTCTACAGCCTCAGTCCTGGATCTACAGCCTCAGTCCTGGGTCTACAGCCTCAGTCCTGGGTCTACAGCCTCAGTCCTGGATCTACAGCCTCAGTCCCGGAACTACAGCCTCAGTCCCGGAACTACAGCCTCAGTCCCGGAACTACAGCCTCAGTCCCGGAACTACAGCCTCAGTCCCGGAACTACAGCCTCAGTCCTGGGTCTACAGCCTCAGTCCTGGATCCCAAAAGTCTTGTTTATTTCCGCAGCTGAAGAACCTGTCGCGGCTGCAGCACCTGGACCTGTCCATGAACGATTTCAGCGAGTTCCCGGAGTGTCTGCTGGAGATGCCGGCGCTGGAGTGGCTCGACATGGGAGGAAACCGGCTTCAGCAGCTGCCCCACGACATCTACAGGTGAGACACTGACAGTGGGAAAGGTCGGCTTGTTGTTTGGACCTGTGTCAGCTTTCCACCACCGGGAGGAATGTGAAAAAATAAAAGGGTCAATAAAACCTACTACCTTCAAAATAAGTTTACTACCCAGGACTCAGGAGTAGCAAGGACCAGAGGGAGACAACAGCGAGAGAGAGAGAAAGACCCGAGACCAGGGAGAGACCAGAGAGAGAAACCAGACCGAGAGTGACGAGAGACCAGAGAGACCTGAGACCAGAGAAATCTAAGACCAGATAGAGACACCAGAGAGAGAGAGAGACCAGACAGACCTGAAAGACCCGAGAAAGAGAGACCATAGAGAGAGACCAGAGAAATACCAAAGGGAATCACATTATAATGGACTACGGCGAGCTCCTCATCCACATGGAGCAATCTTTACATTTATTATTTCATTTATTATGTAGGAAAGAGCAAAGTATTGTCCTTCGTGAGACTGTGTGTAGTTTTAGAACCTTCTTCATCTGAGCCACGGCCTGAAAACACTTACTGCAATGTTTGTCCCAGATCTACTCCTCTACTCCGCAGAATAAAGCTGGTATCTGTGATGTTTTGTGTTTTTGTGTGTGTGTGTGTGTGTGTGTGTGTGTGTGTGTGTGTGTGTGTGTGTGTGTGTGTGTGTGTGTGTGTGTGTGTGTGTGTGTGTGTGTGTGTGTGTGTGTGTGTGCACTTGTTTTCAACTCCTGGTGGGTTCCATAACCTGAGATTCCACTCACGTCATGGGGACTGGTTTTACGTGGTGGGGCCCGAACACCGGACCCCACTGGTCCAAGCTTAATAATCAATGGGTAATGCTTTTCTAACGGTCCTTATGCAGTCTCTGTAAAAATATGGAAAGGACCCCTGGAGGTTTACTTTCCTGAAAAAAGTGTGTTATGTGTCGGAACCCTGGTGGTGGGTTGCGGGATATCAAGGAGGGGCACACTGGGGCAATTTCAGTCCAGCAGGCTGGAGCCAATCATGGAGCAGCACAACAGAGGCTGGAGCCAATCATGGAGCAGCACAACAGAGGCTGGAGCCAATCATGGAGCAGCACAACAGAGGAAATCAAGTGTCAGGCTAGAAAAGGTGCAAGTGTGTGGGTTCATTAGGCTGCAGCCAATCACAGAGCAGCACACTGAAGCGCACGCTTACAAACCACTGGTAAGTGCTGACTACAAGTCATGACTTCAAATTGTTATATAGAATTATTACAAATTATTTGTTGCTTGTGCAGCTTAGTCAAGAGTCCCTAATTGATGAAGTCGACTCAGATTCTGACGATTTAACTGTCAAGAAGAAACCTGTAAAAAAGTATGGAAAAAGACAAATCAAAAACACTTTTCTTCAAGACTCGGAAAGTGACGAACCAAAGGCAAATAAGATTATCATGCAGCTGCAAAAGAAGAAAAATGGGGGGAGAGTTTACAGCAAGAGGCACTTCTGCCTCTACTGTTCAATGTCCTGCCACAAAATGTCCCGTCATTTGACTAGAAAACATGGAAATGAAAGTGACGTAGCCAGAGCATTGGCTCTACCTGTGAAATCTAAAGCACGTAAACTTCAGTTTGATTTGATCAGGAATAGTGGAAACCGTGAGCACAATTTTGAGGTTTTAAAGGCCGGCATTGGAACTTTAGTCCCAGCTAAACAGCCAAATTCCCCAGTTAAATCCAGTGAGTTTTTGCACTGTATAGACTGTGGGGCATTGCTTAAGCGAAAGTCGCTGTGGAGGCATGTGGCCAGGTGCCGGCTTTCACAGAAAGATGCCCAGGCTAAACCAGGCTAAACCAGGTAGAAGTAGGGTCCAGTCCCTCTGCTCCCTAGCCCAGCCTGTACCGGAGGGCATCAGCAAAAAGCTGTGGTCTTTAATTTGGGCAATGCATCAGGATGAGGTCACGGGTGTTGTCAAAGCAGAAAAGGGGATTCTGAGACTCGGAGAGCACCTGTACTTAAAACACGGGCATGATAAGACTAAGCATGATTACATTAGGCATAAAATGAGAGAAGTCGGTAGGTTAATTAACGAAGCAAAAACTGCAGGGAAACTGAAAACAATTAAGGATTTCTTTATTCCTTCCAACTTTAACCATGTGATTGATGCAGTCAGGTCTGTGGCTGGATATGATGAGGAAACAAATCAATACAAGACTCCATCCTTGGCCCTCAAACTCGGCCATAGCCTCAGAAAGCAGATATTCTTGAATGTGACTCAAAAATGGAGCATTGTGTTGATGAACTATTTATTAAAAACCTCCAACGAAGCCGGCTGCTTTTTGAGAAGAGGTGGGACGTCTGTGTTTCTTCTGCTGCCCTACAGACCCTCCGGCAAGCCAAGTGGAACACTCCGGACCTGCTCCCTCTGACTGAGGACGTTAGAGCCATGCATGCACATATTGAGGTATGTCGACCTGAATATGTGCAAACCCTAATAAGTGAGCCAACGTCTAAGCATTGGTCTAAACTGGCAGTTTTGACTCTTTGTGAGGTCATTATTTTCAATCGAAGAAGGGAAGGTGAGGTTTCAAAGATGCCACTGACAGCGTTTACCTTAAGAAGTAAGACTGGGATCCATTCTGACATTGCTCTGGGACTGTCCCAACTTGAGAAAAAGCTGTGTCAGCATTTTCAACGCATTGAAATTAAAGGGAAAAGAAGTGGGAAAGTGCCGGTTCTTTTGACTCCTGAAATGATTGCTTCGATGGAGGTGCTGGTGGAGAACAGAGGGGCCTGTTCCATCTCTGACCATAACCCATACTTCTTCTCCCGCCCGGGCGCAGACACCCACATCAGAGGATCAGACTCCCTACGGCAGGTAGCCAAAGAATGTGGTGCGGTGCATCCAGAGATGCTATCCTCAACCAAACTTAGAAAGCACATAGCTACTATGTCTACAGTTCTCAATATGAAAGAGAATGAAATGGACATACTTGCCAACTTCCTCGGCCATGACATTCGCATCCACAGACAATATTACAGACTACCAGAGGGGACACTGGAGCTGGCCAAAATCAGCAAAGTGTTGATGGCCATGGAGCAGGGAAGAGTGACGGAATTCAAAGGAAAGAGCCTCGACCAGATACAAATTGAGCCTGAAGGTAATTCTTGATATTATTAAAATATGTATGATTTTTTTCCCCTAAAGGCCACTTGTATTTTTATTTTCTGTGCGACAGGGAGAGCAGTAGAGATCCTCTCACAAACGGACGGGCTAAAAGAAACTTCAAGCCGAGAACCTTCAACCATTCATCCAGATGCACCCCATGGTAGTGGCAGTGCCCCTTCTGGTAAGTGTACCAGGTGGGGGATTACAGCCAGGCTGCTTGGTCCTAACCCTGGGAGTGTATGTTGCTAATATATTTTTATTTCTCTCCCTAGAACGTGTAAGAAAGCCATGGTCTGCATCTGAGGTGAAGGCTGTGGAGAAGACCATGACACCTTTCATAAAGACTGGAAAAGTCCCTGGGAAGTCTCACTGCCTGGCCTGCATTATTGCCTCACCAGATGACCTTAGACATCGGACATGGAGTGGCATTAAATTCTATGTCAAAAATAGAATCACTGCAATTCGAAAAAAAAATAAAAAATAAAATTCCTTTAAAAGAGTTGTTTGGTTTCTATTGACTGTTTTGTATTACTTAAAGTCTTGGTAAAAAAAGATTATGTCTATGGGTCCCATTCTGAACGGCCCTGTCAAAGGGACCCACCAGGTAACAAAAACGTGTATGTGTGTGTTTTTGTGTGTGTGTGTGTGTAGGATGGAGAAGCTGCACACGCTGTGGTTGCAGAGGAACGAGCTGGAGAAGCTTCCGGACCACATCAGCCTCATGATCTCTCTGGACACTCTGGTGCTGAGCAGCAACAAGCTCCGAGACATCCCCCCTCTGATGGAGGACATGACCCACCTCAGGTCTGACCAGAGAGCGACCAGAGAGACCAGAGAGACCAGAGAGCGACCAGAGAGCGAGACCAGAGCGAGACCAGAGCGAGACCAGAGCGAGACCAGAGAGCGACCAGAGAGCGACCAGAGAGCGACCAGAGAGCGACCAGAGAGAGAGACCAGAGAGAGACCAGAGCGACCAGAGAGCGACCAGAGAGCGACACCAGAGAGAGACAAGAGAGAGAGCAGGGAGAGACCAAAGAGAGACCAGAAACCAGAGAGAGGCCAGGGAGAGAGATCAGAAAGAGACCAGAGAGACCACAGTGAGACCACAGTGAGACCACAGTGAGACCAGTGAGACCAGAGAGACCAGAGAGAGACCAGAGAGAGACCATAGAGAGAGACCAGAGAGAGACCAGAGAGAGACCAGTGAGACCAGTGAGACCATAGAGAGAGACCATAGAGAGAGACCATAGAGAGAGACCAGAGAGAGAGACCAAAGACCAGGTCTGGTTACTCGTTGCACAGTAGCACTTTACCACATGTTTCTATGTTGAGGCTGTGTCTAGGACAAATAAAGTCGTATTCATAATGCGTGCGTGGAGTGAGCACGCGTTTTGACGTCTCTGCTCTGTTTACCCTTTTAAGCCTTTTAAAGCCTTTTAAACACGTTTTTACGGTGTATTAGTGTCTTTTGTACACTCTAGTGTTTTATTATCTTAAATGCAATGGTTCCAGAGCATCACGTCTTTTAACACAAAGACCCAATCGAAACGCGCTAGCTCGGAGGCTACCACGAGCGCACCACAGACATGGAAAGTGACACTGCAATGACCACGACATTAGTCGCCTCACATTGGAGCTTCGTGAGAGGGACCGTGCCACTATTGCAGACCTCCGTAAAGAAGTCCTTCGCCTCACTGCAGAGCTGCAGGATAAACAGTCACTCGTGTCCAAACTTTTTGATGTTGCTGGCGGGCAGCACTCACGGCTTATGTCACTGAGCGCTGCATACTGTGACACTGTCGTGTGGGAGAGATCTGTCAGCTCTGGGCCCTCTTGTTCTACACCTAAGTGCCCGGTTCGGAATAAAGAGCCTGCGGACTGCGAGGAGCCATCCAGCGCCGTGGCCCATGTCCTGAGCCTTTCAAACCGCTATGCAGCCCTCTCCGCTGACATCCCAGCCCCCTCAGCAGAACCCCTGGACTCTGCAGCAAACTCTACTGCTGTCCGTGGATCCAGGTCCACTGCGAGAAAGACACTCTTAAAGGAAGCTGTCCTCAGACGAAAGAGTGGTCATTCCCCTTCTCTGACCCCAGTGCATCACCACCACTTACCTTCACCGGGTCAGCAGCAGCGACCCGAGCCTGCTCCTCTCGCTGCTCCAGCGTCTCCGTGCACACAGCGTGGGTTGCCCGGAGCTGGGAATCAACACCCCCGCTCCCCTCCATGTGTTCAGCAGCGCCCTGGTTCGGACTCATCCCTGGATGAGCCCGCTGGTTCCGGCCATGGACACCGAGCGCCTTCTCCGCGGCCGCGTCCACTTTTCGCCCCAACTACTCTGATTGTTGGAGATTCCATCGTGAGGCACGTCCGCTTTTTTAACGCGGTCACTCACTGCATTACCGGAGTCAGGGCCGGAGTGGGACAACATTTCAGGCCGGGAGCTTTTCATCCATTCAGGCCAAACAAGGTTCTAAATTTGGGTTTTTGTCATTGTATTTTGATGTTCTTTTAATAGTTTTAAGATTGACTGTCAAAACTTTTGTTTTCTTTATTTCTTTTTATATTGACTGTTTATATAATCTCGGACGTTTAAAGATTGTTGTACGTTGCTTAGCAACGTAACGTTTATGGAGTTTAGTGAGGAATAAAGACACACACACACACACACAATGAACTAAGTGTTCATTAGTGTATAACTATAACAAGCTAATCAATTATTGTTAAAAAAGTAGTAAGGTAAAATCACATCGTTACAGCTCATATAAAAGGAAAAATAACAACGTGTATGAACCATCAGTTGGAGAGACCACTCATTTCAACCGGGGAAGCTACACTGGGTGCACTGCTAGGCTGGCCTGGCTGTGTAGCCGACGTGTGACGTCACATTTGTTTAATTTTGCTCTGGCCCAATGACAGTAAAGCTTTGGCCAGTGTTGTGCCAGTTCACAGCTTTTCTGAACAAGTTCAAGTTCAGTTCATACATGCTCAAAGTGAACAGTTCACGTTCGAAGTTCTCAATTTTAATTCTGAACTAGTTCAAAGTTCAGTTCATTTTACTTTTTGCGAGATATTCAAATAAATATTTTTTTTCACTACGAGCTAGAAATCACAATACGTATATATATATATATATATATATATATATATAATATATATATATATGTATATATATATTATATCCTGTACACTGCACAGGATGTTTTGACTCCAATGCAGACAAGATTTACATGGGTTTCAATGGGAACTGAGTTGTCCCATCTCTGCTCATAAGTACAAACTGTAATGCGCTGCAGAACGTGTGTCTATACTTTATGTCAAATGTAAACGGCCCTGTGTCACTGACTTACCCCTGTGTTTTCATCACGGCACATGTGAGTCCAACAACCAATGAATAGCACTAGCATATAGCGCCGCACCGCAAGTAGTACACTGAGTCGGGGTGCGTTCACAGACGGTGGAAACCGTAGGAATTTTTAGTTTTCGGCGGAAACAGTGCGCGGAAAATACAGGAGGGAGGAACTTTCTCTCGTTGCGTTTCAAAAGAGAAAACAGATTTCACTCAGTTTTAAATGGAAAACAAATTGTCTGCCGTTCATGACACATAATATGAACTAATTCACGTTCAAGTTATTTATAAAAAAATGTGTTCAACGTTTCACGAAAAAATGAGCGTGTTCAATGAACGCGTTCTTTTGAACTCGTTCACGCACAACACTGCCTTTGGCCTGGGCCTTGCTCATTGGACCAGGCCACCAGGCAGGGTAGGAGTTTGCAAAGACCGTGAGGATGAAATTAAATTAAAAGAAAGAAGAAAAAAAAAAAAGAAAAAAAGACCGTGATGATAGGGCAGGCCCAGGCCACTTTGACACGCAGGCCACCGGGAGATCTCCCGATGCTCCCGATGGCCAGTCCGGGCCTGACCGGAGTTACAGTCCCAGATCTGCTCATCCGTCTCCCTCCTCTGCTTCAGTCCCTGCCCGATACCATATCCAAGGTAATCGTGCATGTGGGTATAAATGATATGAAGCTGCAGCAGTCAGAGGTCACAAATAAGCACTTTATGAATCTGTTCCGCCTCCTCCAGTCCTCCGGGTTGTGTGTTTTTATCTCTGGTCCAGTCCCGACTGTAAACCGGGGTGACTGCCTCTACAGTCGCGTTGTGGCGCTCAACATGTGGCTCCAGTCTACATGCAGCACTTTTAACTTTATTTTTGTGAACAACTTTGGCCTGTTCTGGAAGCGTCACGTGGCCTATCGTCCAGATGGTCTGCACCCGAACAGATACGGCACCAGTTTGTTGACGGACTTCCTGCGCCATGTTGTTCAGTGCTCCCCGAGGGGGGCGTGACTGTTTACATCTGAGGCTTCTCGGCCCCCACCACCCCCCCTCCTCTTCCTTACCAGCACCGGGTGAGTACTGTGGTGCAAACACTGACCCCTGTCAGTCTGGCAGTGTAACGACAGTCCTGCCACTGAACTGTGCTGACTCAGTTATGCATCTGGAACTTAACAAAGTACAACAGAGTTCACTTTTTAAACCAATAGAGACTGTGTGTGTTCCTCGCACCAGCTCAGAAATGTGTTTTAACTTGAATAAACACAAATTTAAAAGAAGGACAGCAGTTAGACGGTCCAACTCTGGAAATCTAATTCCAGTTCTTTGTAATCAATCAACTAAACCCACTGACACTGATATTAATTTTAACCTTGCTCTACTTAATGTCAGATCACTATGCAACAAATCATTTTTAATTAATAATTTTATCTGTTTGTATGATCTTGATTTTATGTTTATGACTGAAACATGGCTTGACCATAATACAGGAGATGCAGTTCTAATAGAAGCCTCACCACCAAATTTCAAATTTGAATATGAAACACGAGAAAATAAAAGGGGGGGGGGCATAGCAGCAGTTTTTAAAGATCGTATTGTCTCCCATAGGGTGTCTCTTGGGAAATTTTCATCATTTGAGTATGTTTCTTTTAAAATAGAACAAAAGAAATCTTCTTCCATTCTTATTATTGTTGTGTACAAGCCGCCACAGTCATGCCATAGTTTCACTGATCATTTCACTGAGTTGCTTTCAGTTGTGTGCACAGATTTTGATGGTTTTAGTCATTATAGGCGATTTTAATATTCATGTGGATAATGTTAATGACAGATACGCAAAAGAGCTGAGTTCCATACTTGAATCCTTTGGCCTCACTCAGCATGTGAGTGGCCCCACCCATAGCAGAGGACACACCCTGGACCTGCTTATCACGAAAGGGGTGAATATTTCAAAAGTTAATGTAGTTGATGTTGCTCTGTCGGATCATTTCTGTGTATTTTTTAACATGTATTTTGCTACCAGACCACCCGCTAAATATGAAATTGTTAGAAGTAGACACTTAAATGAAAACACGGGTGAACTATTTATGGGAATGATCCATTTTGAGAACACATCATGTTCTACTGTAGATGAACTGCTTAACTCTGTCACCTCTAGTGTGTTGAATGTTCTGGACGCCATTGCCCCTGTGAAGGTAAAAATGGTCACAAATAAGCAAAAAGCCCCATGGATAAAAGCAGGCCCGGTCAGGGCACAGAAGCAAGAGTGCCGGAGAGCAGAGAGAAAGTGGAGAAAGTCCAACCTCCAGGGTGATTATAGACTCTTAAAAGAGAAGTTGTGTGAGTTTAACAGAGTACTACGTAGAACAAGAGAATTATACTTTTCTGAAACTATTGAAGGCTGCAGCAACAATCTGCGTGTTCTATTTTCAACAATCAATAGATTAACGAATCCCCCTGTTGAGTTGCCATTAGAACACTACTCCAAATCCAGGTGTAATGAGTTTGCACAGTTCTTCAGAGACAAGGTTCAGGGTATCAGAAATGCCATCACCTCTACAACACAAGTAACAATGCAACATCCAGTGAGGCTTTGTGAGCTAGCTCAATTTGCACCTGTCAATGATGAAACTGTTAAAAAGATAATCACAGGTCTTAGTTCCTCTACCTGCAGTCTGGATGTACTACCTCCTAGATTTCTGAAGTCTGTTATGTGTAGTCTATTACCCTCATTGACACAAATAGTAAACATGTCTTTTTTATCTGGAACATTTCCAATGGCCCTGAAAAAGGCAGTCATTAGGCCCCTCCTAAAAAAGAGCAAGTTTGGATGCTGCGGTACTTGAAAATTACCGTCCCATCTCAAATCTGCCTTTCATGGGAAAAATTCTTGAAAAAAGTTGCCTACCAACAACTTACTGAATTTTTAATATCTAATGACTCATTTGACATGTTTCAGTCTGGCTTTAGACCACACCACAGTACTGAGACCGCTCTAGTCAAGGTAACAAATGATATTCGGCTTAACACTGATGCAGGAAAAGTCTCTGTTTTAGTCATGTTAGATCTGAGTGCCGCTTTCGACACCGTTGACCATGAGATTCTCATGCAGAGACTGGAGGACTGGGTTGGTGTTGCTGGTACTGCCCTAAGCTGGTTTAGGTCCTATCTAGAAGAAAGGAAGTATTGTGTGGAGATTGGAAACTATGTCTCAGATAATATGGCCCTGACCTGCGGAGTGCCACAGGGGTCGATTCTGGGACCTCTCCTGTTCAATATTTACATGCTGCCATTAGGTCAGTTAATTCAAAGTATGAAAGTGTCCTACCACAATTACGCTGATGACACTCAGATCTATGTCTCACTGACTGCAGGAGAGCATGGGCCGGTGGACTCACTCCTTCGCTGTATCCAGCGGATCAGTGAGTGGATGCAATGCAATTTTCTCCAGCTAAATGCGGACAAAACCGAAATGATTGTCTTTGGTCCCGAGAAACAAAGAGAGACCGTCATTTGTCACCTTCAGTCTCTCTCCCTAAGGCCCTTAAATAAGGTCAGAAATCTGGGAGTAATAATGGACTCTGACTTAAACTTCAATAGCCACATTGGATCGGTAACATCAGCAGCTTTTTATCATCTGAAAAATATTGCCAAAATTAAAAATATTGTGCCCAGGGCAGACTTGGAGATTCTTATCCATTCTTTTGTTTCCAGTAGGCTGGATTACTGCAATGGCCTGCTCACAGGTATCTCCAAACATGCAGTAAGACAGTTGCAGTATATTCAAAATGCTGCAGCCCGAGTCCTGACTAGAACCAGGAAGTACGACCACATTAGTCCGGTCCTCAGGTCTCTGCACTGGCTTCCCGTGGCCCAGAGGATAGACTTTAAAGCAGCTCTCCTGGTGTACAAGTCTCTCCATGGCCTTGCACCAAAGTACATCCATGATATGCTAGTCCCATATGAACCAGCCCGGACTCTGAGGAGCGCAGGGACGGGACTCCTGTTAGTGCCCAGAGTCAGGACTAGACAGGGGGAGGCTGCTTTTCAGATTTATGCAGCTAAAGTCTGGAACAGTCTTCCTGAGGATGTGAGACTGGCTGCCTCTCTGTCAATGTTCAAATCCATGTTAAAGACTTTTCTTTTTTCCTGTGCATACAACTAGAGAATTTTATCTTTTTAACACACCTTGTTATTTATTGTTGTAACTTTTTGTGTTTTTAACTATTTTATTGTTTATAATTACTTGTGTGATTCTTATGTTTTTAAATTACTTATGTGATTTTAATGCTTTTTAATTACATATGTGTTTTTAATTGTATTTTAATGGTGATGATTTGTGCATTGTGTGGTGTGGACTGTGAGGCGCTTTGTGTTGCCCTGTGCAGGAAAAGCGCCCTATAAATAAAGATTGATTGATTGATAAACGTATTCCATCCACTTTGTGTTTATAGATTTGTGAATTTCCGTGACAATCCTCTGACTCTGGACGTGACGCTACCGCCAAAAGATCCCAACAATTCTGCAGCAGAGAAGGAGGACAAGGACCAGGACCAGGAGGAGGAGGACCAGGAGGAGAAGGAGGACCAGGAGGAGGAGGACCAGGAGGACCAGGAGGAGGAGGAGGCCGACGACCGGGAGATGTTTGGCAAAGACTTCATGCTGCTTTACATCCGCGAGGCCAGAAAACGAGCGTACGCCGCGCTCAACGTCCACTGCTCTCACCGTTAGTGTCTCGTGTGGAACTCTCCTGTTTGTGCCGCTTTTAACCCATAACAACATTGGACTGACAGAGTGTGACATCACCACAGTGTTAGCCCTGTAAGCTAGCTGGAGCCAATTTCCTTATATGGGCATTTGTTCTGTGGTCTTAGCTTTGAGTCAGAACAGACTAGTTGCTAAGACGGTTGCTAAGGCAAGCTGGAGTTTCCCATGCGAATGAAGGCCTCTGATTGGTCGATCCTTACATGGCTCATATCCGGATTTACAAAGACAATGTCACAATATAAACACCAGGATCACAGAGAGCAATAAATATAAAGATCTTTTTAAAGCTCAAAATGGTGAGCGTGAAACAAACAGTTAAAGAGTTTATTTTTCTACGTAAGTCACGAGGAGCCGGAGAAAGTTGGAGCAAAACTTTGTCCATGAGCGCTTCCCTTTTGGTTAGTTGTGTTCTATAGTAATTTCTTCAACAATGGTCTTTCTATTCAGACAGATACAGAAACAGACAAACCCCCAGCTATAGTTTCCAGGAGCAATGTTCGGTCCTGGTCCGCCTGCAGGGACGACAAGCCACACGTGAAGAGAGCCACAGACACAGGGAGAACATTCAAACTCCACTCAGAGAGGTCCGGTTCTGAACCGCAAAACCCAGGACTGAATTGAACTGCAGTCACGACGCTCAGGGACCACTTTACATCTGGGTTAAGTCTCTCTCTGGGCTCCCTCTCTGGTCTCTCTCCCTCGGGTCCCTCTATTTTGTCTCTCTCTCTGGTCTCTCTCCCTGGTCTCTCTCCCTGGTCTTGCTCTCTCTTGGGTCTCTATTTGGTCTCTCTCTCTGGTCTCTCTCTCTGGTCTCTCTCTCTGGTCTCTCTCTCTGGTCTCTCTCTCTGGTCTCTCTCCCTGGTCTCTCTCCCTGGTCTCTCTCTGGTCTCTCTCTCTGGTCTCTCTCTCTGGTCTCTCTCTCTGGTCTCTCTCCCTGGTCTCTCTCTGGTCTCTCTCCCTGGTCTCTCTCCCTGGTCTCTCTCCCTGGTCTCTCTCTCTGGTCTCTCTCCCTGGTCTCTCTCTGGTCTCTCTCTCTGGTCTCTCTCTCTGGTCTCTCTCTCTGGTCTCTCTCTCTGGTCTCTCTCCCTGGTCTCTCTCCCTGGTCTCTCTCTCTGGTCTCTCTCCCTGGTCTCTCTCTCTGGCCCCTCTCTCTGGCCCCTCTGACCTAATCTTTATTTGGATGTTTTACCTCTTTGGGACCTGGTTGCTCACATCAGCGCCCCCTCCTCTGTAACAACCTCCTCTTCACTTCCTCTTCTGTAACAAACCAGAGTAAATCCTTCGGTCTAATGTCCTGTGTTTCTGGTTCTAACTCTCATCATTAACAGCTGGGCCGAGGTTTGGACGAGAGCTGCTCAGAGGTATTAACGTCATCAACAATAATCATCATAATCATAATAACTCATTCACATTCTTTACACATATCCCATAAAACATTTTAAATCTCTGCTGTTTTTTTTCAGAGTCTGCCGAGGCCCCAGACTGAGGCCCTGGTCTAAACGCCGGACTGAAGCCTGGTCTGGACCCTGGTCTGATCAGCTGTCCTGGACTTCCACTGTGAACGCCGCTGAGCCCAGTATTTTTAGAACATCTGTTTATTGTCAGAGTCGAGTTTCAGCAAGAGACAAAACCACTGAGAGAGACCAGAGAAAAAAAAGAGAAAGTTTTGTTCCCCAGCTTTAAATGAGTGTGTATTTTTTTTATTGTGCTTGATTCTTGCATGTTTTATTATGACAAAGATCCACATGTTCCTTTGAAAAAATGTGTCCGTTCTGCTTTTCGGGTAAAACGACCATTAAAGCTGAGGTCCCTGACTTTTCTCACAGGACACATGTTTGTCCGACAGACTCTTGTTCCGATCGAAGGAAGGATTGTGAAACCGAGAAATTGTTATTAAAAAGAACCGGTCATAAACATGTGTCTTTCACAAACAAATGTATCGTTTCTAAGAAGGAGACTGAGGTGTTTAGATTAAAAATAAAAAATAAAAAAAATTCTTCCACTGTGTTTTTCACCACCGTTTGGAAAAGAGGATCCACTGATGGTTACCATGGTTACCGAGGAGTTTCTCGTTGACCAGATACTACCACAGACTGGAAATACAGCCTAAATGTCATTTCTGTGTTAAAGTGAACAGTAAAAAACATTTAAAAGTAGAGCTGCAGAGTGACGCGGCTTCAGTCCAAATCCACAGAAAATCTTCCGGTGTCAAAGACCTTTTTCTTTCTGACGTCTGAACCAGAAACACAAGGACAAACACACGTCTGCTGGTATCATGGACTTCTGTCTCTCTCTCTCCTCCTCTGTGCTCTCTCCTGGTGTGCAGACCTCATTGCTCCTGTCCTGCTGGAGCTGTGGGGACCGCGGTCAGGAGCACGTTCTCCAGGGTGACCTTGGAGCTGGCATACCGGACCAGGCGTCCCGTGAACCCTTTGTCCTGGAGGAAATGCAGTCGGCCACGGTCGATGAGCAGCTTACAGAGGCGGCCCACGCGCTCGCGCTCCGTCGGACTCAGGAACCTGCCGCACAAGCATCAACGTCACACAAACAGCTCGCAGCCTCGTACATCCAACTAATCAAACAAATCAATACAAAAATGTTCCTGGTTTATTTGCCGCGGTTACAATCTAAAAATAACCAGCAATAAGTGAAATACCTGAAGTAGCAGCTGTGTGTTTTAAGGCTGTAAAACCCTCACACACACTTTATACCCTTTTCTAACCACCTGAACACATGACTGATGAAGCGAGAGACCAGCTGCAGCTGTCAAAAGCTGTGCATACGCAGGTGCAGAGTCCAGAGAGAGAGACCAGAGAAAGACCAGAGAGAGAGACCAGAGAAAGACCAGAGAGAGAGATGAGAGGATCCCAAAGAGAGAGACCAGAGATCAAAGAGAGGCCAAAAGGAGGCCAGAGAGAGAGAGAGAAAAGTTTTCTTCTGTTTAAATGAAGGTAAAGGTTGCACTAGCAGTTATAAATTGTTGTATATGGAGTTGTTGGAGAAAACACAGAGCACAAGAAGCACAAGAGAGACCACTGAGCATTACACATGGTTCCTATAAAAAATCTGTTTATAATCATACTCGTTCATCGCATCCGTCGCCTCTGCTGGCTCATGTTCCTCCTCTGCGCGGTCGCAATCCTTCTGTTCTGCGCCCTGATTGGCCGGCTCTGTAGACTCAGCGCTCTGATTGGCCGGTCGGTAGCCGCACGTGGCCCAGCTCGACATGCGGCAGAAGGCAGAGAAGTGACGCTCCCCAAGTCCGCGCTCCGTAAAGAAGTCTTTCCCCACGTAGTGTTTCCACTGACAGCGGTGGTGACAGCACAGCGCCACCGTGAGGCCGACCACCGCGGGGGAGTGAGAGGCAGGAGGGGAGGGGTGAGAGGGAGGAGCCGAGGGGGAGTCCGGGGCCGAGGGTTTGGAACGTTTCAGAGGAGGTTCACCGCGGGCACTGTGGTGCGGGTTTCCGAGCAGACAGCGTAGAGCCAGATCTGAAACACAAACATTCACTTTAAAAGGTCTCTCTCTCTCTCTCTGGCCTCTCTCATGGCTCTTGTACCTGTAGCAGCTCCACACAGATGCTTCCCGACTCCCACCACAGACAGACTCTTCTCCTGCAGCAGCGGCACTCGACCTGAAGGAAACCACAGCTTCAGCCTTCATCATCATCATCATCATCGTCGTGATCCTTGTCCCTCTGGTCTCCCTCTCTCTCTGGTCTACCTCTCTCTCTGGTCTACCTCTCTCTCTGGTCTACCTCTCTCTCTGGTCTACCTCGCTCTCCCTCTGGTCTCCCTCTCTCTCTGGTCTACCTCTCTCTCTGGTCTACCTCGCTCTCTGGTCTACCTCGCTCTCCCTCTGGTCTCCCTCTCTCTCTGGTCTCTCCCTCTGGTCTCTCTCTCCCTCTCTCTCTGGTCTCCCTCTTCTATCGTGGTCTTCCCGTAGCCCTCGGGCCTACCCCACAGCTCTGTGACTTCTGCAGCAGTATTTTTACAGAGTATGCACAGCTTTTGACAGCTGCAGCAGCGCTCAGAACCACCACCAACAGGTTTGATACCTCTGTGATCACACTTCAGCCGTCCTGAGTTCAGGTGGTTAGAAAAGTCTGTGAGGGTTTTAAAGCCTTAAAACACACAGCTGCTACTTCAAGGATTTAATTTACTGTAGTAATTGATAAGTGAGATGATGGGGCTCTTACTCAGGTCCAGGTGCTGGATGTCAACCTGCAGACGCTCAAACTCTGCTCCTGCGTCGGCGTGTTTCCCGTCCACCTGAGATCCACAACAACAGCGTGAGTTTGAGCCCGCCAGGCCGCCGTAGCCCACTCACACCGGGGTCCTGCCTTGAAACGCGTGCTGCTCCTCTCCACCAGCAGCAGCTGCAGCTCCGGCTGGTCCTTGAGAGCCTCGCGAATCCAGTGCGAAAGCTTCCCCCGACCGGCCCCGAACTCCACGAAGCAGCGGCGTCCTCTCAGCAGCCCCAGAGCAGCCATGTGAGCCAAGATGGAGGACTGAGGAGAGAGACATGTGAGCCAAGATGGAGGACTGAGGAGAGAGACATGTGAGCCAAGATGGAGGAGTGAGGAGAGAGACATGTGAGCCAAGATGGAGGACTGAGGACAGAGATATGTGAGCCAAGATGGAGGAGTGAGGAGAGAGACATGTGAGCCAAGATGGAGGACTGAGGAGAGAGACATGTGAGCCAAGATGGAGGACTGAGGAGAGAGACATGTGAGCCAAGATGGAGGACTGAGGAGAGAGACATGTGAGCCAAGATGGAGGAGTGAGGAGAGAGACATGTGAGCCAAGATGGAGGACTGAGGACAGAGATATGTGAGCCAAGATGGAGGAGTGAGGAGAGAGACATGTGAGCCAAGATGGAGGAGTGAGGAGAGAGACATGTGAGCCAAGATGGAGGACTGAGGAGAGAGACATGTGAGCCAAGATGGAGGACTGAGGAGAGAGACATGTGAGCCAAGATGGAGGACTGAGAAGAGAGACATGTGAGCCAAGATGGAGGAGAGAGACATGTGAGCCAAGATGGAGGAGTGAGGAGAGAGACATGTGAGCCAAGATGGAGGACTGAGGAGAGAGACATGTGAGCCAAGATGGAGGAGTGAGGAGAGAGACATGTGAGCCAAGATGGAGGAGTGAGAAGAGAGACATGTGAGCCAAGATGGAGGAGTGAGGAGAGAGACATGTGAGCCAAGATGGAGGACTGAGGAGAGAGACATGTGAGCCAAGATGGAGGAGTGAGGAGAGAGACATGTGAGCCAAGATGGAGGATGGAAGAGAGAGACATGTGAGCCAAGATGGAGGAGTGAGGAGAGAGACATGTGAGCCAAGATGGAGGACTGAGGAGAGAGACATGTGAGCCAAGATGGAGGAGTGAGGAGAGAGACATGTGAGCCAAGATGGAGGAGTGAGAAGAGAGACATGTGAGCCAAGATGGAGGAGTGAGGAGAGAGACATGTGAGCCAAGATGGAGGATGGAAGAGAGAGACATGTGAGCCAAGATGGAGGAGTGAGGAGAGAGACATGTGAGCCAAGATGGAGGACAAGGTTCCATTCTCTCATTATCAAAAGTGAAATCCTCTGGCTCTGTTACTGTGGTGGACCAAACTGTGAGGACTACCTGCTGTCGGAGGTGCTTGTGGGCGCTCTCTCCGTTTTTGGGGTTGTTCAGTTCCTCCTGTAGAGCGGCGTGGGAAAGGACCTGCTCCTCCAGCTCACACTGCAGATCTACAGAAAATGATCACTGATGTTAGCAACAGGAGCCTGAGGGCCAATAACAGACGCTGCAGGGGCCACAGTGATCTTATAGTTTGGACTCATCTGCTGTATGGGAGTCACAGGCAGTATTTTTATTCATCTGTTTGAATCTTAAATCCCTGAGAGTCTCACACATACAGCAAAAGTGTTGGATTGACGAGCCCAACACCCAAGAACATGCTTTTCATTGGTTTGAATTGGATAGCTGCTGATCTGATGTGTGTTAACCTGTGCTAGCATGAGTTAGCATGTGATAGTTTGTGTTTCTCTGACCTCTGCAGACGGACTGAAGTTTTTCCATTAGACAGAGAAGTTCTCCAGGACTTCGCTCCGACAGACTCACCTCCTGAAACACAAACACATCAGAGACCAGCGAGAGCCGACACTGGAGCAGGGACAAAGACAGGTTCAGGTCCGGGTCCAGGTTCGGGTCCGGGTCCGGGTCTTGGCTACAGTTAGTTAGTTAGTTAGTTAGTTTTTATTTATATACCGCTTTTTCACTGCAGATCTGAGTCTCAAAGCGGTTTACAATTGTTAATTTAGGGCATTTGTCTCTCACTCCACACAGAGATGGGAGCGGGGCCAGTACAAGAGGCGCATGCTAAGAACTATTGGACATATTTTTAGTGGTAGGGGAAACCGGAGTACCCGGAGGAAACCTACGCAGACACGGGGAGAACATGCAAACTCCACTCAGAAAGGCCCTGGTCCGACCGGGATTCGAACCCAGGACCTTCTTGCTGAGAGGCGAGAGTGCTATCCACTCAGCCACCGTGCCGCCTGGGTTTATGGTCAGTGTCTGGAAAGACTTGCCACATTTATTTAGGTGTTTTTAATGTAATGTTTTCCATAATTTAGCGATAATGTTTTTTGGCCACACCATTCACTCATCATCAATCTCATGCTTCATCTTTCTGAGAACAAGACCCGAGACCTCTGCACCCGGAGAGGACCTGGACCTCTTTAAACCCACACATAACAGGCCAGTCCCCTCACCTCTGTGGAGTCGGCCTCGTCTCCTGAGCCGGAGTTTGCGTCCTCCACATAATAAACCTGCAACAACACTAACACTGTAAACATCATCATCATCATCATCATCATCATCGTCAAACATGAGCTCCTCACAGGTTTGGGTTTCTCTCTGGAGTTACACTTTTTCAGATGCTTCTGCAGCTTGTCTTCGCTCACAGTGCTGAGAACATTCAAAACAGAAGCTTATTAAACATACACGTTAAAGGTGAGTTCCGTAACTTACAGAACACAACAATGGATCACTATAACCTTTCTAACTACAGTCTCGGGTCGACACTGCTGCAGTCTGAGCCTTAATGTGGAAGAGGCCAAATTGATCGTAAGCTAGATGGAGCATATTTCCTTATATGGGCATTTGTTCCAGGATATTAGTGTGACTCACTGCTTTGGGTCTAACGGACACACGATCCTGCGGCTGCCAGATCCTTCCTCCTGCAGAAACATAACTTATAACTCATCAATAACAGTTATCAAAACTAAATATTATGTATGGACACCATCAAGGACAACAGACCAAGTTCACACTAAGTACTTCACAATAATTTTGGAGTTCAGATATTTTTTATCTGCTCTCTACACTCGGTGATGACGAAGAGAGACGCCAAACCCACTCGATCAAAGCACTCGACCATCGCCTTCCATTCACTCACTCCTATTGAACAGGTTTTTAGCCTTAGGGGAAAGAGGAGCACCTGGAGGAACATGAAGGTGGAATTGAACCCAAGACATTCTTGCTGTGAAGCCCAACAACGCCCTTTGTTCTGCCACCGTGCCACAAAAATAGAATGTATAATACATATTTGTAGTTGCCATTTAACCCAGACACAGCATCAAACTTTTCTTGATATAAAAATTTCAATATATGGCCGGGGATATGCAGTAGGCAACACTGGAATACTCGAACATGAAAGTAGACTTGAACATGACACGTCTCCTCTAAAGCTGGGGAACGTAACTTTCAAACCACAACAACCAGAACTCTGTATAAAAACAGTTTATTTTCACTAGTTCCTGGCTCTAATCACTATCACTAGTTTTAAAATCATGTACTTTTGGCCTCTGTCACTTCTTTAGATCTTCTTTTTCACACAGAGAAGTGAAAGAGGACTCAGCCAATCAGCTCTCAGTCCAAAGGGTCAAATACTGACTCACAGGGCTCTCTCTCACACAAATGTAACATGTTTTCTAATCAGACGAAGACAGCATGTCGTGGTCTGATTTGTTTACAATACTTTACTTTAACAAGACTCTTTATACTGAGACATAGAAGTTTAGGTTCCCCAGCTTTAATACAGCAGTGAACGTGCATCTGTCACACGTGTACGTTAACGGGGGCTCATGAGCGCCACCCACCGGCAGACGCGGGCCTCACCATCGCGGCGTGTTCCCCACAGAAGCGCTTTCCTTTGCCCACGATCATCTTACAGGAGCGCTTCTTCCTGAGCACGAAGAAGGCGCATCTTTGAGGCTCCGGAGACTCCTGCACCGGGGCCGCCATGTTGGACACCGAGACACCGCAAAGCAACGAAACAGCGACCTCTACGTGCGACAGAGCGACACTACACCCACCCTTATCCCAGACCAGAGCTGTGTGTGGAGAGGGAAGTCTGGGCGTCTCTGCTCAGACTGCTGCCTCCGCGACCCGGCAACGAATAAAGCGAAAGAAAATAGATGGATGGATGAGAGACTACCCCAGATTCAATGTTGGAGAAGCTGCTTACACGATAAGACAGAATGTGAATAGAATGTGTTTTTCTTGACAGGTATTCGCCACATATTTTCTAATTAAGATAGGCAAGACTTTGTAGTTATTGCCAATTTTCAAATTTTCCTCCTCTTTATCCATTGCCATATCGCGAGTCGAAGCGACCGACTGGCTCCTCTCCATGTGGAGAAGCAGCGGCTCTACCCCGAGCTACTTATCCTATCTCTAAGGGAGTGCCCAGCATTCTGCAGAGGAGACTCATGTGGGCCACTTGTATCCATGATCTCACCCTGTCAGTCTTTACGCAAAGTTCATGACCAGAGATGAGGGAGTGGATGTAGATTAAGAGCTCTGACTGCAGACACTGCTCCCTCTTCACCACAACAGTCCAGGACAGAGACCACATAAGATACAATACTGTCTGTCTGTCACTTTTTATTCATATCTTTGATCAAATAAAGATACAGCAACAAACTCTGAATATTTTCACCTCAGACAGGGACCAAACACTCAGATTTAATGCTTCATGTCAGAAATCCCAATAACCACAAGATGGCGCACATTCACCACTTCAGAGTCACATATATTTATTAAAACAGGATTACAATGAAGGAAAACTCACCTGTCTCACAACGATAACACCATCACCACATCAGAGCAACTCACTGAGACTTCTGCAACTCCTGTGTGGTTTTAGATAATAATAATAATAATAATAATAATAATAATAAAACATGCTTTATTATGTTATTATATCTTTATTTGTGTAGCACTTATCAAAAACAGTGTTTACAAAGCGCTGCACAATCAGCAAAAAGCAATGAAAACATTAAAAACAGTCATAACAATGAAAGATATCCAAAAGAAATACAGGAGAATGAAGCAGAGAAGGCACACAAGAAGAACGACAAAACAAAGACAATCAACAAGAAAATGATGATAAACGTCATGTGAAAATGTGAATCTTTTTGCAGTCGCTGAAACGTTGATAATAATGAAGGCACATATAAGTTTTTTGCTTCCACCTTCTTCAGCTTTGTTTCTTGAAATGATATGTACCTGTAAAGACACACTGTAAAACTACTCAAATAAACTACTACAACAATGTGGAGCAGCAAAACACAACATGGAGAGTTAAAAACAGACAGTTATGGGACGGCCGTTCGATTAAAGTGGGTTTAAAGCAGTGATTTTAAAGAGGACGCTGATGGAGCTATGGCCTTATCTCCTCAGACCTGGACCTACCCTCGGACAGGTCCAGACAGAGCCCAGGAGCCGAATGAAATGTGCTGGAATAAGAAATGGCTTTGTTCCAGGTTTTAGGCAGTACCTGCTTGTGTTAAAACAAAACAGTAGCTAATTTGCATTCTTGTGACATCAGTGCTTCTGCCCCGAGCTTAAAGCGTTTTTATATTGTTAGTATTAGATAGCAATATGGCCTACGTGCAGGACTGTACAAGGACTCTACAAGGACTCCATGTTATGACTATGATTTGACTGTCTCTTTGTGACACGTATGTCTTTCGATGTGTGACGTGACAATGACTATATAAACTGTGTACTGCCTTTATTCTGTCTGAGGGAAAGAAACAGAGTAAACCAGTGGAACTTGAGAGAAACGTAAATAAACTTCCAGAGTTTGGCACACCACGATCCGTCTCTGTCTGCTAAATCCTAACAGATTTGGTGGAGAATGCGCGGCTCGGTTTGTGCCATTCTCTGGATTGTTTTGAGGGAGTTTTGCTCTGTTTCTTTTCCTCTGCGTGAGAGATCGGCATGCTGTGTCTGGGAGCGGGGATTCCAGCAGACTGGAAGAGCTGTTCCTGGATGCTTCTTGTCGCTTCTGTCACTTTTGTTTTTTAAATTGAAGATTCCGACGCGGAAAAGAGTTGGCAGACCTCTCGGACAGTCCTTGGAACCGGTTTGACAAGAATAAGGTAAGCAGACACCTTTTTTAATATGTAAAGTCTGCATAATTGGATATTAGCTAAATTTTGGTCTGTTTTTTGGGGTCTGTCAAACTCTCTAAATTGTATTTTGAAGAAGTCTCGGGGTTAAAGTCCCTTTGAGCCTCGGGGTTAAAGTCCCTTTGAGAAAGTCTCGGGGTTAAAGTCCCTTTGAGCCTCGGGGTTAAAGTCCCTTTGAGAAAGTCTCGGGGGTTAAAGTCCCTTTGAGCCTCGGGGTTAAAGTCCCTTTGAGAAAGTCTCGGGGTTAAAGTCCCTTTGAGCCTCGGGGTTAAAGTCCCTTTGAGAAAGTCTCGGGGTTAAAGTCCCTTTGAGAAAAGCCTCGGGGTTAAAGTCCCTTTGAGAAGAAAGCTTCAGGGTTAAAGTCCCTTTGAGAGAAACCATGGTGTAGAATTAAAAGTAATTATAAAAAGGGAAACGTTAAACACTAAAGAGTGCCTTTTGTTACTAGTGTGGAAAGTGATCACTTCTAGATTTGGATGACAAAAGTATAAAGAACAACATCAGTTATATTCGCTTAACAAAGTAATCTTGAAAGTTATTCTTCTGTATCTTTCTGCCTGTGCGTGTGTGCGTCGCTCTATCTGCTGCCGTTGTCAGGGAAACGGCCCCCTCCTTCGCTGCTCTGGCTGTGAATCTGAAGCAAAGCTACTGCTTTAGGATTTTTGGCTTTTCATAGTAGTTATTCCGTTAAATTTGCTAAATTTGCCATTTGAACATTGTGTTAGACACAGTTAAACGTTTTTAAACACCATTAGGGAATAGAAGTTTTGAATTAGTATGTTTTTGAAACCCAAAGATTAGTACAAAAAGCTTTGCTTTTCTTTTTAAATCTGCTGCTTATTTTGTGAGTCCATTATTGTATCTCTGATATATTTCATAGCTGTTTGTGAGAATTTTTTCATGTATTTTTTATTTTAGTTACAAAAGCCGTTTTTCAAACATTTAAATTAGAATCTGTTAAAAGTGATTATTGATTATAGACTTCGTCTAAAAAGAAAGAGGGAATTAAGCTGTAAAAGTATTATTAAGTTAAACTACCCAATTCACCCAATTCACATTCAAGTGGTGACTTTTGTTTTTGTTTTGACTATGCACCTGACCTTCCTCCTGCTGCAGATGCACACAGCAGAGGAGACTGGTCTAAAATGTGCTCCAATTCATACTGACTTCATTTGAAAAATGCTGCAATTATTTTAAATTAGTAGAATAGATGCTGAGATAAATAAGTGTAAAAGGGAAAGTCCATAAAGTGAAACCCAAGATGTTCAAGATTAAAAACATCACACAGTACAAAAGTATATAATACATGTTTTAAAGTTTAAAAGGTTGTTTGTTTTGAGTATAATTGTTGTTTTGATAACTTCTTTAGTTTCTGGTCTTCAAATGTCATCATTAGTAAGATAATAAGTAATCTTTATTTACATAGCGCTTGGGAAAGCCAAGAGCGCTTCAAAATTGTTTAGACTTCAGAGAGAAAAACAATCTCATTCACAATCTCTGTTGTTTTTAATTTGACTATAAGGTTGTTTTCCAGAACCAAGAGCACACACTGTACAGGGTCACTGGACTGCTGGAGTGGACACTGGACACCAAAGCCCACCCAGCCACAGGCCACAGAGCTAAGAGCAAAGGGATACAATGCCACCTCTACGCCCCTCCCCCCACTACAGAAGTAAGTGGGAGTGAGACCGGGGCCATGAAAAGTGGAGGTTTCTGGAGGCAGTGATGGGTGGAGCGTCAGGGAGAGACCTGAATGAGAGTTGAGAGTGTGTCCAGTTGGTTTGCATCACCACAGTGTGACCTTTGAGACCTACAGGTGGTTCGAGGAGTCTGGAGAGACAACCCCAAAATTCATACACACACACACACATACACACACACACACACTCACACATTCACATTTACATATAGATACATGAAAAAGCAGAACATAAGAAAAAAAGCATTAAAAGTTTACTCCAATGTAAACACATTTTTAATTGTCTATCACTTGAATCTTTAGTTGAATCAGTATTTTTTGAGACCAGAAATTTTCATTTGAATTCTATATTGTCATGGACTTAATTGACCTCTGTCCTGACACTTTTGATTTGTTGATTTTGTACTGTGTGAAGTAATTACATTGATTAGAATTAGATCTGATAAAAACACAAATTAGAGAAGTAAACTGCGCTTGCTTTTTGTCTGAGGGACATTAGCAACAGCATGAATAGAAATTGTCTTTAAAGTAGAATCAAAGTGACTTAACCATAGAGAGTAACTATTGCATTACAAGCTGTGTACAGGAACTGTGACACTGCACCATTGACCAGAAGTGCATCGCAAATGACCTGATGCGCTTCAAGTGAAAAGACTGTATCTGGAGATCTGATGTCCAACTGGAGAGACCAAAACCATGGCTTGGACCCTACTGATGTCCAAGATGACCTGACCTGATGACGACTGAGACTCACCCTCAGGGGACCCTGAGGACCTGAGGACCTGAGGACCTGAGAGAGAAAAACTGGGGAGTGATGTTTATATTTTTGAAATCATACATTGATGAGTGCTAAATGAGACAGATACTCATGATTCTTTCTTTTGTTTTTGTTTGTCCCTAGCTTCTGGACATCTGATGATCTATTGGACACAGACATTTGCAGAACAAGAACCAGCCAATGAAAACGTCTATTGCCGATGCTATTGCTACAACCAGAACCTGTGACCAAATGCAATATAAATGTTAAGTATTCAGACATCTGACAGACAAAAACTTTGAAAATGATAAAGTATGAGTATTGTAGCGTTTTAGTAGATGTCAAATAGTAGTAAAAGAGTAGAATTTGACTTCCTTTGTTTTTCATAAACACATTTCCACATAAGAGTTAAAATAGTACCCTACAATGTTATCCTTCTGATAGAGCAGATATAATATTAGAATCAGAGTTATGTTACAGCCATTGAAAGTGACAGAAGTCACAAACTAGGAATATGCCTTTGCTCAAGCTGCAGCCGAGCTTTGGAGTTAAAAAATAGAGGAAATATAGAATTAGATAAATGCATCAACCATAGATGCTTTCAAAAATAGAGATTATTTGTAGCCAGTGCTAATATCAAATGGTAAAGGGACCATTTCACAAGCATTTACTTCAAAAGTAGATAAAGTTAATTACAGTTTTATGTACAGTTTTATTAGATACTGCCAAATTCACTTGTGTTCACACATGAGTGAATGTTGACAATACAAAAAGTTCATATGAGTGTAGCCTAGATTAATGCCTAGATCAATGAAATAGATTAGAACCAACAGAGATTCAAAAGCATTTAAAAGCATTTTGATGCATTTGTGTATAGCACAAAAACACAATAGTAGATATTTAGATATTGAGAAGTTTCCAGCACAAACACCATTGTAGAATAACTGACCCCAACCCCAAACCTAATTAGCTACTATTAGGATAATACTAATTTGATTAATGATGTACATTCATCCCAAACTGCCTGACAATAATATCTTTAGATAATAAAAAGTAATAAATCACTGACCACTATAGAAGTGTAAATGTTGACCATTTGTCTTACTGTGTTCACAGTTTTATTCCTGAGAATGAGAATAGACATGGAGCAAAATCCCACTAATAATATGCCACTGATAATTAGAGTGTAAACCACAGAACAGAGAGATTTATGTGAATAGATTAGAATAGTTTTAAACTATAGTGAATAATAAAAGTAAAGTACACAGTCTAAGATTGATAAGTGAAAATAATACAGTGAAATAAGTGTAGTGTAAACAATCAGCATTAGAATAAAAGTATAGAGTAATAAAAGTGAAATTAGCTTCAAATTTGAGACTCAGCTCGTTTTTGTCTGTGTTTTGACTGAATCTGCTGAGTTCTTGTGTGTCCAATAGGGTTTGTTTTTATTTTTTGATTTGTTTTTGTTTGTTTGTTTATTTTTTCCCAGGATAGAGGATAAAATCCACTGATATTGATTTGATGATTATGAGTTTAATGCATACATAATTTTTTAAAGTTTTTTTTTTGGAATTTTTCTTTTTTTTTTCTTTTCTCACTTTATTGATTGATCCAATTGAGTGATCACATGTGATTATGTGATCAAAGGGGAGAGTGTTAGTATTAGATAGCAATATGGCCTACGTGCAGGACTGTACAAGGACTCCATGTTATGACTATGATTTGACTGTCTCTTTGTGACACGTATGTCTTTCGATGTGTGACGTGACAATGACTATATAAACTGTGTACTGCCTCCATTCTGACTGAGAGAAAGAAACAGAGTAAACCAGTGGAACTTGAGAGAAACTTAAATAAACTTCCAGAGTTTGGCGCACCACGATCCGTCTCTGTCTGCTAAATCCTGACAATATTGGCTTTTGATTAGTTTTATTATGAAAGATAATATAAATATGTTTTTTCTGTTGCGGTAGAGTTGGAATGTTGTCAGATGCAGAGTTAATGGACTTATTATTTTGATTCCATCCTTTTTTAAACTAGCTATGGGACGCTCAGTAAAGCCCAAACACCTCGTCATTAAATCATGTTGTGAGCAGTTAAACCAGTCGTCTCTCGGCTACATCTCAACATGAAAACGTTTATTCAAGTGCGGCCTGTAGGCCAACGATGGTTTTATTTTAAACTGTAGGTGGTGCAGCTTATAAACAGGTGCGCCTTATAGTCCAGAATGTACGGGAATGTGGTGGATTTGTTGATTGTTTGTTTAATTGTTTCTGTCTGAAGCCACGCCCCCTTAATTTGCATTTGGTCATAGACGTGAGAATGAAGCAGGCTGAAATAATCTAACAGAAAATGTGTGGAAAAAAAAGAAAATAAATGAATATATGCAGAAAGAAAATAATGGTGATTTATTTTTTCTTTGGACAAAAGTGCCAATTAATAATAATAATAATAATAATAATAATTTATCCTTTGAATGAAAAAGGAAATAAATAAATGCAGTCAGGAAATGATAAAGTTGTATTTTTTAGTTTTGAACCAAAAAAAGTCGTATATTGATAATGATATATATAATAATTTGAAACGTTACCTAAATAATTATTGACTGATTGTGACATTAATCTATTTATTATTATGACACTTTTGGCCGTCCATATCACGCATTTATACCACACACTTGTTATACCACAATTGAAGCGTATAAATAAATAAAATTATAAAACTCGTGGAGAGAGAGAGAAAAAACAGTTGTTGTGATGACGTCAGAGGGGTTCAGTCCAAGATGGCGGCGGCTGTGGTGGGGCAGGGCGTCACTCGCGGGGCTTCGGGCTCCTTCTCCCCGGCCAAGGGCGCTCTCTCCGGGGATCACTGTGTGCTGGTGGTGGTCGGAGCTCTGCAGAGCCACGGGGCCCTGGAGCTCATCCTGCGGCAGATAGAGACCGGTGAGTTTGAGCCAAAGTTCCCGGAGAAAGTGATCTGCGTCCCACTCACACGGGGCCGGAAGTGCGGGCGGTCCTGTCACAGTAAAAGTTCTTCATCAACAACTTGTAAAATACTGAGACTTTTGGCTTAAAATCAGACGTAGTGGAATCTTAGAGTAGTTTGTGTGGTTTTGTTTACTTCAGACTGTTGTATGTTGTGTTGTTTTGAGGAGAGAGAGTCCTGTTGTGTGACATCTGGACTGTCCCAGCGTCGTTAAAGCTGAGGTACCTAACTTTGTCTTGGTTATAAAAGTACATGTTATTTGTTCCAGCAGCAAGAGGCATGTTTAATTCATTTTTAGTGAACGAGGCAGAGAGAGAGAGACCAGAAGAGAGAGACCAGAAGAGAGAGACCAGAAGAGAGAGACCAGAAGAGAGAGACCAGAGAGAGGCCAGAAGAGAGAGGCCAGAAGAGAGAGGCCAGAAGAGAGAGACCAGAAGAGAGAGACCAGAAGAGAGAGACCAGAAGAAGAGACCAGAAGAGAGAGACCAGAAGAGAGAGGCCAGAGAGAGAGACCAGAGAGAGAGGCCAGAAGAGAGAGGCCAGAGAGAGAGGCCAGAGAGAGAGACCAGAGAGAGAGGCCAGAGAGAGAGACCAGAGAGAGAGACCAGGAGAGAGAGACCAGAAGAGAGAGACCAGAAGAGAGAGGCCAGAGAGAGAGACCAGAGAGAGAGACCAGGAGAGAGAGACCAGAAGAGAGAGACCAGAAGAGAGAGGCCAGAATAGAGAGGCCAGAATAGAGAGGCCAGAAGAGAGAGGGGCCAGCATAGAGAGACCAGAGAGAGAGACCAGAGAGAGAGACCAGAGAGAGAGACCAGAGAGAGAGACCAGAGAGAGAGACCAGAGAGAGAGACCAGAGAGAGAGACCAGAGAGAGAGACCAGAGAGAGAGACCAGAGAGAGAGACCAGAGAGAGAGACCAGAGAGAGAGACCAGAGAGAGAGACCAGAGAGAGAGACCAGAGAGAGAGACTAGAAGAGAGAGACCAGAGAGAGAGACCAGAGAGAGAGACCCAGAGAGAGACCAGAAGAGAGAGACCAGAAGAGAGAGACCAGAAGAGAGAGACCAGAAGAGAGAGACCAGAAGAGAGAGACCAGAAGAGAGAGACCAGAAGAGAGAGACCAGAAGAGAGAGACCAGAAGAGAGAGGCCAGAAGAGAGAGGCCAGAGAGAGAGACCAGAGAGAGAGGCCAGAAGAGAGAGGCCAGAAGAGAGAGACCAGAAGAGAGAGACCAGAAGAGAGAGGCCAGAAGAGAGAGGCCAGAGAGAGAGACCAGAGAGAGAGGCCAGAAGAGAGAGGCCAGAGAGAGAGGCCAGAGAGAGAGGCCAGAGAGAGAGGCCAGAGAGAGAGGCCAGAGAGAGAGACCAGAGAGAGAGACCAGAGAGAGAGACCAGAGAGAGAGACCAGAGAGAGAGACCAGAGAGAGAGACCAGAAGAGAGAGACCAGAATAGAGAGGCCAGAATAGAGAGGCCAGAAGAGAGAGGCCAGAAGAGAGAGGGGCCAGCATAGAGACCAGAGAGAGAGACCAGAGAGAGAGACCAGAGAGAGAGACCAGAGAGAGAGACCAGAGAGAGAGACCAGAGAGAGAGACCAGAGAGAGAGACCAGAGAGAGAGACCAGAGAGAGAGACCAGAGAGAGAGACCAGAAGAGAGAGACCAGAAGAGAGAGACCAGAAGAGAGAGACCAGAGAGAGAGACCAGAGAGAGAGACCAGAGAGAGAGACCAGAGAGAGAGACCAGAAGAGAGAGACCAGAGAGAGTCCAGAAGAGAGAGACCAGAAGAGAGATCAGAAGAGAGAGACCAGAAGAGAGAGACCAGAGAGAGTCCAGAAGAGAGAGACCAGAAGAGAGATCAGAAGAGAGAGACCAGAAGAGAGAGACCAGAAGAGAGAGACCAGAAGAGAGAGACCAGAAGAGAGAGACCAGAAGAGAGAGACCAGAAGAGAGAGACCAGAAGAGAGAGACCAGAAGAGAGAGACCAGAAGAGAGAGACCAGAAGAGAGAGACCAGAAGAGAGAGACCAGAAGAGAGAGACCAGAAGAGAGAGACCAGAAGAGAGAGACCAGAAGAGAGAGACCAGAAAGAGAGACCAGAAGAGAGAGACCAGAAGAGAGAGACCAGAAGAGAGAGACCAGAAGAGAGAGAGACCAGAAGAGAGAGACCAGAAGAGAGAGACCAGAAGAGAGAGACCAGAAGAGAGAGACCAGAAGAGAGAGACCAGAAGAGAGAGACCAGAAGAGAGAGACCAGAAGAGAGAGACCAGAAGAGAGAGACCAGAAGAGAGAGACCAGAGAGGGGCCAGAGAGGGGCCAGAGAGGGGCCAGAGAGGGGCCAGAGAGGGACCAGAGAGGGACCAGAGAGGGACCAGAGAGGGACCAGCGAGGGACCAGAGAGGGACCAGAGAGGGACCAGCGAGGGACCAGCGAGGGACCAGCGAGGGACCAGCGAGGGACCAGCGAGGGACCAGAGAGGGACCAGAGAGGGACCAGAGCAGACAGACTCTTTGGGCTGAGGGCAGTCTTACAGCCAGGAGTTAGTGACATGGATTTTATTAGATTTCTATTGGTGTGACTTGAAAGTTAGGTTTCCGAGCTTTAAGTCTCAATGTCAGGACCTAGAGCAGAGTCAGTAAAAGCTCTTTATGGTCTGAGTAATGGCCCATATTTAATGTTCTTATCATGCATTAGGACTTTACACAGAGATCGACTTGTGTCATGTGACGCAGACTCCAGGACATCACTGAGGAAACTGCTCCGTCATCTTCTGTGTCTGTTTATTTCAGTTTTCAGCTGAAATAAAACTTCTGCTCACTCTGGGAACCTTCCCATGGGGCGGGAAATGCAAAAATCTGATATTTGGGCCACAATTATATATTACTGTGACTTTTTTTTAACATTATGCAGTACAGCAAGTATTGGGATCCAATTCTGTGATATAATGTAGACCGGAGAGAGAGAGACCGGATGGAGAGAGACCGAAGAGAGAGAGACCGGATGGAGAGAGACCGGATGGAGAGAGACCGAAGAGAGAGAGACCGGATGGAGAGAGACCGGATGGAGAGAGACCGGATGGAGAGAGACCGGATGGAGAGAGACCGAAGGGAGAGAGACCGGAGGGAGAGAGACCGGAGGGAGAGAGACCGGATGGAGAGAGACCGGAGGGAGGGAGACCGGAGGGAGGGAGACCTGATGGAGAGAGACCTGATGGAGAGAGACCGGATGGAGAGAGACCGGAGGGAGGGAGACCTGATGGAGAGAGACCTGATGGAGAGAGACCGGATGGAGAGAGACCGGAGGGAGGGAGACCTGATGGAGAGAGACCGGAGGGAGAGAGACCTGATGGAGAGAGACCGGATGGAGAGAGACCGGAGGGAGGGAGACCTGATGGAGAGAGACCTGATGGAGAGAGACCGGAGGGAGAGGGACCGGAGAGAGAGGGACCGGAGAGAGAGCGACCGGAGAGAGAGGGACCGGAGGGAGAGAGAGAGACCGGAGAGTTCTGTTTGTGTTAAAGGCTGAAGATCAGGATGTGGAGCTGTGACATCACTCACTGTTATCAACTAAATACATCCTCAGGCCAACAGCTGTGACCAGAGGGAGAGAGACCAGAGGGAGAGAGACCAGAGGGAGAGAGACCAGAGGGAGAGAGACCAGTGAGAGTCACAAAGTCCACATCTTCATTGTCAGCACTGCCATAGACTATGGTCCCTCTCACTCTCTATCTCTGATCTCTCTCTGGTCTCTCTCTCTGGTCTCTCTCTGGTCTCTCTCCGGTCTCTCTCTCTGGTCTCTCTCTCTGGTCTCTCTGGTCTCTCTCTCTGGTCTCTCTCTCTGGTGTCTCTCTAGTGTCTCTCTCTGGTCTCTCTCTCTGGTCTCTCTCTCTGGTCTCTCTCTGGTCTCTCTCTTTGGTCTCTCTCTGGTCTCTCTGGTCTCTCTCTGGTCTCTCTCTCTCTGGTCTCTCTCTCTGGTCTCTCTCTGGTCTCTCTCTCTGGTCTCTCTCTCTGGTCTCTCTCTGGTCCCTCTCTCTGGTCTCTCTCTCTGGTCTCTCTCTGGTCCCTCTCACTGGTCCCTCTTTCTCTCTATCTCTGATCTCTCTTTGGTCTCTCTCTGGTCTCTTTCTCTGGTCTCTCTCTGGTCTCTCTCTGGTCTCTCTCTCTGGTCTCTCTCTGGTCTCTCTCTGGTCTCTCTCTAGTCTCTCTCTCGGGTCTCTCTCTCTGGTCTCTCTCTAGTCTCTCTCTTGTCTCTCTCTGGTCTCTCTCTGGTCTCTCTCTAGTCTCTCTCTCTGGTCTCTCTCTCTAGTGTCTCTCTGGTCTCTCTCTCTGGTCTCTCTCTCTGGTCTCTCTCTGGTCTCTCTCTCTGGTCTCTCTCTTTGGTCTCTCTCTGGTCTCTCTCTGGTCTCTCTCTTTGGTCTCTCTCTGGTCTCTCTCTCTGCTCTCTCTGGTCTCTCTCTGGTCTCTCTCTTTGGTCTCTCTCTTTGGTCTCTCTCTCTGGTCTCTCTCTCTGGTCTCTCTCTCTGGTCTCTCTCTGGTCTCTCTCTGGCCTCTCTCTATCTGGTCTCTCTCTGGTCTCTCTCTGGTCTCTCTCTGGCCTCTCTCTATCTGGTCTCTCTCTCTCTGGTCTCTCTCTGGTCTCTCTTTGGTATCTCTCTATCTGGTCTCTCTCTGGTCTCTCTCTGGTCTCTCTCTATCTGGTCTCTATCTGGTCTCTATCTGGTCTCTCTCTGGTCTCTCTCTGGTCTCTCTCTGGTCTCTCTCTGGTCTCTCTCTGGTCTCTCTCTGGTCTCTCTCTGATCTCTCTCTGGTCTCTCTCTGCTCTCTCTGGTCTCTCTCTTTGGTCTCTCTCTGGTCTCTCTCTGGTCTCTCTCTGGTCTCTCTCTGGTCTCTCTCTAGTCTCTCTCTAGTCTCTCTCTGGTCTCTCTCTGGTCTCTCTCTGGTCTCTCTCTCTGGTCTCTCTCTGGTCTCTCTCTCTGGTTTCTCTCTGGTCTCTCTCTCTGGTCTCTCTCTCTGGTCTCTCTCTCTGGTCTCTCTCTCTGGTCTCTCTCTTTGGTCTCTCTCTTTGGTCTCTCTCTGGTCTCTCTCTGGTCTCTCTCTCTGGTCTCTCTCTGGTCTCTCTCTGGTCTCTCTCTTTGGTCTCTCTCTGGGCTCTCTCTGGTCTCTCTCTGGTCCCTCTCTGGTCTCTCTCTCTGGTCTCTCTCTGGTCTCTCTCTGGTCTCAGCACAGACTGAAATACACTGTAATGTAATTATTACAGATAATGTCAGGGTCTCTTTTCCTTGTGCCTCATCCTCGACTTTTAATCATTTCCAATTCAAATCCACAATAGTCTCATTTATGATGTCACATGTTTCTCTCACGGACCATTAGCAACGACATCATCGCTTCAATCTGATTAATGAGTTCAGGGGCAGAGCTGTTTCTGCCCTTCTCTCCTCTCCTCTTCCTCCCCCTATCTTAGCTTTCCTCTTCCGTCTCCTGTCTCCTCTACTCTCTCTCCTCCACTCTCTCTCCTCCCTTTCTCTCTCTTTCTCCTCTCCTTTTTCTCCTTTCTTTCCTCTCTCAGCTCTTCTCCTTTGCCTGCTCTCTCTTTCTTCTATCTGGTCTTGCTGTTCTCTATTTCCGGCATTTCTCTCTCTCTTGTCTCTCTCTCTGGTCTCTCTCCCTCTGGTCTCTGTCTTATCTCTTTCTCTCTCTGGTCTTTTCCCCTCTCCCTCTGGTCTCTCTCTTTCTCTGGTCTCTCTCTTTCTCTGGTCTCTCTTTCTCTCCCTCTGGTCTCTCTCTCTCGCACTCTGGTCTCTCTCTTTCTCTCTCCCTCTGGTCTCTCTCTTTCTCTCTCCCTCTGGTCTCTCTCTTTCTCTCTCCCTCTGGTCTCTCTCTCTCTCTCTCCCTCTGGTCTCTCTTTCTCTACCTCTGGTCTCTCTCTCTCTCGCACTCTGGTCTCTCTCTCTCTCGCACTCTGGTCTCTCTCTCTCTCTCTCTCTCTCTGGTTGCTCTCTCTGGTCTCTCTCTCTCTGGTCTCTCTCTCTGGTCTCTCTCTCTCTCTCTGGTCTCTCTCTCTGGTCTCTCTCTCTGGTCTCTCTCTCTCTGGTCTCTGGTCTCTCTCTCTCATATAGCAGAATGGTCCTTCCCAGTTTCATGGTGAGCATGTTCTGGTGTCCATAATGTGATTGTCCTTCTCTCTGCTCTGGTTTCACACTCTGATCAGTCCGTGATATATTTAAACTGTGGAGGAAGCGCGATCAAAAGGGCAAGACTAAAATACACGTCACTCGTTTGACAAAGACCGCAATTATTTAAGCTCTTTGCAAAACTTCACTAGAATTTGTTTTCCTAAATCCTAAATCCTCTTGATTTAGGATTTGTTTATGTTGAAATAATTGTCAATGGGTCAAGTATCTCTAGTCTCTCTCTGATCGCTTTTTGTCTCTTTCTGGTCTTGATCGGGTTGCTCTTTTTTTTTCTTGTCTCTCTTTCTTGTCTCTCAGGTCTCTCTCTATCTCTTTCTAGTCCCTCTCTGGTCCCTCTCTGGTCCCTCTCTGGTCCCTCTCTGGTCTCTCTCTGGTCCCTCGCTGTCTCTCTCTGGTCCCTCTCTGGTCCCTCTCTGGTCTCTCTCTGGTCTCTCTCTGGTCCGTCTCTGGTCCGTCTCTGGTCCCTCTCTGGTCCCTCTCTGGTCTCTCTCTGGTCTCTCTCTAGTAGGGCTGAAACAACTAATCGATTAATCGACGACTAATCGATTATTGAAATGGTCGACAACTATTTTAGTAATCGATTAATCGTTTTCTGGTTCACACGGACTCAAACCGAGCAAAAATGACATGAAAATGTAGTATTTTTGATTAAAACCGACTTTGTTTTTATAATTTCTATAATAATCTGTCTGTCTCATCCAATCAGATAGCAGAATTAGCACAAAGAGCCTGTTACAAACCTTTACTTTAAGTTTACGCCATCAATACGTCCTCGAGTGTTGCCACTTTAGCTTTTTGTGATGAAAAAATATTTTTTTTCTACACAATTCACAGCCAAGCGATTAATCGATTAATCGATTACAAAATAATCGTTAGTTGCAGCTCTACTCTCTAGTCTCTCTCTGGTCTCTCTCTGGTCCCTCTCTGTCTCTCTCTGTCTCTCTCTGGTCTCTCTCTGGTCTCTCTCTGGTCTCTCTCTGGTCTCTCTCTGGTCTCTCTCTGGTAAGTAAGTAAGTAAGTAAGTAAGTTTTTATTTATATACCGCCTTTTCACTGCAGATCAGAGTCTCAAAGCGGTTTACAATTGTTAATTTTGGGCATTTGTCTCTCACTCCACACAGAGATGGGAGCGGGGTCGCCAGTACAGGAGGCATATGCCAGAACTATTGTACATATTTTTAGTGGTAGGGGAAACCGGAGTACCCGGAGGAAACCTACGCAGACACGGGGAGAACATGCAAACTCCACTCAGAAAGGCCCTGGTCCGACCGGGATTCGAACCCAGGACCTTCTTGCTGAGAGGCGAGAGTGCTATCCACTCAGCCACCGTGCCGCCATTGATTATTAGAAAATTGGCCAATTGATCGGAGTAGCTCATGAAAACCCGCCCAGACGCTCGGAAAGTGCTGTTTAGTTCCCTGTGTGGGGTACCACAAGGGTCAATACTGAGACCCACACTATTCATAAATGACATACATGAAAAATAAAACTATCCAAATGATATTCATCCTCTCTGTTGATGACACAAACATGGTTTTTACTTTTGGCCGCTGTAACGTTGGAACTGAACAGATTCAAACCGTTTTTTAAATAAAGTAGTCCTGATGGTTTGGTTCTCCTGGTGTTTGCAGGAGTGCGTCGCTGGGCCGTGGACTTGGACGTGTCGGTGCTGGACGAGCAGCTGAAGCTCTTTGTGTCGCGTCACTCGGCCTTCCTGTCTGAAGAGGTCAAAGGTGAGACCACTGGGGGCAGAGCTCAGAGCGATGCGGCAGGAATGGAACCGTGTAATAACATCCACGTCGATTCTATCACAGTTTTCATATTCATGTGTTTTTGGCCTCTGTCACATGGACCAGAGAGAGGGACCAGGGAGAGGGACCAGGGAGAGGGACCAGGGAGAGAGGGACCAGGGAGAGAGGGACCAGGGAGAGGGACCAGGGAGAGGGACCAGGGAGAGGGACCAGGGAGAGAGGGACCAGGGAGAGAGGGACCAGGGAGAGAGGGACCAGGGAGAGAGGGACCAGGGAGAGAGGGACCAGGGAGAGAGGGACCAGGGAGAGAGGGACCAGGGAGAGAGGGACCAGGGAGAGGGACCAGGGAGAGGAACCAGGGAGAGGGACCAGGGAGAGGAACCAGGGAGAGGGACCAGGGAGAGGGACCAGGGAGAGGGACCAGGGAGAGGGACCGGGGAGAGGGACCGGGGAGAGGGACCGGGGAGAGGGACCGGGGAGAGGGACCAGGGAGAGGGGAGAGGGACCAGGCAGAGTGACCAGGCAGAGTGACCAGGGAGAGGGACCAGGGAGAGAGACCAGGGAGAGAGACCAGGGAGAGAGACCAGGGAGAGAGACCAGGGAGAGAGAGTGGGAGAGGGGGACCAGAGTGACACCAGAGAGAGGGACCAGAGAGCCAATCTGATCTCAACCCAAAGAGTCAAATAGTGACTCTTTCTTACAGTAACAACACCATGTTTTCTGATCAGACCAGGACAGCATGTTATGGTCCATAGTTAGTTTTTCCCCAGAGGCCTTTTGAACCCGTCGCACTTTTCTCTCTGGATGAACGCAGCTCTGTGTTTGGACTGCGTGTGTGATCCAAACACATCAGCTGATCACATACCGCTGTGGACGAGGACCATGAAGCAGCCCGAGGAGGAGCCGCTACAGCAGGGAGGTGTCGGAACGAGCTCCTAATGAAGCCCTGATTAACTCTGCATCAGGGACATCACATTCCACCACCGATTTAACCTCTGGCAGTTTTGTTCAGGCATGGATTCTCTCTGCCTGACTATGCGACGTTTGTGTCAGGATTCTCTCTCTGGTCTCGCTTTGTCCGTTCTCTCTTTTGTGTGTCTTTCTGTTCCCTCTCTAGTCTCTCTCTGGTCTCTCTCTGGCCTCTCTGGATTCTGCTCTTTCTGGTCCTGTCGTGGTCTGGTCTATAGTCTGGTCTCTCTGGTCTGGTCTCTGGTTTGGTATATTTTTTTTCTTGTCTGGTCTCTCTTTTTTGTCTCTCTCACTCTGGTCTTTCTGTTCTCTGGTCAGGTTCCTGGTCTCTTATATTTTCTTGTCTGGTCTCTCTCTGGTCACTCCCTGGTCTCTCTCTGGTCTCGCTCTGGTCTCTCTCTCTGGTCTCTGATCTTTGTTTCAGTCTGAAGTTTGTCTGTTTTAGGGAAATGGTCCTAAATACAGTCTGTGTCTTCAGGAAGGAAGCACTTCCTCTCAGGTTAAAGATCTCGACACATCTGCAGCGTCAAATCAACTTTACACACACTCTCCCTCCCCTCTCAGAACACTCTGTGCTGTTTCTCTCATAAAGAATAAAAAAAAATAAAAAAATATGATCCTGGACTGAGCCTGTAGACCCAGGACTGAGGCCGCAGACCCAGGACTGAGGCTGTAGACCCAGGACTGAGGCTGTAGACCCAGGACTGAGGCCGCAGACCCAGGACTGAGGCTGTAGACCCAGGACTGAGGCAGTATTGCTGAGCTCTCTCCTGATTGGTTCATCTGTGCCATGGAAGGAGCATTTTACCACAGGGCGAGGTGTTTTGTGCTTTCTTTTGAAACTGAAATCTCGTTCCTGGTTTGTCTCTTTTCTACATGGTACTCTCTGCTCTATCTTCTGCTGCATTTCCTGGTCCGCACACAGCAGTGAGGGTTGAATGGTGAAGCAAACGTCACTTCTGCTTCTGCTCAGAGTTTACAGAAGTGAAACTGTTGCAGGTCAGAGGACGCTGCAGCACCGCGGGGACGTGCTGGACACTCAGGTCGTGGTCAACCCGACGTCTGAGTTTGTCTGCTCCGAGGTGAGTTCTACTTTAGACTTAACATGTACAGGGGGAGAGCTGAGCGAGAGAGCAGAGTGCAGGCAGAGGGAGAGAGCAGAGAGAGAGAGAGAGCAGAGAGAGAGAGAGAGAGAGAGAGAGCAGGCAGAGAGAGAGAGCAGGCAGAGAGAGAGAAGATAGAGAGGGCAGAGAGAGCAGGGGGAGATGGAGCAGAGGGAGAGAGCAGAGGGAGAGAGCAGGGGGAGATAGAGCAGGGGGAGATAGAGCAGAGGGGGAGAGCAGAGGGAGAGAGCAGAGGGAGAGAGCAGAGGGAGAGAGCAGAGGGAGAGCAGGGGGAGATAGAGCAGGGGGAGAGAGCAGGGGGAGAGAGCAGAGGGAGAGAGCAGGGGGAGAGAGCAGGGGGAGAGAGCAGAGGGAGAGAGCAGAGGGAGAGAGCAGAGGGAGAGAGCAGAGGGAGAGAGCAGAGGGAGAGAGCAGAGGGAGAGAGCAGAGGGAGAGAGCAGAGGGAGAGAGAGCAGAGGGAGAGAGAGCAGAGGGAGAGAGAGCAGAGGGAGAGAGAGCAGAGGGAGAGAGAGCAGAGGGAGAGAGAGCAGAGGGAGAGAGAGCAGGGGGAGAGAGCAGAGGGAGAGAGCAGAGGGAGAGAGAGCAGAGGGAGGAGAGGGAGAGCACCCTCCTCTGTAGTTTGTTTCTTCCTCTGCAGGTTCCACAGTTTGTCTCGACACAAAAGTCTTTGTTCCACATGAATCCTCTGAGTTCAGCTGCACATTGTTTCTGGACACACACTTGATGACATTAACACAGAGTCTGATGGTTTTAACGTGTGTGTTTGTGTGTGTGTTTGTGTGGTAATATGTGTGTGTTAATGTTTGTGTGTGCGTGTGTTACTGTGTGTGTGTGTGCGTGTGTGTGTATTAATGTGTGTGTGTGTGTGTGTGTTTGTGTTGTAATATGTGTGTGTTAATGTTTGTGTGTGCGTGTGTTACTGTGTGTGTGTGTGCGTGTGTGTGTATTAGTGTGTGTGTGTGTGTTTGTGTTGTAATATGTGTGTGTTAATGTTTGTGTGTGTGTGTATTAATGTGTGTGTGTGTGTGTGTGTTTGTGTGGTAATATGTGTGTATTAATGTGTGTGTGTGCGCTCAGGTCCGCCGCCTGCTCCTCCTCCCCTCCCGACACAAGCTGCTGGTCCTGTCTGGACAGTGTGTGGAGGACTCTGGGGACATTGTGCTGCAGAGAGGATTCTTCTCCTTAAACCATTTCAGACAAATTCTCTGCGATGACGAGGTACGAGGCGCTCACCACAAAGCGCCGCTTTTAAAATCAGCGACGCTTCACGGACGCTACAAACGAATCATAAAGACTGCAATTATGGATTTCTTTTGCAAACTAGTAAAGCAAAACACATTTGTAAAGATGTCGTGAATGTTGAATAGTTGTCTCTGGTCTCTCTCTGGTCTCTCTCTGGTCTCTCTCTGGTCCCTCTCTGGTCTCTCTCTCTGGTCTCTCTCTGGTCTCTCTCTGGTCTCTCTCTGGTCTCTCTCTGATCTCTCTCTGGTCTCTCTCTGTTCTCTCTCTAGTCGGTCTCTGGTCCCTCTCTGGTCTCTCTCTCTGGTCTCTCTCTGGTCTCTCTCTGGTCTCTCTGGTCTCTCTCTGGTCCCTCTCTGGTCTCTCTCTCTGGTCTCTCTCTCTGGTCTCTCTCTGGTCCCTCTCTGGTCTCTCTCTCTGGTCTCTCTCTCTGGTCTCTCTCTGGTCTCTCTCTGATCTCTCTCTGGTCTCTCTCTGTTCTCTCTCTAGTCGGTCTCTGGTCCCTCTCTGGTCTCTCTCTCTGGTCTCTCTCTCTGGTCTCTCTCTCTGGTCTCTCTCTCTGGTCTCTCTCTCTGGTCTCTCTCTCTGGTCTCTCTCTGGTCTCTCTCTGGTCTCTCTCTGGTCTGATCTGTGCAGAACAAAGCGTGTTCCTTTAGTGTGTGATGTGGCTTCTCGTGGGGCTGATGTTTTATCCACATGAGGTCACGGCGACACACCCTGCATTCTCCTCCACACAAACGCTCTCTATCACTCTCCTCTTTCATATGGTTTTGCAGGTAACGAACTACAAATCTGTGAATAATCTTTGTTGGGGTTTAGGGTGATAGGCCCAGGCTGGGGGTGGAGTTCAGGGTGGGGAGGGTAAGGGACACTGAAGGACCCACAAAATCCAACCTCTATGAAAACTGTTGGTTCCCTGACAGCTGAGGACGAGCCATTTTAGCTAACATTTGAGGTCTATGGGAAAATGCCCTGCACAGCCCATGTGGATTTCTGTTATAATGAAGCTATTACCTTACCTGCAATTATATGTTTAGAATGTGAAATATGATCTTCAGTAGAAAATATATGGTGAAACAAAAATAAAATGCTTTCAGTCTGTGCTGTCACTGGGCGATATGGCCTAAAATCCATATTGCGGTATAATTTGGGTCACAGACGGTAGACGGTATATATTACGGTATAATTTGGTGTGTGAATTTCAATATAGGTCTAGCAGGTTCTTATAAAGGTACAATCGTGAAGTGGAACAAAATTTATTGGATAATTTAAACTTTTTTAACAAATAAAAAACTGAATAGTGGGGCGTGCAATATTATTCGGCCCCTTTACTTTCAGTGCAGCAAACTCACTCCAGAAGTTCAGTGAGGATCTTTGAATGATCCAATGTTGTCCTAAATGACTGATGATGATAAATAGAATGCACATGTGTGTAATCAAGTCTCCGTATAAATGCACCTGCTCTTTGATAGTCTCAGGGTTCTGTTTAAAGCGCAGAGAGAACCATGAAGACAAAGGAACACACCAGGCAGGTCCGAGATACTGTTGTGGAGAAGTTTAAAGCCGGATTTGGATACAAAAAGATTTCCCAAGCTTTAAACATCTCAAGGAGCACTGTGCAAGCAATTATATTGAAATGGAAGGAGTATCAGACCACTGCAAATCTACCAAGACCCGGCCGTCCCTCCAAACTTTCATCTCAAACAAGGAGAAGACTGATCAGAGATGCAGCCAAGAGGCCCATGATCACTCTGGATGAACTGCAGATAACTACAGCGTAGGTGGGGATGGTGCGTTCAGGGTGATGAGCTGTGTTGCTTTTACGCCAAACATATCGTTTTGCATTGTGGCCAAAAAGTTCGATTTTGGTTTCATCTGACCAGAGCACCTTCTTCCACATGTTTGGTGTGTCTCCCAGGTGGCTTGTGGCAAACTTTAAACGAGACTTTTTATGGATATCTTTGAGAAATGGCTTTCTTCTTGCCACTCTTCCATAAAGGCCAGATTTGTGCAGTGCACGACTGATTGTTTGTCCTATGGACAGACTCTCCCACCTCAGCTGTAGTTATCTGCAGTTCATCCAGAGTGATCATGGGCCTCTTGGCTGCATCTCTGATCAGTCTTCTCCTTGTTTGAGATGAAAGTTTGGAGGGACGGCCGGGTCTTGGTAGATTTGCAGTGGTCTGATACTCCTTCCATTTCAATATAATTGCTTGCACAGTGCTCCTTGAGATGTTTAAAGCTTGGGAAATCTTTTTGTATCCAAATCCGGCTTTAAACTTCTCCACAACAGTATCTCGGACCTGCCTGGTGTGTTCCTTTGTCTTCATGGTTCTCTCTGCGCTTTAATCAGAACCCTGAGACTATCAAAGAGCAGGTGCATTTATACGGAGACTTGATTACACACAAGTGCATTCTATTTATCATCATCAGTCATTTAGGACAACATTGGATCATTCAAAGATCCTCACTGAACTTCTGGAGTGACTTTGCTGCACTGAAAGTAAAGGGGCCGAATAATATTGCATGCCCCACTTTTCAGTTTTTTATTTGTTAAAAAAGTTTAAATTATCCAATACATTTCGTTCCACTTCACGATTGTGTCCCACTTGTTGTTGATTCATGACAAAACATTTTTTTTTTATATCTTCATGTTTGAAGCCTGAAATGTGGCGAAATGTTGAAAGGTTGAAGGGGGTCGAATACTTTCGCACTGTAAATGGTCATTTTGGCACAATTAATTTTGTTGCACAAAGTAGCTTTTGTGAGCTATTGACCGCGGTTTCCCAAACTTCTGATGTGATGATGCTGCGGGCACGGCTCACGCTGGCACTTCGAGCCTACGCCCCTTTGACACTCATTGGCTAAAAGGTAGACGTTTTGTGATTGCTGTGTGTATTTACCTTTGCTGGGGCCGCTGTGACAACAATACAGAGACAGAAACATGGTGTGAATGCCGTGCTGTTGTTTGCCGTTTCCAGTGGTGTCTGCTAGGCTAATGCTAGGCTAATGTGCTAGGTTAATGCTGCTGAATGCCGGTTTGTTTTGGTGCTCTCTGCTGGCGTCAGAGCCTGCGCAATTTGATGACATAATGACCTATCGCAATATGCCGGTATAACAAAAATCTCTACCGTGGCCAAATTTATATCGCATAAAATTTGTCACCGGTGGGAGGGGTTGATTTGGTCATTTTCCAAATTTGAATAATACCAGCCGCCAACACAGCAAAGTGATGGTAAAGAATGTCTTTTCACCTGAGAAATTACCAAAACAACAAAAACCTGCTCTGAGTGGTACAATGATGTCATACTATTACAGGACTGAGACAGGAGATTTTAGACAAAAGGGGCGGAGCTAAGTTTGTGCCAGAATCTAAAAGCAACTCTAGGTCTGTGACGGAGGATTGTAATCAGGGTAAAATCTAAAAAAGGAGTCGATTTTCATTATATATTTCCTTACATTATTGTTTGACCATCCGCTTCTCTTCCATCTTTTCTCTTTCAGATTCGTGACGCCTTACGTTCGTCAAACTCTGCAAAGCCCACACTCACCCTGAGCTGTCCCAACTGCGGTCTTTGGAAGAACCCAAAGCTGCACTCGCTTCAGGACTTAATCGATCTCCAAATTAACCCCACTCCGGTTTTCCCAGAGATGGAGGGACTTCAGGAGTTCAGCGAGTATCTGTCCGAGTCTCTGGAGCTGGAGTCTCCCTTCGACCTCCTCGAACCGCCGAGCACCGTCGGCTTCCTGAAGCTGTCCCGTCCATGCTGCTACGTCTTCCCCGGCGGACGAGGAGACTCCGCCTTCTTTGCCGTTAATGGTTTTAACGTCCTGGTCAATGGCGGCTCGGATCCCTGCTCGTCATTTTGGAAACTCGTCCGACATTTGGACAGGATTGATTCCGTTTTGCTGACCCATATTGGTGTTGATAATCTCCCAGGGTTCAACAGTTTGTTGTTGAGGAAAATGGCGGAACAAGACGAAGAGGCGAGTGCTTCTTACCCCGAAGAGGACTGGATGAAGTACCTCATCTCTCCTGAAATTGGAGTTGTGTTTCTAAACATTCCCAATAAGCTCAAAGCAAGTCAAGGCAATCTGAGTGAGCTGCGAAGTTGTGACCAAGTCGGGGTAACTTTACAGATTTTGGAGCGTCTCTCTATCAAGCCTGAACCTCTAGTGCGTTTGAACGGACCCTCAATTGAACCGGTTATTATGTTCCAAAAAATGGGTGTTGGTCGCTTGGAGCTATACATACTCAATCCTATTAGTGGAAGCAAAGATCTTGATAGTTTCAAAAAAACATGGCCTGAAAGCGGTTCAGGGTCAAAGACTGCAACTCTACCACTGACGTGCCTTGTTTCTGTCTGTGCCTTGCTGATTTGGCATCCTTCAAATCCCCAAGAGAAAATCATCAGAGTCCTGTTCCCCGGCTGCACACCGCAAGCCAAGATACTGGACAGTCTGGAAAAACTCAAACATCTCGAGTGCCTTAAAGTTCCCATAGCGTGCCAGAGAGATTTGGAAATGGCCAAACACGACAAGCTCCCAAAGCGAGCAGAGAGCCGCGAAAGCCTCAAAAGCGGTACTTTGAAAGAGAAGGTATCGCGGTTGGACGTGAAAAAGCAAGAGACCAAACCGAAAGCAGCAAGTGAGACCGCAATGAAGGATAAGAAGGATTTGGAAGAAAAATCCAAAACCAAAGTTGCTGATGCAAAAGTAAAGCCGGCAAAAGCGCAGGTAGAGAAGCTCGCTCCAAAGAAGGAAGACTCGAAAAAGGATGGAAAGAAGAGGGATGATAAGGCAATTGTTGGTGTTGTAAAGAAGGACAATGAGGTCGATGGCAAAAAGGAAGTTGAGAAGAAGGATCTGTCAAGTCAAGTTGGTGCCAAAGTGAAGAAGGACATTAAGCCGGAACGTAAGAAGGATCTTAAGAAGGACCTGAAAGTCGAGGACAAGAAGGCGGCAAAACCCAAAGAGGCGAAGAAGCCATCGGGTGCAGCCTCTAGCACGTCTTCAGTAGCAAGCCTAGATTTGAAAAAAGTGCAGGCAAAAACGGGTTCCCTGAAAAAAGAACCGCTCAAGAAAGATGGATCGGCAAAAGGAACGAAGGGTAAAGCAGGAGGCAAAGGCGTCGTGGACAACATGGAGGAGAAATTGCCGCCAGAATTTGCAAAGCTGAAGTTGGAGGAGAGAAGTTCAAGTGGGAGTGGTGACGTGCAGATAAACGGAAACTCGTTGGGTAGCCATGAGAAAATGACAGCGGGAAAAGTAGCTAAGGGGGATCTGAATGTGAACTTCAATCTCAACCCGACTTATACTGAGAATTGCCAAGACGGAGTTTGCGTCAGCTCTGAAGACAAAACCAATTTGTCGTCAGCAGATTCGGCTCCCAACAGTGCAGGCCACACTCCCTTCCACCAATCCCTGGATGAAGACATGCGAGGGTTGGGTGAGGATAGTGGGCTTGATGCTCGGATGTCCAGTTTGGGGTTTGAGGACGATAATCAAGGGGGATCGTGTAGGACGTCAGATTTGAGCTCGTGGAAAGAAGGGTTGGGGAGTTCCACGTCTTCCCAAGAGAAGCAGTCCAGTCTCCTAACTCTAAGTCCGCTCAAAGACACAATGCAGGACTCTTCGCCAACTGTGACGTCCATGCCAGCGGAATTCTGCTCGCCACATTCTACCGAGGTTGATGAATCTTTGTCCGCGTCATTAGAGCAAGGTATACCTGTTAGTAACGGGGCTTCACACGACAACTTACCTCAAATTGGCAAGAACGACCATATCCACGGAATGTCGGATCTCTTGGCAGACATCCCTCACGACGTTGATCTTTGCTTGGTGACGCCTTGCGAGTTCCAGCATCCCAAAGTGCCTGGAAATCACTCACACCACGCTACATGTTTGGAAACCACTGAGAATAACAATCTTCAGGAGCAGAGCTTGAGCGAATCTGGGGACAGTCAAGAAACTCCGCCGACGTCAATCAGCGAATCGCTTCCAACTGCGACGGACTCCGATGTAGCCGCAACTGAAGACTGTCCCTCCATCACGGTGGATATGGACTCTGAGGATGATTCCAGCAACTTGTACCTCAATTACAGCTACGACCCGCCCCCAGCTCCGGTCAAAGATCTCCCTCCGTTGCCCCCACAGCCTGGAGCTTGCATGGCAGACCCAGAAAATGACTCTGCAAGCAAGAAGCAAATTACCAAAGGCAAGAGACCGGCAAGTGCAGGCCAGAAGGTGTCACCTGGCAACACTGCGACCCACAATGGAAAGTCCAAAGCTGGGAGTGCCACGGGGTCTCTACGCACAGTCCCCAGTCTGGACGTCAAAACCGCAACCAGGAACTCTCTGGGAGGTTCCAAGACGGGACCAGCTAAGCTGTCAGTTGGTAAGTCTGCTGTGAACATAGATACAGTATTTATTTTTATATTCATATAAAACTGAGGATAACAATATTTGAATATTACAGAAAATCAAGCGTGTACGAGCTTTACCCACTAAAAAGTTATTGGATTGTTTCAAGATGCTGTTTCTCTGTCATGAGATCTATATTCATCATAGTGTAACAAGTTTTAATTACAGCTTTCAGACAGATGGGGCAGACATGTTTGTGCCGGAAGTTCCTAATATTAGCATAGATCAGCCATAGACAATGGCCACATTGCAATATCAGCCTTCTGTTTGGGAATTAACTTTTATTGCAAATGCTTTTCAGAAAAATAAAAATAAAATCTTAGCCCTGTCCAAAATGAGTGGAGTCTTGGATACATTTACAAACTGCTACGTTCACTTTCCATCCATGGTTATCCCTCTCTATGCTCGGTCCTCTACCAGAGCCCAGGAAGCTTGAGTGTTCTGCGCAGTATCTTTGCTGTCCCTAGCTCTGTACAAGTCACTTATACCTTCCAGGCAAAGATACAACTACACAGCAGGCCAGGCAAAGATTAGTAGAGACTATGGACAGAAGGGACGGCAGCGGAGTGATGGCTGTAACACCTCAGCTCACAGAGTGTCCCCTGCTTCTCCCTCAGCTCACAGTGTCCCCTGCTTCTCCCTCAGCTCACAGTGTGTCCCCTGCTTCTCCCTCAGCTCACAGTGTGTCCCCTGCTTCTCCCTCAGCTCACAGTGTCCCCTGCTTCTCCCTCAGCTCACGGAGTGTCCCCTGCTTCTCCCTCAGCTCACAGAGTGTCCCCTGCTTCTCCCTCAGCTCACAGTGTCCCCTGCTTCTCCCTCAGCTCACAGTGTGTCCCCTGCTTCTCCCTCAGCTCACAGTGTCCCCTGCTTCTCCCTCAGCTCACAGTGTGTCCCTGCTTCTCCCTCAGCTCACAGTGTGTCCCCTGCTTCTCCCTCAGCTCACAGTGTCCCCTGCTTCTCCCTCAGCTCACGGAGTGTCCCCTGCTTCTCCCTCAGCTCACAGTGTCCCCTGCTTCTCCCTCAGCTCACGGAGTGTCCCTTGCTTCTCCCTCAGCTCACAGAGTGTCCCTTGCTTCTCCCTGAGCTCACAGAGTGTCCCTTGCTTCTCCCTCAGCTCACACAGAGTGTCCCTTGCTTCTCCCTCAGCTCACACAGAGTGTCCCTTGATTCTCCCTCAGCTCACACAGAGTGTCCCTTGCTTCTCCCTCAGCTCACAGAGTGTCCCTTGCTTCTCCCTCAGCTCACACAGAGTGTCCCTTGCTTCTCCCTCAGCTCACGGAGTGTCCCTTGCTTCTCCCTCAGCTCACACAGAGTGTCCCTTGCTTCTCCCTCAGCTCACAGAGTGTCCCTTGCTTCTCCCTCAGCTCACAGACTGGTGTCCGAGGGCCCTGCGGTGTACGTGGACCTGGCCTACCTCCCCTCTGGTCCCTCTGCAGCCTCAGTGGATGCGGAGCTCTTCAGGAGGCTCCGCTCGGCCTATTACGTCATCAGCGGACAGGACTCGGTGAAGGAGGAGGTCATGAGGCCTATCCTGGACGCTCTGCTGGAGGGGAAGAGCCACTGGCCGCAGATCCCGGTAACGGAACACAAACCACTGTACTCTAATGCAATGTTTTTCACTGATACTTCCAGATCTGTAGGGTTTCCGTTAAGCTTTTGTATCTGGTACCGTATCCTAGCAACCTACCCTCAACAAACCAGTATCTGGGGAAATTCCTTGGGAACTATGGCCTCCAGCATTACTCTGGCCAATCACTGCCAGTTAGAACATTTTAGGAGTGGAGTGGAGTCTTTTGTGAGAGAAATTCAGGTGTCCAGTGGAAGACTCCTCCATGTTTGTTGTACAGTCTGACAGCTGAAGGAAAAAAGGATCTTTTGAAACGTTCCGTTCGGCAGCGCAGTGATAGGAGCCTGTTGCTACGGTTACTCCTCTGAGCGGCCATAGAGCCGAGCCGGAAACAGGACTTTAAAGTGTGCGTTTCTCTGGTCCTGAGACTGTGGTCCTTGATCCGTTGTTTCAGAGCGAGAACGACACAGACGCTTAATTTTTGAACTGTGTCTGTTTGTGTTTTCTTCAGGTGACTCTGATCCCCACATTTGACTCTCTGCCGATGCACGAGTGGTACCAGGAGAGTCACGAGAGACAGACCGAGCTCAGCATCACTGTCCTGGGCAGCAACAGCACCGTGGCCATGCAGGAGGAGACCTTCCCCGCCTGCAAAGTCGAATTCTGACCCCAGCATCACCGTGGATAGGCAACAGGAGACCTTTCAGACTCCTGCTGCTTGTGGCTGAGTGGTTAGCAGTCTCACTTATCAGCAAGAGTGTCCTGGGTTCGAGTCCAGGTCGGAACAGGGTTTGTCTGAGCGGAGTTTGCATGTTCTCCTCGGGTGCTCTGGTTTCCCGTCCCACTAAAAACATGTAGAATAGATACAACCCTCCAGCCCTGGTTCTGAAGAGATGGGTCCCTCGTCACTACGGCGACCACTGCCCTAGGCCCTAGCAACAATGAAGGGGATAGGTCAAATGTAGAATCAGAGTTATTGTTATTGCCATTTTAAGCAACAGGAAGTCACAAACTAGGAATCTGCTTTAGCTCAAGGTGCAAACAAGAGTAATAAAGGTAAAGGCATGCATGAAACAAATCTTCAAAAAATGTCTTCAAATTAAAATGACTGCTTTATAGAAGTGCACTTAGTTCACAAAATAGACTTTACCTTCACTTTGTCGCCTTCAAAGTAAAGTTGTGAAGACCTCCTCCTTCAGAGTAAAGGTCCAGAGAGGTTTCTTGTTCGTCCACGTCCTCTTGTCGAGCCTTATGCTAGCCTTATGCTAACCCTACGCTAGCCTTACGACCTCCGACCTTACGACATAATCCCTATATACCCCTCTGCTTCAGCCTCGTCCCGTAGACGTTCATACACCTGCGTTATTTGCATGTTCTTCTTTTCCACTTTAATATTTATTTATTTATTTGACGTTGTTTGTTACGAGTAGAATCCATGATGCTGGTACGAACGCAAAACGCTTTTTCACGGCTCAAAGCCAAGATAACAAGTTGAATTGGTCCAGAATTTCTTTTTCTATGAGCTCAAGATGGAGGGTGAGTGTAAAGCTGGGGTACGTAACTTTCAGACCACAACAATACCACTCTGAAAAATTGGACCCAAAAGTGATAGAAGCAAAGCTGGGACTAATTACCGGGATTTTATTACAGACGGAAAAGTGAAAAAGAGAGGACCACCCTGAATCAGCCAATCAGCTTTCAGCCCAAAGAGTCAAATAGTGACTCACAGGGATCCTTCTCACACAAAAGATGTTGTGGTCTGATTTGTTCACAACATTTGACTCTTTCTGTTGGACAAACCGTAGGTAACCCAGCTTTACAGACACCAAATCAAGATTTTTTTGTCACAATCTTTATTAGGTAATTCTTTGTTTTGTGTTTTATGAGGACTTAAATCATTGCCATATTCTCACTGTGAGACCTGTGTAGTGTCATGCATATTTTTATCTTGTAATCACTTGTAAAAGCTGAAACACGATACCTTTTTGGACCGAGGACGATGACTCTGACTCGTGGATCTATGTTTTTCTCATTATGTTTATGTCTTTCGTGTGTGACTGGGGAACACTGCTGCTGTCATGTGACCATAGAGCTTCAGGAGTGGACTGACCGAGTGTGACGTCACCATAACGTTAGCCTTAAAGGTCCCATCTTTCTCTCTTCTTACCTCCATTGAATCGAGCTGATCTCTGCTCCTTGGCGTTTCGCTGCCTCTTGAGAATGAGCTTGAAGGAATTACTTAAAAAACTTCTTTGGGCAGATGAAGACCAAATAGCACTTACTTAATAATGTTTTAAAGCAGAGAAAAGTCACAAAGCATAATATGGAATCTAGGAAGAAGGTGATTTCCTTATATGGGCATTCCTTCCGTGGTGTTAGCTTTGTGCCGTAACTTTTTACCAAAAAGGTTGCAAAGGCAAACAGGAATTTCAATCTAAGTCTCTCTGGCTCCTATTGATTTACAATGAAAAGTAAACTCCTCTCGCTCAGCAACAGTTTGTGTCACACTCATCATTTTGGGCGTAAAAATCTGTGGTTGAGTGCCCTCTATGGTCTTGGTGTTGAAATTTTAATATTGTCTTTGTAATTTCAAATAGGAGCCATATAAGGATTCACCAATCAGATGCCTTCAATCACAGGGGAAACTCCAGCTTGCCTTAGCAACCGTCTTAGCAACACACCTGCCCCTTTTACAGCACAAAGCTAACGCAGCGGAAGAATTGCCCATATAAGGAAAATGGCTCCAGCTAGCTTAAGTTCAAATCAGCTTCTTCTGCATTGAGGCTAACGCTATGGTGACAGTTAAATGTAGGATACCTTTTATTTTTTCTCCTCTGTCGGTATGTCTACTTCTTGGTCATAGCAACCGTTGCTAAGGAGCTCAATGCTGACTCTAGGCTCATAAAATCGTCCCTTTCCTCAAACATGTTTTGTAGAGGACACACTATATATGTTTTCTATAAAGTTGTTTGTGTGAGTTGATTACACACTCGGAGCAGTGCGGTTGTGTTGTTTAAACGCACACTGAGCCTTGCGTTGTTCGAGACGCCGCACCTGTGTTTAAACTACACAACCACACAACTCCAGATGTTTTAATCGTTTACTTATAAACTATAATTTGTGAAAAAATCCAGTCTTTGTCATAATTTAGATCCTAAGCTCCGGTCTCATTTGTGTCGTGGTGTTGTGTGGCGCTGGTCCTGATGCCGCACCAGGACTCTCCGTTACCATCGCCGCAGTGTTGCTTCGTCAGAGTGTGTGTCCCGTTTGTAGAGAGGATCTTTGTGCACATGAAAGCCATAGATAAAGTCCTGAATCTGTTTTGTCCAACACTATCTTCAATAAACATTTCCCACTAAGACACAGTTTTACTTGGATTTATTCTAATGCTTTTCTCCAGGTTTTGTTTTCGACCTTTTTTAAAACCGTATTAATAGTTTTAGGGGATTTCCAGTCGAATTACATTCAAAAGGTTTTTCAGAAATTGCCGGGAAAGAGAAAGTCTAAAAGTGCTTCCTACTGGGCACCATCAGGATTTTAAGTTTTGTCACCAAACCAGTGAGAAACACCGGAGAGTGAGACCAGAGCGAGAAAGACAGGCCAGAGAGAGTGAGACCAGAGCAAGAAAGACAGGCCAGAGAGGGTGAGAGCAGAGCGAGAAAGACAGGCCAGAGAGAGTGAGACCAGAGCAAGAAAGACAGGCCAGAGAGGGTGAGAGCAGAGCGAGAAAGACAGGCCAGAGAGAGTGAGACCAGAGCAAGAAAGACAGGCCAGAGAGGGTGAGACCAGAGCGAGAAAGACAGGCCAGAGAGAGTGAGACCAGAGCGAGAAAGACAGGCCAGAGAGAGTGAGACCAGAGCAAGAAAGACAGGCCAGAGAGAGTGAGACCAGAGCGAGAAAGACAGGCCAGAGAGGGTGAGACCAGAGCGAGAAAGACAGGCCAGAGAGGGTGGGACCAGAGCGAGAAAGACAGGCCAGAGAGGGTGAGACCAGAGCGAGAAAACAGGCCAGAGAGGGTGAGACCAGAGCGAGAAAGACAGGCCAGAGAGAGTGAGACCAGAGCAAGAAAGACAGGCCAGAGAGAGTGAGACCAGAGCAAGAAAGACAGGCCAGAGAGAGTGAGACCAGAGCGAGAAAGACAGGCCAGAGAGGGTGAGACCAGAGCGAGAAAGACAGGCCAGAGAGGGTGAGACCAGAGCGAGAAAGACAGGCCAGAGAGAGTGAGACCAGAGCGAGAAAGACAGGCCAGAGAGAGTGAGACCAGAGCAAGAAAGACAGGCCAGAGAGAGTGAGACCAGAGCGAGAAAGACAGGCCAGAGAGGGTGGGACCAGAGCGAGAAAGACAGGCCAGAGAGAGTGAGACCAGAGCGAGAAAGACAGGCCAGAGAGAGTGAGACCAGAGCGAGAAAGACAGGCCAGAGAGAGTGAGACCAGAGCAAGAAAGACAGGCCAGAGAGAGTGAGACCAGAGCGAGAAAGACAGGCCAGAGAGGGTGGGACCAGAGCGAGAAAGACAGGCCAGAGAGGGTGAGACCAGAGCGAGAAAACAGGCCAGAGAGGGTGAGACCAGAGCGAGAAAGACAGGCCAGAGAGAGTGAGACCAGAGCAAGAAAGACAGGCCAGAGAGAGTGAGACCAGAGCAAGAAAGACAGGCCAGAGAGAGTGAGACCAGAGCGAGAAAGACAGGCCAGAGAGAGTGAGACCAGAGCAAGAAAGACAGGCCAGAGAGAGTGAGACCAGAGCAAGAAAGACCGGTCAGAGCGAGAAAAACGGGCTAGAGAGAGTGAGACCAGAAAGAGTGAGACCAGAGAGAGAGACCAGAGAGTTGGAGACACCAGAGAATAACAGCAGAAGGTGAGACAAGAGGGATAAGGTATGTAATAATAAGTTTGCTCTTAAAGCTGGGGTACCTGACTCTTCCCCCATACACACAGTTTGTCCAACAGAAGGCCTTGTCAAGTTAAAATAACAAATACCAAACCATGCTGCCTATGTCTTATCAGAAAACGTCATGTAAGAAAACACCTTGTGAGTCACTCTTTGAGCTGAGAGCTGATTGGCTGACTGAGGGGGGTCCTCTTAACCTTGCCTGCAAGCTGAATTCTCGCGGTATTTGTGAGTTCACAAACACTCGAGAATACATCTTGTACCGCTCCCGCTTACACTTTTCGAGTCGAACCACTGGGTGTGCGAGCCAATCACGCGCCAGTCTGGGGGTTTAGGGCGGGATATCTGGGTTTGACGAAAGCAAGAAGTGCCGGGCCGAAGCAAAACAAACATGGCTACGCAGGAGGACGGACGCGTAGCTGAGGCTATCAAGTCAGTTTTAGCAGAATCTCCAATTTCTTTTTTGAAAGATGAACAGCGAGAGGCGCTTTGTGCATTTCTGGACGGCAACCTTGGTAGGCGGGCACACAGCGTCACTTCGCCCAATCAGCTTGAAGTATTCTGCTGCTTATCCCTCCTTTCCCCGAAAGGATTCTCCGGGAGAAATCCCAGATTGATATCGTGGAGAACGCGTTAGAGTTCTACACAATCATCAATCTGGCTCTTGCCAGGTTAGGGTCCTCTATTCACTCTTCACTTTTCTGTCTGAAAAAGCAGATCTATACATGTGACACAGACATACATAAAAACTAATGACAGAAGCACATTTTAGCGCCAGGAACTAGAGACATGTGTTTGTTACAGAGTTCTATTGTTGTGGTCTGAAAGTTACATACCGCAGCTTTAATACGTCACCTTACACAGGGCTGTATCTTTATTTTATTTGAAGAGAAGTTGTGACTGTGAACTAACAACGTGGTCGTAACTTGGTGTTTTGCTGCCCTCTGCTGGACAACACATGCGCAGACTGAACGTAAGGACCAGGGCTGTCATTTTGAGAACCGATTTGTTTGAGCGTTCTTTCAATTAATCAATTAGTCGATGGGATCACGAAAGACCTGTAAATAAGGTTAGGTACCCCACCTTTAAAATCACTGTCAGTGACGTTTGGAATTGAAAATGGAGAGCATCAATTAGCCCCGCCCATTCTCACCCTCACTGCTTCCTGATTGGATGTAATTAATTTAAATTCTTACACAGGCCGAGGCCCCTCCCCATTGGTCCAACTATTCTCCTCCAGTAAATCTCACTGATGTTTAGTCAGAGAGAGGGACTGTATTGATGGCGCCCCCTGCAGGTGGAGCCACATCCCGTCAAACCTCTGAAGCTAAGCAGGGCAGGGCCAGGTTAGTGCTGTGATGGGAGACCTCTGGGAACACCAGGTGCCACAGTGGGGCGGCTGTGGCTGTAAAGTCCCAAACTGTGGGTGTGTCCTTAGGCAAGACACTTCCCCCACATTAGAATGAGTCTGGTGTGTGTGTGAATGGTTGGTGGTGGTGGGAGGGGACGATGGCACAGACTGGTTGCCTCGCTTCTGTCAGTGTGCCCCAGGGCAGCTGTGGCTACAGTTATAGTTCACAACCACTGTGTACATAGTGACTTTGAGTGTGCTACTTTACTACGTACTACAGTACTGCTACTACAGGGTCACAAGAGCAACAATGTGCATCATTTCAAAGGTGAAGAGTTGCAGACATCACCTTTAATGTTGTCTGCAGTGGACATGTTAGGCTTATTTGAAGGTTATTTAGTGATTATGTTCCAATGAAAAGGGGAATAAGAACTTGGTCGTCAGGAGGAGACGGCCCGAATCCCAGGGAACGCCTCAAACAAGAAACAGGAAACTTTATTTTATTTATTTATTTGACAGCGACGATGCATTCATAGATACAGAGAAAGATGCTGATGCGACACATACAGCGCTGTAGCTAACTCTGAACTTGACAATAACCTTGTTCTCCTAAACTAACTGTGTCTCATAAACTTTGAACGGTCTCAAATCTTTTTTTAAACTTTACAACATGAAGAAGAACTACATGACACTTTCTTTATCCCCGTCTTCTGCATTTGACCCATCACTGCTCCTGGGCCTCCGTCAGGGGCAGAGGTCACTGTGGATGGTTCTACAGATATTATTCAAGAGATTTCATGACACTTTGAAACGACTGTGCTTTAAGTGAAACTCATCATTCTAACAATATAAGGCTCTATACTTTTCCACTTCATGTTTTGGTTTTCTCAGGGTTGAAACCACTGGTACGTTGGCAGCTGCTGATTGGACGGTCTTATAATATCACAATGTTATACAGGACGATTATCATTTTCTTCATCATACATGTTTTAGTGGTACAGGGAAACCAGAGCACCCGGAAGGGCCCTGTTCCAACCGAGATTCGAACCCAGGACCGTCTTGCATCAACCACCCAAATAGTGAAGACACACATGGATTTACCCTTGTCCAGCTCAAGACCTGAGGAGACCTGGTCCAGACTCAGACGAAACCCATGGTCTCTGTCTCACTTTCTGCAATAGTGGTGATAATGTTTCTGACTGAATAAAAGATTTCAGTCCTGAGCGTCATCCTCGGTCCTGTGTGACCCCCGCCCCTCTCTCTCTCTCCTCTGTGTCCGCTGTGGGCGTGTCCATCCCGGTCTCTGGTCTGGTCTCTGGTCTGGTCTGGTCCCTGGTCTCTCTGGTCTCTGGATTCTAATCTCTGGTCTTTTTTATCTAGTCTCTGGTCTCGGGTCTAGTCTCTGGTCTGGGCATAGTTTCTGGTCTCTGGTCTGGACTCTCCTCTATCTGTGACTGCAGTGCGCGCCGCCATGGAGTGAGTACACGCCTGCACTTTTGCATGTTCTCCCCGTTCCCCCTCCTCTCCGCGGGCGTGGACCAGCCTCGTGCCGCATCCGCAGGCCCCTAAGCCCGCCATGATACCCGGATGATGCCCGGAGGATGCCCGGAGGATGCCCGGAGGATGCCCGCGGTGATGCTGAGTCAGACCCTCCTCCCGCGCGCATGTGACTGTCCCGGGACTCACGCTCAGACCATGCGGCCCACTTTATAACGCGAAAGGGCCCCGGAAAGGGTCGATATCCTCCAGAGATGCGGTGATGAGGTATCGATCTAGTTTGAACAAAAACATGAGGATTTAGAATCGATGTGGTGGAGCTGGTTCCACTGCAGGGTCCCGGGCTGCGCGCCTTCAGAGTAAATCAGCTGAAAGTGCGGTTGATTTTCACAATAAAAGCCCACAGAGGCGTTGGCACGTGCAGGGGCGTCACCAAACTCTGGGCCCCGGGAACAAACCACAGCGTCGGGCCCCGACTCTGGGTCATGCCACTTTTACACCTTGAAGATTCTGTTGAGATATAATCAAAGCCGTAGAACCTAACTTTTTTGTTTGTTTAACCCTAAGATTCCCAGAATTATTAAACTGCGAGAACCCAGAGAGCCGTCTCTTTGACTGCTCCCATTCAAATTAATGGAATTCTGAGATATTCCCATCAATCAACCATTTTTTTATGGTGATTATAAAAAAAACTGTTTGGTTAAAGATGCAGTAAACGATGTTGTTAGCTTAGCCGTAGCACCAACTGGAAACCTCTCCCCTCCCTCTCCACCAAACCAAACATCCAGCATTTTCTTTTCTTTGTCACAGCAGGGAGAGTGGGCGGCAAACGTGAAATTGGTATTTTCTGTTCAGCCATTTTAGGTTTTAGAAAATCCAATAACTCAGGTGCACTCGTGAGAAACAGGAAGAGGGTGAAGGGGGTAAACACATCCCATTGGTTAGTTGGAGATGAACGAATCCCATTGGTTTATTTTTATCGGTCCGCTCAAATATTTTTTTTATAATTTTGGCAGATTATAGGAATCTGGTGAATGCCATTACTATTTGAAAACACATAAATTGACAACTTTTAGGGTTTAGGGACGTTTTCCCACAATACTTAAAATAATGGGTCTGGGAAAAATCCCTGACTGCATTTTTAAAGAAGCACCACCTGATGTCCACAGGTGGTAGTGAACGTCCGTCTATGTCCCCTTTAAATTACACTTAGCTTCTGTTGTAGTCCTGCTGTCTCATTTGTAGTCCTTACGTTGCTTCTCAGCCGTGTGCCCGAGACGCAGACAGGACCCAAACACAGAGGTCGCCATAGAACCCGCCCCGTTGCCGTGGGGACAGGCGTCTGCGGTGCGCCTGGGAACCGCCTGAACCCGGGTCAAGTGCCCGACGGACACGATTTACGCATCAGTGTTTCTCTCAAAATTAAAGAGCAGATCAAAGGAAACCAACGGCAACCGGTTCAATCCCATTTATTCTTGTATCGCCCTAAATCACAACAGTAGTTTTCTCGGAGGACCTTACTCGGCTGTCGATTCGCCAACACAGATCAGAGAATCAAACACAAGAAAGACAACAACAAATATGAAATGAAGGGTAAAAGTGACATTTTTAAGTCTAGGTGGTCACAGCCTTTAACCAGATAATTACAGGGACCAGGACAGAGGGACATTTTTTAATCTGTTATTTTTTTCCTTCTCCTTTTCTTTTCTCCGTATGGCACTGGCTAATTCTGATTTGTTTGACGTTGAAGCTAACCAAAGCCCTTTTTATTCATTAATTTAGTTGTTATTGTTGTTATTATTATTTTGAATATACTTTTCTTGTTTGGTACAATGGGTGAAAAGACCAAAAAGAAAAAGTATGTGTAGTATAGTATTTGAAATGGAGGAAAAAACGCCAGTGTTACCAACTGGAGGTAACAGACATGCCCCCAACCCTTCTGTCCTGACACTCTGTTCTCAAACTCGTTAAACCATAGGTGGAGCTGAGGACAGGACATTTTGGCTCTGATGAACCACGACCTGGACAGAGTTTTGTGACAGTTCTCCCACTTCTTCCTGGAGACGCTTTGTGGCAATGAGCTGTTTCCATGGCGACGTCTGGAGCTTTGTCGGACCCCGGTTTGAGACAAAAGCCCGGACTCTGGACCCTGGCCTCGGTCCAGTCCCAGAGACCGAGACCCAGATCTGCTCTGGACTTTGGGCCCAAACAAGTGAGGTCTCTACAGTCCAGAGAGGAACTATTTTCACCACAAACAGAAAACAAAGGCAGAACATTTCAGAAAAATGTGTTTATAAAGTTATAAAGTTTAATCTGTTAGTCACAGAAGTTTTAAGGGTAATTTTAGTGACATCATAGACACGAGCCTGTGATGTCACATGTCTCTGTGGGTCAAAAGCCGAGGATAAATGTGGGCCAATGACTTTTCCTTTTTTCGGGTTTGATCCGGATTCAAGAGAGAAACGTTCTAATGAAGGGTTTGTCGTTTGTTTTTCAGAGTCATCGAGACGGACCGGATCAACATCATCGCTGTGAGTTTCTGTGTCCTTGAGCAAAGCACCTCACACACTGTATACAGATGGACAATGCTAACAGAGACTGTATACAGATGGACAATGCTAACACAGGCTGTATACAGATGGACAATGCTAACACAGGCTGTATACAGATGGACAATGCTAACACAGACTGTATACAGATGGACAATGCTAACACTGGCTGTATACAGATGGACAATGCTAACACAGACTGTATACAGATGGACAATGCTAACACAGACTGTATACAGATGGACAATGCTAACACAGGCTGTATACAGATGGACAATGCTAACATAGACTGTATACAGATGGACAATGCTAACACAGACTGTATACAGATGGACAATGCTAACTGTTACGACCCCGGCTCGTGAGGCCGCAACAAAGAAGGTGGGCAGGACACACACGGAGTTTAAGCCCGTGCTGGGCGTTTATTTCTCAAAAATTAGAGCGTCTGCATGTCATCAGTGTACGTGGATCATGTGCTGTGGGTGCAAACGGGTGTAGTGCGAATGAGTATCAGTTTGACAACGGGCGTAATGCATGTGTGGTGCTGAGGTGCGTGGGTGCAAAGAAACAAATAATAAAGATTAGCGTGGCGATGGCGTTGGCTGGACCCAGGATGGTGGATGATAACCGTCAAAGGCAGCAGCCCGGGCCTCCGGCGTAAGCCCAGGAGCCGCAGATGAGAGAGAGAGAGTGAGCGCAGCGGATGCCCCTTTATAGCCATCCGGTCCACAGCTCCAAGGATTCCCGGGCGCCTCCTACTGTCCACACCTTTTAAGACAGCCACAACAGTAAACTGCCACAACACCAGTAGAGGGGCCGTCACACCCCCCCCCTTAAGGAGCAGGTCCCCGCGGAACCCTGCGACAACCTGCAAGGCTCACCTTTTGTCGTTACCACACCCAGTGCAGCAAACCCAGCCACCAACAAACTTTTTTTTTTTTCCTTGTGGCCATATGGAAATGTTCAGGCCCAGAGAGGATCATCCGTGTCCAGATCCACCCCTCCTCAGACCACTCCTCAGCCCGGCAACTGGTGCACACAGAAGCGATTTAAGGACAGAAGAAGCGAGAAAGAGGGGAGGGGAAAACAAAACACAAACAAAACTAACACACCGGGGCGCGCGACAACGCGTCAGCTACCACATTTTCCTTCCCCCTAATATAGCGAATGTCAAGACTGTATGACTGCAAGAAGAGCGACCAGCGGACCAGACGCTGATTAGGACATTTTAGCGACGACAAAAAGGTAAGCGGATTATGGTCTGTATGCACCACAACGTTTGCGCTGCCACATACGTAAACGTCGAAATGCTGCAAAGCCAAAATTAAAGCCAACGTTTCCTTCTCAATAACTGAGTAATTCAACTGATGGCGATTAAATTTCTTTGAGAAGTAACTGACCGGCCTACAGATGCCCAACTGATCCGCCTGTGTAAGCACAGCCCCAGCTCCCACATGGCTCGCATCCACATACAGCTGGAAGGCCTGGTTAAGGCGCGGCGCCGCCAACACAGGAGCAGCACAGAGGAGTCTTTTCACCCGGTCGAACGCCTGCTGACAAATAGGAGACCAGATGAACTTCACATCCTTGCGCAGTAAGGTAGTTAAAGGCGCTACAACGGAGGAAAAGTTTTGACAGAAACATCTGTAATACCCCACGAGGCCCAGAAACCGCATAAGCTCCTTCTTGGTAATCGGAATGGGAAACTGCTCCACCGCTTGGACCTTAGCTGCCACAGGTCGAACTTCCCCCTGGCCCACCACGCGACCCAGGTACGTAACGGTCGCCTTCGCGAACTCACACTTGGCGAGGTTAACCGTCAACCCTGCCCCGGCCAAACGCGCGAAAAGCTCCTCAATGCGCTCCAAGTGGTCCCCCCATGTGTCAGAGTACACTACCACGTCGTCCAAATAAACGGCACAACCCAGCATATCACCAACCACCCGGCCCATCAACCGTTGGAACGTCGCCGGCGCATTCCTCAACCCAAACGGCATGACAGTGTAAGAGTACAACCCCGTAGGCGTAATAAACGCAGACACCTCACGCGCACGCTCCGTCAGCGGCACCTGCCAGTACCCCTTCAGGAGGTCAAACTTACTGACAAACTTGGCTGAGCCCACTTGATCAACACAATCATCCATCCTAGGCAAAGGAAAACAATCCGGTTTAGTCACGGCGTTCAGCTTACGAAAATCAGAACAAAACCTAGGAGTGCCATCCGATTTAGGCACCAGAATGCACGGCGACGCCCAACTGGAAGTACTGGGCTCTGCAATCCCATTCTCCAGCATGTACTTCACTTCCGCGTCCAAATACTTGCGTTTTTCAAAATTCACCCGGTAGAAACGTTGCCTAATCGGCTGAGAGTCTCCTACATCCACATCATGCTCAATCAGATGTGTACGACCCGGCGTGTCAGAAAATAAACAGGAAAAGCGAGATAGTAATGCAGTTAACCGTCTTGCATCGTCCTCTGGCAAATGCCCAAACAAGAAATCTAACTGACGAAGAACCTCCGAATTCCTAAGACGCCCTTGTGCGAGGGCGCTGTCCAAGGTACCAGTGACACCATCATCCCCCACAGAAAACGGTGAGCTGACCACAGTCCCCAAACCTTCAACCCCCTGGACAGGTCTATCCACAGCACACGCAGCATTACCCCGACAGAGCTCAGGCCGCCCCACGTCAGCTTCCCGAACCACATACGGTTTCAACAGGTTCACATGACACAGCTGTGTCTTCTTCCTGCGCTCAGGCACAGAGATAACATAATTTTGATCAGAAGTGCGTTCAAGAACTGTATACGGACCAGTAAACTTCGCCTGAAAGGGAGAAGTCACCACAGGACATAAGGCTAACACCTGATCCCCAGGCAAAAACGTGCGCGCCTCCGACCGCCGATCGAACAGCGCCTTCATTTTTCTCTGCGCTTCAGTCAGTCTTACTTTAGCTAACTCCCGCGCCATGTACAACCGTCTCCTGAAGCCAGACACATAGTCCACTAGATTTTGCGGAGGTGCTGGCTCCTTAAACTTATCCGCCACGGTTGCCAAAGGACCTTTCACGGTGTGCGCAAAAACCAGCTCATTCGGGCAAAACCCTGTGCTCTCCTGGGTCACCTCCCTGGCCGCCAACATCAGCCAAGGCAACCCCTCCTCCCAGTCTCCACCCAACTCTGTACAGTAAGCGCGCAACAGAGACTTAAGCGACTGATGAAAGCGTTCCAATGCCCCCTGACTCTTCGGATGGTACGCAGTCGCTTTACTGTGTCGCACTCCGAGCTGCTTAAGGACTTGGGCAAACAAATGAGATGAAAAATTAGTGCACTGGTCCGACTGGATTACCTTGGGAATGCCAAACACCGAAATGAACTGGGTAAGTGCGCGCACCACGGCCCTGGCAGTTATTGTACGCAACGGATAAGCGGCTGGATACCGCGTCACCTGACACATTACTGTCAGCAGGTAGAAAGAGCCAGCTTTTGAACGAGGTAACGGGCCCACACAGTCGATAACTAAGTGCTCGAATGGCTCGGATGCTGCCACAATCGGACTCAACGGGAACGGCTTCAACACCTGATTAGGCTTGGCAGTTAGCTGACAAACGTGACACGTCTTAACATGAGCAGCAATATCTTTTTTAAGGCGCGGCCAAAAAAAATTTCTCAGGACCCGATCATACGTTTTCCTCACGCCAGAATGTCCGGCCTCATCATGCGCAACATTTAACACTGCAGAACGAAACTTACTGGGCACGACAATCTGAAATACCGGCTCGCCAACAGCATCGGCATGTGGCATCCATTTTCTCACCAACAATGAATTCTCAAGGAAGTACCCACATGCGGAATCCACTGCCTCGCTCGCCGGAAGCACCTGCCCAAAAAGCTCTTTTAAAGACGTGTCAGCTTGCTGCTCCGCTACCAGCTCACTACGAGACAGAGACAAAGGAAAGTTAGACAAAGGTAAGTGCACCTTCTTACAACAAACCTCGCCCCCACCCCCCTGAGCACGCGCCATAGCCCGCGTCACGGCGCACGCTGTAAACACGTCCGGAAGCTCCTTGCCACGGGCATCTGCCTGGGATAGTGCCCATGGCGGCGGCTCCGATTCAACAGGCACAGTCAACGGGGCAGCGTCCGACCACAAACGCGCCCCCGCCAACCCGTTACCCAAAATCACCGAAACCCCCTCCATCGGCAACGCAGGACGCACAGCCAACGCAGCTTCCCCACAAAATAACTCACAATCCAGAGACACTTTACGCAACGGAACAAAGAGCACGTTCAACCCCATTCCGCGAACCGGAACACATGTACCAGTCTCCGACTCACGCGACCACGGCAACACATCGGCCCGGATGAATGAGTCAAACGCCCCCGTGTCTCTCAAGATCTTAACGCACACCTTCTGGTCACTGCCCACCAGCGAGACGTAACCCTCACGAATGAAAGGAAGGTACGAACCCAACACTTCCACCCCAACCGTCGTCACCTCCGGTTTTACAGTAACCAGGACAGGCGCAGCCAACCCCGCTCCCTTCGGATTAGCGTAACCTGACCTGTACTTATTTTTCAGCGATAGACAGTCTGCCTTTAAGTGCCCTGGCTTATTGCAGTAGTAACAAACACGATCAGCAGTTTGTCGATTAGCACTCTCAACATGACCCTCTCGTTGCCTATTCGGGCCAAACTGATGGCCCGGACCCACACGGCCTGAATACTCTTTGTGAGTAAGCACGTACTCGTCCGCCAATACAGCAGCATCCGACACATTCATAGTCTTTTGTTCATTAATATAAGTTGCAATCCTCTCCGACAAACAGTTCTTGAACTCCTCCATCAAAATTATGTCACGCAACTGATCAAAGGTTTTAATGTTCTGCGCCGCACACCACCTGTCAAACAGTGCAGTTTTCTCACGCCCAAACTCCACATAACTCTGGTGATCGGCTTTCCTGTAACGGCGGTACTTCTGGCGATAAGCCTCGGGCACCAGCTCATACGCCCGCTCTACTGCACTCTTCACCTTCTCATACAGCAAACTATCCTCAGGCGACAATGATGCATAAGCCTCCTGAGCCTTGCCCGTAAATACACATTGCAGTAGTAAAGGCCAAACATTCCGAGGCCAACCCAACGTCGTCGCCACGCGCTCAAACAAGACAAAATATTTATCCACGTCCCTTCCCGTAAACGGTGGGATTAACCAAATACATTTATTTACATCAAACTCGGCTTCAACTAGATTACTACGCTGACTATACACACTCTGTGACGACTCACGCCTCCTCAAATCTGCCTCCAACTCCAACTTGCGCAATTCAAAATCACGCTGCTGTTCATGTTCCCTACACTCCAAACGTCGCATCTCCAACTGCAATTCCATCTTTCGGACCTCCGCATCCGATACCGCCTCGCCCGGAGGAAGGATATCACGTTCAGCTAGACTGTCGTGTATTTGTCGTCTAATGACCTTCTTCTTGTCTTGTTTTGACACATTGATTTTATAATGCGCAGCAACCTCCAACAAATCATTTTTCGTACAGCCGTCAAGCTGACCCACCGAAGGCTCAGCCACAAAATCTCCCAAGTCAAAACCCATCCTCGGTCAAAACCCAGAAACAGCCACACACACACAAAAAAACCCCTCGGGACCATACACTGCGAGACGAAGTGTAACCACCAGTTAAAGTGCACCACGATGGGCTCGAAACAACCACTGTCCCCTCTACGCTTTACCTACGCCCAAACTCACCTAACTAACTCCCCTCTAGCTCTTCACACGGTTGGGCGGTGGGTTGATTAATGCACGAAACCAGCGGACAAGCCACGGAGTGCCCCCGAGATGACTGAGTAAACAGCCAACACTAACCGCCAGCCCCGTGACACTACAAAAAAAACAAACAGGCGACGCATCATGCAGCGACACCACTAGCCTGCAGGAGACAGGGCCGCAAAACAGAACCCACATGCACAACTAGAACAAAACACTTCACTCACCTGCATGTCCCGACGAGAGGAGCAACAAAAACCTCCAAACACACGTCGTCGTGTCCTCCCACACTCCCTACACACACGCAGCACCGGCCTCCCCTCCGATGCTGACGTCACTGATCATTCACAAAAGTAGGTCAATATTCAACGCGCATGGGAACAAAAACATGAACCAAACTTTTTTTAGACGAGCCCCCATTTGTTACGACCCCGGCTCGTGAGGCCGCAACAAAGAAGGTGGGCAGGACACACACGGTGTTTAAGCCCGTGCTGGGCGTTTATTTCTCAAAAATTAGAGCGTCTGCATGTCATCAGTGTACGTGGATCATGTGCTGTGGGTGCAAACGGGTGTAGTGCGAATGAGTATCAGTTTGACAACGGGCGTAATGCATGTGTGGTGCTGAGGTGCGTGGGTGCAAAGAAACAAATAATAAAGATTAGCGTGGCGATGGCGTTGGCTGGACCCAGGATGGTGGATGATAACCGTCAAAGGCAGCAGCCCGGGCCTCCGGCGTAAGCCCAGGAGCCGCAGATGAGAGAGAGAGAGTGAGCGCAGCGGATGCCCCTTTATAGCCATCCGGTCCACAGCTCCAAGGATTCCCGGGCGCCTCCTACTGTCCACACCTTTTAAGACAGCCACAACAGTAAACTGCCACAACACCAGTAGAGGGGCCGTCACACTAACACAGACTGTATACAGATGGACAATGCTAACCTGGCTGTTACTGATGACTTACATGTAAAAGTAAACGCCTTTGGACTGAAAGAATCCAAGGTTTAGCACTCTCTGTGATCCGGGTGTTTATATTGTGCCTTTATAGCCTTAACAGCCGACCAATCAGGAACCTTCTATCCCAACGTTCATTTTAGCAGCAAGGAACAGACCAGCTCTGCTCCTGATTGGTTCTTTGGTTGCTAGGACGTTGCTACTCATGATCTTGGTTCTAGATTACCGTCCTTGGAGTCTGTTTGAGTTAGCTCTAATTCTCATGGAGGCTGTTTGGGGTGGCTCTAATCCTGTTTCCATGGCGATGTAGGAGAAGAGGAAGTGGCAGATGGAGGTGGAGAACAAGAGACACCAGCTGGAGGACGACCGACGATCTCTGCAACATCTCAAGGTTCAGCTTCACTCACTCCACACCAGACCCACCAGAGACTGAAGTTTATATGTGCTGAGACCAGAGAGAGACCAGAGAGAGACCAGAGAGAGACCAGAGAGAGACCAGAGAGAGACCAGAGAGAGACCAGAGAGAGACCGGAGAGAGGCCAGAGAGAGACCAGAGAGAGAACAGAGAGAGGCCAAAGAGAGACCAGAGAGAGAGACTAGAGAGAGACCAGAGAGAGCCCAAGGAGAGAACAGAGAGAGGCCAAAGAGAGGCCAGAGAGAGAGACTAGAGAGAGACCAGAGAGAGACCAGAGAGAGACCAGAGAGAGGCCAAAGAGAGGCCAGAGAGAGAGACCAGAGAGAGACCAGAGAGAGCCCAGAGAGAGGCCAGAGAGAGGCCAGAGAGAGACCAGAGAGAGACCAGAGAGAGACCAGAGAGAGACCAGAGAGAGACCAGAGAGACCAGAGAGAGACCAATCAGAAAGAGACTAGAGAGAGACCAGAGAGAGACCCTAAAAGAGGCCAGAGAGAGACCAGAGAGCCCAGAGAGAGAACAGAGAGAGGCCAGAGAGAGACCAGAGAGAGACCAGAGAGACCAGAGAGAGACCAGAGAGAGACCAATCAGAGAGAGACCAGAGAGAGACTAGAGAGAGACTAGAGAGAGATCAGACAAAGTTCAGAGAGAGAATGAAATAAGTTCCGTTCATTTCCAGTCTTATTGCGACACGTTCCATGTAGAAGGAGCAGAGTTTACTAAAGATAAACTTACCTTCATCTGTAGCGTACGTTGAGACGCGTTTGGCGATTTTCCCTGTTGTTGTTGTTGTTGTTGTTGTTGTCAGTCCAAAGCCCTGAGGGAGCGATGGCTGCTGGACGGAGCGCCTTCTGGTGGAGCTGAGCACGAGGAGGTGAAGAAACAGCTGGAGCAGGACGAGCAAAGGAGCAGGGAGCTGGAGGAGCACATCCGGAGGTCTGTGGGCTCCTAACACCTCCTAACACCTCCTAACACCTCAGAAAACCTCTTCCTGAAACCTTCCAATATCAGGACAAAGCAAAGGGACAAAGATCTCTCTCAGTCCAATTTAACAATAAAGAGAAAGACTCATGTGAACCTGTTCTGTGTGGAAAAAAACAGTTCTCGATGGAACCATTTTTACTGCGATTACGTGTAACCAGTGTTGGGCACGTTACTTTGAAAAAGTAATTAGTTATAGTTACTAGTTACTTCTCCCAAAAAGTAACTGAGTTACTAACGGAGTTACTCCACTATAAAAGTAACTAGTTACCAGTAAAAGTAACTATTGCGTTACTTTTTCGTTTTGTTCTGGAACATAATGTGCACTCGACGTGTGCAGTTTTACCTTTAACCTCAGTGAGTTTAAACAGTGCCAATATTTCCATCTAGAAAAGACTGTTTTGCTGCTGAAGTCCTGTTCACTCTTCATCTCTCTCTGTGCTGTAAGCACTAAACACCAACACCTGCCACTGTGAATGTGGAAACACCGGTGAAGCACTGACTTCAGCCCAATCAGATGAACATATACATCATATAAATCAACTGGACCTAGAGAGCGGCTTATTTGTTTGGCTACAGCAGAATATGTTTCATGCATTGTTTGTTCATACAAAACGCAAAACTAAGAGTTATGGGTCTTACCTTATAAATGACCTGCACAGTCCACTTCGCTTCAGACCAGTTCCATGTTTAAGTCCAGATAATAGTTTGAGCGTAGATATGTAATCCTCCATTTGGAAATGAGTCCAATGAGTTTTAAAAAGTAAAACAAAACGCGTGTGTCCTCCGTAAACTCCTCTGTTTTGCTGCAGCCGGGTGCATCCAATTTCTAAAATCAACCGTCTTACACTTCACCTCTCTTTCTTATCATTCCTATAGTAATTGAAAAATTACCCTAAGTGCATTTTAAATGATCTTAAATATGTTATATGTATGTTAGCCAAACCTGTTGCTGTCCTTAGCAGATAAACCAGGAGGAGAAAGGAGCTTATTGATGGAATTGTATGCAGCCGACTTCTGCGCTCACATGTGCTCCTCTGAGGCCTCACGGTGATACAAGCCGTGGTAGAGTGTGATTAAGACCCATATTTGTTTCAAAAACACAATTTATGAGCCATCCTCTCAACTGTAGACATGTGGATTGTAAAGGAAATATGTTTTACATCAGCCAATAACATCTGAGAGGTTTTCTCATCCTCCCTTCTCTCATGACAACACGCGCACGAGTCCTATCACGAAGTAAAAAGAGAAGTTCATTGTGCGTCTTGAGTAACGCGCAGTAACGGGATGTCGGAAATGCTTACGGCGTTATAGTTACAGTCAAAGTAATTAGTTAGATTACTCGTTACTGAAAAAAGTAACGGCGTTAGTAACGCCGTTACTAGTAACGCCGTTATTCCCATCACTGCGTGTAACCATAGAAACCTGTTTGTACTGAGAGAAGACCAGCAGATGCATTTAAGAGCACAGGGGGAGATCATCCTGGTCTATTAAAAAATATGTATTTTGGAGCCTATTGGCCACTCCCTCTTTTTGATCATAGTGATACAAGTACATAGACCCTCTATACTCTCTCTGGTCTCTCTCTGGTCTCTCTCTGGTCTCTCTCTGGTCTCTCTCTGGCCTCTCTAGTTTCTCTCTGGTCTCTCTCTGGTCTCTCTTTCTCTCTGGTCTCTTTCACTGTCTCTCTCTCTCTCTCTCTCTCTCTCTCTGGTCTCTGGTCTAAAGTGTGCTCTCTGCTGCAGCCTGGAGACGGAGCTGCTGGTCCTGGAGTCTGATGGAGGCCCCAATGTGACCCCGGCTCCTGTGGTGAGTTTTCTCTGTGCTTCACCTGCTGTTGTTACTACACACAGTACTACACCCTACTACACACAGTACTACACCCTACTACACACAGTACTACACACTACTACACACAGTACTACACACTACTACACACAGTACTACACACTACTACACACTACTACGCACAGTACTACACCCTACTACACACAGTACTACACCCTACTACACACAGTACTACACACTACTACACACAGTACTACACACTACTACACACAGTACTACACACTACTACACACTACTACACACAGTACTACACACAGTACTACACACCACTACACACAGTACTACACACTACTACACACAGTACTACACACAGTACTACACACAGTGTACAGAACATTTCATACAGACAAGAAACTCAAAAACGCAAATAAACAATGCAAACATATAGATAGGTCAGAGAGACCAGGGAGAGACCAGAGAGAGACCAGGGAGAGACCAGGGAGAGACCAGGGAGAGACCAGGGAGAGAGACCAGAGAGAGACCAGGGAGGGTGACCAGAGAGAGAGACCGGAGAGAGAGACCGGAGAGAGAGACCGGAGAGAGAGACCGGAGAGAGAGACCGGAGAGAGAGACCAGAGAGAGAGACCGGAGAGAGAGACCAGAGAGAGAGACCGGAGAGAGAGACCAGAGAGAGAGACCGGAGAGAGAGACCAGAGAGAGAGACCGGAGAGAGAGACCAGAGAGAGAGACCAGAGAGAGACCAGGGAGAGAGACCAGAGAGAGACCTGGGAGAGAGACCAGAGAGAGACCAGGGAGGGTGACCAGAGAGAGAGACCGGAGAGAGAGACCAGAGAGAGAGACCGGAGAGAGAGACCAGAGAGAGAGACCGGAGAGAGAGACCAGAGAGAGAGACCGGAGAGAGAGACCAGAGAGAGAGACCGGAGAGAGAGACCAGAGAGAGAGACCGGAGAGAGAGACCAGAGAGAGAGACCGGAGAGAGAGACCAGAGAGAGAGACCGGAGAGAGAGACCAGAGAGAGAGACCAGAGAGAGACCAGGGAGAGAGACCAGAGAGAGACCTGGGAGAGAGACCAGAGAGAGACCAGGGAGAGAGACCAGAGAGAGACCAGGGAGAGAGACCAGAGAGAGACCAGAGAGAGACTAGAGAGAGACTAGAGAGAGAGACCAGGGAGAGACCAGAGAGAGACCAGAGAGAGACCAGGGTGAGACCAGAGAGAGGCCGGAGAGAGAGACCAGAAGGATGCACCAGAGAGACCAGAGTGATACTCGAGAGAGGCTAAGGAGTGACAATAGAGAAAGAGAGAGAGCAGAGAGACCAGCGAGAGAGACAATGATAAACATACAGTAAATTGAAAAAAAAAATACATAAGTGGAAATATGACAAAAATACCTGTACTCAGTCTGGTTTCCATTTTACATATATCAATATTCATCTAGAAATGTATTTTCCGCTCAGCCCTGAACACATTCTTCCTCCGCAGGTGAAGACGGAGCTGGTCTCAGGTAAATGCTTTTTCTTTTTGAACCCTCGTGTTTGTCTTCATCCGTCCGTGTCTTCACTCTGTCCTTTCTCTCAGACCTGGACTTGTTCCCAGTCAAACCTGAGCCCCACAGACCGGTCCTGGTGTCCACCGGTGAGGAAACATGTCCACCAGACCTAAAAGCAGCTCCTAAACACACCAGGTCCAACATTTATTATAAAAACAGTAATTAACAGCTAATTAAGTGGTATTTAGTTTACTATAACTCTAACCTACATGGGAACGTGTAAGTTAGTGTTTAGTTAGTTATATTGAATAAGGTCTCTCTCTCTCTGGTCTCTCTCTGATCTCTCTCTCTGGCCTCTCTCTGTGGCCTCTCTCTCTGGTCTCTCTCTCTCTGGTCTCTCTCTGGTCCCTCTCTGGCCTCTCTCCCTGGTACAATCATAAAAAAAACACAGAGCCTTTGGTCCATAAGGGACAGATGACCAAAGTCCATAAATGTTTTTGAATGTCGAGAGTCCATTTAAACACCAATTAGGAGCAAAACCATGAACTAACCACTCATTAGCGCTTAATTAGCGGTTGATTAGAGAGGGCTAAACTAAAGTGAGACCAAAACAAGCTGCTACACCTGTGACACTACACACAGCGAGGCTAAGATCTGTGAAGACATGAGTTTTCCATCATTTTAGACCAAGCAGCAAAACCACTTTCTGTGTCTTAGTCTCAGAACATTCCTCTTCACTGTCTGTGGTCTGTCCTTTCCTCTCTGTTTTTCCCCCCAAGCTTCAGAAGCGAAAGCAGCGGGTAAATCTGTAGATCTGCCTCTGGAGATGAGGAGAGGTGAGTCACTTTGTGCCTCTTTGGGCTGAGAGCAGAGATGCATGGATCGCACTGAGAGCAGCTGTGAGTGACGTGGATGTGTGGCTTTATGTGGAGGGTGTCGCTGCACCAACCTGTCTCCACATAGACTAGAGGCCAACCGCGGTACTGCAGCCGAAATCCACACAGGCTGAAAGGAGATTGTCCCATAGACCACAGAGTTACTTCAAACTCGTCGTCCATAGAAAACAGGGAACCAACAGCTTTCACAAAGGTCAGGTTCTGTGAGGATTTTAGCGTCTCTTGTCTTCCTGAACTTCTTGGTCCATGGTGTGAGGATGAGCCAATGAGCAGAGGCCGTGGGTTTGAATGGACAGACATCTTAGGTAGGGCGCCATCACTTTTCAGGAAGAGGGCAAATTTTGTTCACTTGGCAAGACTTATCCAGTGGAGGGAAAGAAGGACACGCACACACACACACACACACAAACACACACACACACACACAAACACACACACACGAACACACACATACACACACACAAACGCACATTGGTATTGGTAGAGCTGAAGTTGTGTTTATGACCGCGGTATCATAGCCACTTTGCGGTTAGCGAGACGTTCGACCGTGAGCCTGTGTTTCCTGATGTCTCTGTGGTCCCTGATGTCTCTGTGGTTAATAATGTCTCTAACAATGGTCCCTGATGTCTGTGTGGTCCCTGATGTCTGTGTGGTCCCTGATGTCTCTGTGGTTAATAATGTCTCTAACAATGGTCCCTGATGTCTGTGTGGTCCCTGATGTCTCTGTGGTTCCTGATGTCTCTGTGGTCCCTGATGTCTGTGTGGTCCCTGATGTCTCTGTGGTTCCTGATGTCTTTGTGGTTAATGATGTCTCTAACAATGGTCCCTGATGTCTCTGTGGTCCCTGATGTCTCTAACATGTGGTCCCTGATGTCTCTGTGGTCCCTGATGTCTGTGTGGTCCCTGATGTCTCTGTGGTCCCTGATGTCTCTAACGTGTGGTCCCTGATGTCTCCGTCCTGAGTGTGTGTGTCTGAGCGGATGTGTGTTCAAACAGTACGTATATGTGTGTGTGTGTGCAGATGTGAGTGTATGTGTTTGTGTGTTTGTCTATGCATATCATAGTGTGCGTTATGCTGCACCAGGCTTCTACCACGGGCACGTATCTGAAATCCCACACACGCCGCTGTGCGAGGCTTTCCGCTTCAAAAGAGCGCACCTCATGTCCCCGGTGTAGGACGTGAGGTGCAGCAGGTGTGAGAGAACAAAAGCAGTCATTCATACATTCATCAGTAATCACTACAATCTTCAGGTCGCAGCCCAAACGCTGAAGAAAGAGTTATTTCCACTGTGTGTGAGTCACATAGACTGTGAAACTGTACAAACAGAGATTGAGAAGCCTTATAAAACAATCCATATACTTTATTTTTTGATGGGGGTAGATTAACATAATAATAATAATAATGCATCGGTTTTATATAGCGCTTTTTTGGACGCTCAAAGACGCTTCACATGTGTCATTATTCATTCACTCCAAACACGGTGGTGATAAACTACTACTGTAGCCACAGCTGCCCTGGGGCACACTGACAGAAGCGAGGCAACCAGTCTGTGCCATCGGCCCCTCCGTCCACCACCAACCATTCACACACACACCAGACTCATTCCAGGCAATGGGGGTGAAGTGTCTTGCCTAAGGACACAACGGCAGTTTGGCACTTTACAGCCGCAGCTGGAAAGCTTTGTCCAATTTCTTTTCAAACCAAATCAAGGAACATTTAGACCACAGGGAAATAAATGAGAGTTAACTATGACATTGATACGATTAATTGTGATTAAATATTTGAATCGCTTGACAGCACAAGTGCATATGTGTGTATATGTTTATGTGTATCTTTCTGTCCAAGTGTGTGTACGTAGTATGAGTGCGTAGATGTATGTGCATGTGTGTGCGTGTACGTGTATGTATGTGTGTGTGTGTGTGCATGTGTGTGCGTGTATGTGTGTGTGTGTCTGTATGTGTATGTGTTAGTATGTGTATGTGCGTGTATGTGTATGTGTGTCCATGAAGACCTGTGTGTATGTGTGTGTGTATGTGTTCGCATGTGTGTGTGTCTGTATGTGTACGTGTTAGTATGTGTGTGTGTGTGTATGTGTGTCCATGAAGACCTGTGTGTATGTGTTAGCATGTGTGTGTGTCTGTATGTGTATGTGTTAGTATGTGTGTGTGTGTTTCTGTGTGTGTGTCCATGAAGACCTGTGTGTATGTGTGTAGCTGTGTGTACGTGTGTGTAAGCCTGTCCCTGCCCACAGCCGCATACTCGCTGGAGATCCGTGTGGAGCGCGACAAAGCGACCGGAGAGACGCGCGTCCTGTCGGCGAACCCTATGCTCCCTGTGGACCCGGCGCTTGGGGTCAAAGTCTACGAGGACGAGCGCAAAGGTGACGCGCTGAGCTCCCAGGGGCCACGCGGCGCACAGGGGTCGTACAAACGTCACATAGAGGCCACTTGTGGTACTGCAGCCTACATCCACATGGCCAGTACAGGAGATGACCTCATAGACCTCAGTGTGACCTAAAACAGCTCGTCCTCAGGGAACCTGCAGCTTTAAGGTTGGGTTTTGTGGATTGGATTTTAGTGTCTCTTGAACCGATTTTACAATCCTTTGGTTTTCTATTAATCCACAATCTCGGCTCAAACACCCATACAGAGCGATCCAGCTCCACTTATGCGGGTCGCAGTGGACTTACTTTCAAAACTAGAGAGAACAGATGGAGAGAGACAAGTGAGAGACCAGAGAGAAATAAATCAGCGAGAAAGGCACCAGCAAGAGAGACCAAAGAGAGAAAGAGACCACAGAGAGTCCTGGGAGATCAGAGAGAGACCAAGAGGCCGAAGAGCGACTAGAGAGACCAGGGAGAGACCAGAGAAATATGAGACTAGAGAGAAACCAAAGAGTGACCAGAGCAGGACCAAAGAGAAACCAGAGAGAGCGACCAGATAGAGACCAGATTATCCATCTTTTGTACTGCAATAGAGCCAGAGCAAGTTGGAGCAAAACTATGTCTACAAGCACTTCTCTATTGGGCTTCATTGAGCTGGCGGGTTAGTTATCTGTATACAGTCTGTCATATTTACAAAATTGTTCACACCAACAAGTTTGATAAGAAAGTTGTTAGTGTTCACCTGGTCCACCTCAAACACACGTCCACAGATCCCAAAGAGGAAAAGAAAACAAGGGGAAACATATACCAGGTGACAAATGCCAAAAGATTTCAGACAGAACTTGATACAAAGTTTGGAATCTGAAAAAGCTGCATGTACTAAACCCAGTCGTTTGTGTGTCGCAGTGGTCCACGAGATGAACGGGGAGGACGGCGGACACATTCTGAGCTCCTTCGAAGTGGAAGAACTCATCCACAAAGCTGACGAAGCCTCTGTGATGTCCAAAACCATCACCACGATCACCACGAGTACCATTACTACTGCTGCGACTGCCACGACGGAGGAGGCCAAGGAGGAGGCCAAGGAGGAGGTCAAGGAGGTGGCTGTGGAAGAGGCTGGAGAAAAGCCAACATCAGAGCCTAAAGCCCGCGAAGCAAGCAGCGTTCCCAGTGTGGAGATCACCGGACTGGAAGCCAAACCGGACAAGGATCCCAGCGTTTCCGAGGCAACAGAGGAAAACCCAGTCACGATGGTGTTTATGGGCTACCAGAACGTAGAAGACGAAGCCGAAACCAAGAGAGTTCTGGGCCTCAAAGGGACCGTCAAAGCCGAGCTGGTCGTGATCGAGGAAGAGGGCAAAACATCGCCGGTGACGGAGGAAAAAGCGAAGGAAAAGTCCCCGCAAAAAGCCGTCACACCGTCAGAAGCCCGGCCCAAAGCTCCAGCCGCGGAGAAGCATCCGACACCTGAGGAGAGGCGTGCGTCGCCGATGGACAAGGAGAACGGCGAAGCGAAGGCGAGCTCCGAGGAGGTGAGAGGAGGAGACGCAGAGGAGAAGAGCAAGCAGCCGTGTAAGTGCTGCATCATCATGTGAACAGCAGGGGGCGATCACCTTTTGTTTAATACTGAGCAAATGGACAGAGACTTTGAATACGTGTCACCCACAGCCCTCAGCGACTAACACAGCAGCAGGCAGCGGAGAGTCCAGAGTTTGTGTTGACGCCTGAATCTGACCCGGAGAACATGTACTTTGGCATTTCATGTTAGAGAGGAGTAGAAACAAGGACATTAAGCTACATTTAGATATAAATATAGTATTGCGTTGTCTGATTGAATCCATGAGTTGCTTAGTACTTGAGTTCCTACTTAGAGATGGCAAAATGACAAAAGGAACAAGTGCAGAAGGGGATCAAAAAATGTGAGGGCTCAAGTACTTTTCAAGGATCTGTGGAAAGTAAATCGTAAAACAAAGAGGAAGAGGTCTCAGGTCCCAAGTCCCAGGTCACTTGCCTTGAAAAAGCGTTGAATGTCCCTACAATGATAAAGGATTGCCTCGGACCTCTTCATCTTTGTTATCCTCTTTCTGATTCAGAGACCGCTCCCGACCAGAACCAACCTGCGCGAACCCGAGCTGTTGGAGCAGGACTGTCGGTCAGCCTCAAAGACGCTCTAGCACAGGCATGTCCAACTCAGGCCGCAAGACCCTTTTTAGTGGCCCCTAAAATGATTTAACTTGCAGCTCCTCCAGCTCAGTAACTGGTTGTGACACTCACCATTTTGGTTTTCATAATCCATGGTTTAGCACTCTCTGTGATCCAGGTGTTTATATTTGGATCCAGATATGAGCCATATAAGGATTGACCAATCAGATGCCTTCATTTGTGGGGGAAACTCCAGCTTGCCTTAGCAACCATGTTAGCAACACGTCTGCCCCTGTTACGGCACGAAGCTAACACAGCAAAACAAATGCACATATATGGAGTGCTCAAGCTAGCTTATGTTCAAATCGGCTCCTTCCCATGTATCTATGACTTTTCCACAATAAGGCTAACGCTATGGTGATGTCACAGTCAGTCAGTCCTGTTCTAATCTGCTCCGTGTGTCAGAGGAAAGACCTGTTGCAGACTCATGAATGTATTTTAGGCTTCTTTTTCTCGAACATGAAATGTCAGATTGAGACACTCAAAAAGACCATTTTAAACGCAAATCACAAACTTTGGACCCTGAAGTAGATCTTAGGTCCCTGAAAGCACCGCTGCCTGCTGAGAGAAGCTTCCCCTCCATCTGTTTTATATACGCCTTTTTAAACTATCTTTTTTTGTACGAGCGTTAGCCTTAGCATTAGCTGTTTTTATGCTAATCCCAGTTTGCAGTATTTATTTTGTACATATTGAGTTCTGAAACGAGGAAAAAAATCATCACTTCATCATGACATAAACACAAACATCGGGATCTCATTCAGCAAAGCTTCGGCGAGTTTGTTTATATAGAACAGTTAATTTGACACATATAGAAGTCTGTATTATTAGTATGTGATAAACAAGAATGTAAGAAGTTCTTTTCACACAACAGTACAACAGAAATATTACGTATTCTGCAATATCACCGTTTCTCTCTTTTCTCCATGTCACAACACTGTCCCTCCTCCATAGACGTCGGAACTAAGGGTGCGGGGGGTGCGGCCGCACCCCCTCCGCGTGTGCCGGGAGCGAGAAGTTATCACTATCCTGCGTTCCTTGCAGCCCAAAACCCGCTCCATGCTGTCGGAGAAGCTTATGAAGCTCTGTCTGGCTAATATCTGTCGCAGCCTCTGAGCGCTCTTTCTCAGCCTCAGATTAGAGACCTGGCTACACCAGTGACGTGCGGTGGGGGATCAATCATGTGTTCATATGATTATACATCATATAAACCAACAGGACCTACAGGAACAGGAGCGGCTTATACACAATTTGTTTGGCTACAGCAGAATATGATTTAATGTCTGCATTGTTTTCTCATACAAAACGCAAACGTTTGTAAATAGTACAAAGTGTGTTATGGGCCTTACCTTAGGTATTAATGAACAGCACAGACCACTTCAGTTAGGACCAGTTTCATGTTTAAGTCCAGATAATAGTTTGGGCACAGACATGTAATCCTCCATTTGGAAATAAGTTCAATGAGTTTTAAAAAGTAAAAAAAAACGGGTGTCTCCTCCGTAAACTCCGAGTTTTGCTGCAGCCGACTCCCGGGTAAATCCAATTTCTAAATTCAACCTTACCCTTCACCTCCTTTTCTTATGATTCATATCATCATTGGAAGCAAAACATTACTCTAAGTGCATTTTAAATTATCTTAAAATGTATTATAGGTATGTTAGCCAAACCTGTAGCTGCCCTTAGCAGAAGAAGAACAAGAAAGGAGCTTTCTGATGGAATTGGATGCAGCCAAAGTTTGGGCTCACAAGCGCCCCCTTGAGGCTTTCCTCACTTACAAGCTGTGGTTGAGCGCGATTAAGACCCATATTTGCTTCAAAAACACAATTTATGAGCCATCCTCTTAAATGTAAACATGTTGATTGTAAATTAAATATTTTTGAACTTTTTAAACTGTGATAAACAGGGAAAACAGTTTGATAGCACCTCACAGGACTCTCCCTGTGAACTGTTGCTTTTTACGTCTCCCAAGAGAGGCTCGCCTCACAGCACCGCTCTGTCAAATCTGCGATTTCAAGGTATAAATAAATGAAATAAGGCACAGCACAAATCACTTGATAAAGTGACCAAACATTATTGTATCCATTTTATTACTTTTCTTTCTATGATCTTAGGTGAGGGCCTTGCCTGCCTCATCTGACCGCACGTCACTGGGCTACACAACACAATGAAGCCACCGGAGAGACTGACGCATGAATGCGTATTGAAAAAAAAAAAGTTAAGTTTGATAAGTGACTTGCTTGATATATATTGTTTATTTTGTTTTTCTTAACAATTAAGATGGTATGTTATTATCCAGTGTAATCCAAGTATGAGTCTCTCCCTCGACTCTCCCAACAAAAACCCGCCCCCCCTCTCAGAAAATAGTTCCGACGTCCATGCCCTCCTCAGTCACAGACCTGGAGCTGATTTTAGATCCATCCACGCTAATATCAGGAACGTCTGGTACAAACATGTAGCTCCGCCCCTTCTGTCAAAAAGCAAATAACAGTATGATGTCATTGTACCACTATGACATCACACTCGGAGCAGCTTCCACGACTTTTAACACCAAAGTTTTGCCCATGAACGTAACTCATCTGAATGTATTGATATGTGAATGTTGCCCCGTGCCGCAGTGCTACCACCCCCACCAGCTTCAGCTCCTCACCGCTGCACGGCTCCACAACAAGCTAACATTTCAAAGACTTTATTTTGAAAGACTGGTGGTTTTTGTGCGGTTTCCTGTTTCTATGTGTCTCTTTTCTAATCCGGGCCAGTGCTGTGTGCGTCTGTCTGTTTATCTGTTATACTAGAAGCCATGGAAACTCAGCCTTAACATGTAAAGGGCTAAAACCTGCTGTAGATTAAAGCTGTGCATAAGTGTGCTGAGTGCAATGAGTTTTTTTTTTATCAAAGAAGGAAATATTTTAAAGGTTTCTCTCATGTGGGAATTGCGCATTAAAGCCAGGGTACCTAACTATCCCGTTTCAATCAGACATGGATTTAATACAACCAACCGCTTTATTACAACACTTCAAGTCCATTCTGTCTTCCTTATTGTTTAAAGCTGTTAAATACAAGCCCGTATTCTTTTGTGGCCCATAAATGTCCCATGATTGTTATTGTTCTTTTGCAGAATCGATGGTAGTGTGCAATCGTTCAATCCAAAAAAATAAAACAGTTCAGAAAATTTACTTGAAAAAATTATCCAAACAAAATAAAAGTATTATATATATAGTTATATTTGCTAACATATCTGAAGTACTGCTTGATTACCACATGTTTTGGTGCTTGACTTCCTCCTTCATCAGAGACACGTGATGTTGTGACGTTTCGGCTGTTGTTACCGGACCCGGCCAGTCTTACAGATCTACACGGACCATAAACAGGGACGAGAGGGCTTACACCTTGGCTCACACTTGGGACTCCCTTCTCCAGAGACCGAAGGGAGGGTCGTGTGTAATAGTGATAAAAACAATGTAATAGATATATATACAGAAAAAGAGATTTGCAATAAATAGTTATTTCATAATTTACATAATATTTGAAAAAACAAGATAAATATGGTTAAAGGTATGTTAAAATATCTACAGTTAATTCAGTATTTACATTTTGAGTTTTTACAGAAAAGATTGTTATCGACTAGTAAGCCTGAACAACAATGGAGCGATTGGTTTTGCCCGCACCGACAGATAGGGGGGGGTTCGCGCTGTTTCCTCACTTGTATTAAACTCCTGCAAGAGGGAAACGCACCCAAATCACTCTCGTGGTTTTCTCCTTATTTCAGGTAAAAGGGACCAATTGTTGTAATTGTATCATATTCGTATTTGTTTATAAGACTTGTATTAAACTCCTGCAAGAGGGAAACGCACCCAAATCACTCTCGTGGTTTTCTCCTTATTTCAGGGGTGTAACATTTTGGAGGCACCGCTGGGATGAGCGCAACGAAGGCTAGCTCATGTCAGGAGTAACCCAAGTTGCTTTCTCATCCCCCCTAAACAACCCAGGCTGACGACAAAGAGCAAAATTCGTTACAGCAACGGCAGCGGACTGCATGAATAAAGCCTGTGTAATCTGAGGTGAAGTTACAGCCACCAGGAAAGCCAAGCTAATATTCAGAGCTAAAGCTAACGCTGCTGAGGCGCGAAAACTCGTCGTCACCTTATATCTGTGTAATAACAAAATGGAGTCTAACGTCATGGAAGAACTTCAGCTAGAAGTGATCCAAGCACTGTGTACGCTATCTGAAGAGCAGTTACTGAGTATTTTTGGACTTTTAGACATCGAGGGACGTGAACAGACACAGAATAAGCCCCGCATTGTGCTAATTACCATGATAAGCTCTTATTTGCAACGTGATGAGACGGAACAGCTCGAAGATCAAGGTATGTCAGAGTTGCTGTACATAAGAGACCAA